CTGTCGAGGATGGAGAGGATGAACAACAGCCAATTCCGGCTATCGTACAAACGCCGCAAAAGTCGTGGTCACAGAGTACAATTCAAAATGCATTTGATCGCATGCGTCCCATGCGTACCCCAATCCAACAAGCCACGATAACTGTGGGCGACACGACGACTGTTTCTACAATCGGCACCAGAAGTCAATCGATAGCCTCCAAACGAGCTAGGATACACACGCCAAAGTTCTCTCTTTCTGGCAAGCCATTGAATCAGACACCGAAGAGGAGTCTATTCAAGAACGGTCTAGGTGGCTTTGCGGCACCGGGTACCCAAGCAGAAAGTAGCGACGAGGACGATCAAGATGATGAGGAGGACAGACAAGAAGAAGAGGATGGCAATGAAGTCACTCAGGACAGTAACATGTCTGATGCACCTATACGCTCTCCATCTCCAATCAAGCGCTTGTCATCTCGAGAATTTGAAAAGCCCCAAACTGATGACATCACAGTCTCTCCCAGCACCCCAGCGCCCAACTTAGGAATTGTTTCGGAACAAGATCAAGTCGCGGAATCAGCATCAGAGGCCGAAGCCGAGGCTCAAGCAGAAACGGAAAACACAGATGACGACTACATCGAGGACTCTGAGAAGAAGCAAAGAGAAGAAACGAAGATTGCGCAGCTCATCGCTGAAGCCGAAGAAGCCGCTTCCCGACCCACTGACATGAACTTGAAGCGGGCCAACAAATTATTCAAAGTCAGTCAGAAGAAGTACTGGACCATCAATCTCGAGCGTGTTGTCGACACGGATGTTGATGCTATTGCTCGGTATATACAGAACATACAAGCGTCTATCGATGCCTCTATGCCAGGAACCGATGAGGTGGCTGCGCTTCCAACAAGTACTCAACTAAACCAAGAAGACCCCGAAGAACGACTTAGTCTTACAGTAACCAAGGCTGACTTCAATGAGATGCGCATTGTTGGTCAGTTTAATCTAGGCTTCATCATCGCCGTGCGACCACCTACTTCTACATCGCCAACATCAGATGTGTTCATCATCGACCAGCATGCGAGCGACGAGAAATACAATTTCGAGCGTCTGTCTGCGACGACAACGCTGGTGCCACAGAAACTCGTACATCCACATCCTCTGGAACTTACTGCCGTGGAAAGAGAGATCATTCGCGAGAATAAGCACTCGCTAACCGCTAACGGCTTCGTCGTCGATTTGGAAACCATAGACGAGAATGAAGCGGATCATCATGCGCAGCTAGTCTCGCTACCCATGTCGAAGGAAGTAACATTTACACCCACGGATTTAGAGGAGCTCTTAGCACTCATTCTAGAGAACCCACCGTCATCCTCTACTTCCACATCGCGGCACATACCACGCCCTTCCAAAGTCAGGAAGCTACTAGCAAGCCGCGCCTGCAGGAGTTCCGTGATGATTGGTAAGACTCTTCAGCCGCCCCGGATGAGAGAGATTGTTCGACACATGGGCAGTATGGACAAACCTTGGTCTTGTCCCCATGGTCGGCCTACCATGCGCCATCTCTTTGGTCTGGAGAAGTGGCAAGGTTGGACCGAAGGGGACGGTGTGACAGGGGTTGACGTACAGGGAGTGAAGACCGATTGGAATGCCTTCCTGAAGAATAATACGAGATGAAACCTGCTTCATGTACATTAGAGCCAGAATATCCCCATGTCTTCGTTGCGACGCGTTAGGATTCAGGCATCTCGGCTTGACAGGTTTTGATGGTCATGAATGGCCTGTATTGTTGTAACATTCGTAGAGAATAGATTTCGTATTGACCTGGGCACGAATTCTCTAATTCTGTATTCTTACAATCAGAATAAAGTCACATTCGCCGGAATGGTGTTGGTTTGCATCCTCCCACATGATCCACTCACATTCCTTCACTAGCGTACTCTCTTGTCCCTATATAAACAAGGGATTTCTCCTTCGTACGTAGAACAATCAACTCGATACTCTCTTCTTGTTCTACAAATGGAGCTCGATGTCATCGATAGCCACTGTAACGTAGCATGACGCTAAAGCGTTTGCTCATGAACAATGCTGTTGGCACTTCACATTGGCTGGTCGTCTTCCACTCTTGATTGATGAGTCTCTTTGATTGCGTTTTCCTTGCTCTCCTTCCACATGTTTTTCCTGGGCTTTTTCCTATACAATCTCATATGTCCTTCTCAGTTAGCTTCATTGTGTTGTATGTCGACTACTTGCATCCGTGTCGCGTCCAAAGTAAAGCTCGCATCGCAAGTGCTATCATTCATACGACCCATGAAGTCTGCATCCCAGAGCGTACTGCCAATCCAGGTCATTACTACTCTTTTAAATGCCGTAATTGTCCAACGAATGGCTACAGCATTGGAAACAACATTTCCCAAGAACAGAGAATGGAGAACATAGAAGCAGGGGTAAGAACCGTGTAGAGAGCACATTGCCAAACATGGCGGTGTTCAATCACGCATCTGAAGCCGTTCGCTCGCGGTTTGCCTAACAGCACCGTGATGAACTGGCTGGTGTATGATGAAAAAATACTTGCTATATCGATACTTTTTCAGCACTTCGCATATAATAGCAAACACACATCTACTCCCTTGCTATATACAAGGTTGTAATGTCATTCCAAAGCCGTTAGACTCCTTACGGCATACCTCTCGACTCTCTTAGCCATTCCAGCTTCTCTTATCACATATTTGTTCTCTTGTTTGAGGCTGACCGCTGTTTACAAATATGATACAGGAGAATGCCATATGGCTGATCGCAGGTTTTATGGCTCTGTCGATCTTCCTAAATGGCGTTCTAATTCAGATGGGTTTCCCGGATCCGTTTGCCGATCCGGATGTATGGGATGACAGACCCCAAGGACCGAGTATAAATGACTGTCATGATGAAGATCAGCCGGAAGCTGTAAAGAAAGAGCAATAGTCTGGAACGATGAGCACAAAGCGTGGCTATGTTCCTATAATCTCGATGAAAGGCTTCGTGGCGCCGGCTTTGCCTAAAGAGTGTGACATACGAGATGTTGGCTGTGATGATGATCACGCGTTGTTGCGTTTGCCAGCACGGCATCTCGCCAGCGGTGTAGCTTGCTGCGACACGGCCATGTCCAAACAAATCACAGTTCACCGAGGACTCTATTTGGCTCTCCTTGTTTCCCATGTGTCAATTATCGTTCCATTCATTCTGCCTACCATCTATTCGAAGCCATGATATCCGAAAGTAATTCCTACTCAGCTTCAGCCAAAGACTTTTCTTGGGCAAAAGCTAGCGCGCTTTGGGTCATGATCATAATTATCGCTAGCCTTATCCTGCTCCGGATCATCTACAATGTTATAGGGAGGATACTGAAGCGACATCATGAGAGGAATCGAGAGCACGAACTCGTTGAATTAGTGCAAGAGCGAACAAGACTGCAGCTAAGTGGCAATGATGCAGGTATACAAAGGCCAGCACAAGCATTGGCCAGAAGAAGTAGCGAAGTCTCGGTATTACCGCGGTATGGTACCGAACAAGGTGGATTGTGTGATCAATCTGTTGAGGTCAAGAAGAAGGGGAGATACAGTTATGTGGTTGCCTATCACTGGCCCGGAGGAAGTATGGATCACAGAAACAAAGAATCTGATGTGAAGGAGTGATTTGGTAGAGGTTCTGAAACAACACCGGGAGGACGCCCTGCTGGCATTGAGCATAATAACATGAAGAGACTTGATCAATGTGTTCCATCATGTTCAGTTGCCTCTTTATTGTATCCCTCACTCTTCTGCTCTCTTTGTAGCGATTTGGACATCGTACCAGCAATCCAGTGCCTAAGCAGTGTTCTGCCGAGCTCACCTGTACCTGCGCCCACACTTATGATGGATCAGTTCTACGAGATCTTTATGCTGTTTGGCATTTGTCTCGCCACCCCGCTCACGTTCTACCTTATCTTTATAGCTGTTAAGAAGCCCATGCTAGTCCGTAGCTGATCAGGTCTTTTCAAAAAATACGAGAACCTACATGGTACCGGAAAGTTTGCACGACACGGCGATCGGTTTTACTGGGTTGACGAGCAAGCTCCAGGTCATGATCGTGAGAATGAGGAGAATCGTGTGCCTAGCGTAAAGTAGGTGTAGCGGATGATTGGCGTGTAGTAAGCTACCCGCACAACTAGAATGTAAAGCTTGTTCGCGACTCTTCTGTCTTTTCAGTTAGCCGTGATTGTGCTCAAGGATAGTACTGAACAACAAAACAAATTGCGCGAAGGTTCACATACGTATGTTGTTGCTCGTCATAGCCCATGACATTTGCCATTGGCTTCACTTCTGCTCTTACTGATGTCACAATCTCTCACACTTGCGCTAGCTTTCACAAGTTTCGCTACTTTCCACCTTTTGCACCGCTTTGCGAAGCCAACTTCGTATTATTGAGCCCAATAACAAAAGAGATACTACCAACCATGGCAGATGACCCGGTACCACTGATCTGGCGCTGGATACTCTTCAAGGAGTGGCTTCGACGTCTAAGAATCAAAACGCGCAACCACCACGGTGGACCTAAGAGAAGAGATTCCCAGTCAGACCTATATTACGATTTCAGGACGACGAAACCAAGGCCAACGCAGACGGCGGAGAATGCGCATCCTGGGGTGCAGTATTATACGTAGAAGTAGAGGGACTAGTAGTGGACATGATACGTTGTGCGGAAAAGTCGAAATAATAAATCATAAGCGAAAGCGATGGGGACTAAGAGATCTGACCGAAGACCCCGTGGGTGATGATGATCTCGCTGGCCACCGCGGATACTTCTGTGAGCTGAACATCAGGTCTCATCGCAAAATCATTCTCTCAATCCAAAATGATTTCTCATCTCAAAGTCTTGTTTTGCGTTTGCTGTTCTGCTGTCAACAGCACCATAACAGTGCATAATCTGTACGTGTATCCACGACGATACACTTGCCATCCAATGCTATAACCCCATCAGTATGTCTGAGTTCAAGCTTGTAACGCTCACGAGATGGAAGTCGAAAGCATAGTGGTAATCTGCCTGATCACACTCGTAATCCTGATCGTCCAAATTGTAGTCACTCTCCGGTTGTTCTTGCACTTTCACACGGCTCACAAGAGAGACGAAGAGCAAGGTCTGCAAATCCTGGATACAAGAACTGGGTCTGGATCTGCCCATGAGGGTGCTGAACCACCACTTCGTCCTGAACCGGAAGCTCTTACAGTGCCTGGACCCGTATATCCTGCGAGCTCTATATATAGTGTCCAAAGCAACAACAGCGACTTATTTCCTGGCCCTGCAGATCGCTCTCGCTCTCGTGCGCCGGATTCATGGGACGGCACGAGTGCTGCAGGCCGGAGAAGAGATCTCAAAGAATTTCATATTGGCTTAGAGTCCGAGTTTGGAGCCCCTCCTTACAAAACAGCCAGACGTACGAAGAAGCAAGATATTTTGAACGAAATATGGGCGAGGAAAGTATGAGGCTGTTGGGTATGCGCTTAGGCTACTTCTCCTGAAGTCGCAAATAGCATGCTACACGTAGTGTATGTAGTGGTTCACAATCTTGTCGTATCAGCTTTGCACTGGTCATAGTCAACGCTCGAAGAAGGACAAATTCAAGCACCTTCCTGTCAAGAGCATCTGTCATAATCCATAATCCCAGCCGCCAAACGTCCCACACTTCCTCGTGCTTTCCCTTCTTCGTTATCAAAATCGTAGTCGAAATCTACCTCTCGTTGCCCTTGTGGGAGATTCGCAACTAGAGTATAGAATCTTCACAGGAAGAAGCATGGCATTGCCAGAATTCTTGTCGGATGGTATTGGTAGCGCGTTGCGATGATGAAGAAAGCAATCTTGTGGGCACTGGTGTCCAGCAACCCAACATCCCTAGCAGGGGATGGGCTGATGGCGACCATATCTGGGGTGTCACCAGAGAGGGAAGCGAGAGAAATTCAGTTCGGTAGGCTTGGTTGATGGATCTGTTTGTCGCATGCTGGCGGTGAGCTGGAGGCGGAAGACCAGCAAGCGGCTGCGTTTGCATCGTGTGCTGTCGAAATAAGTTCAAGCGTTTGCCCGGAAATCGGATGGCTGGCGGAGGAATTGCCTGTACATTTTGAGTATAGGCATTGCTTGAGGGGTGCTCGTAAGAGAACGAGGCATCAAACGAGTGGGTTTATGGTATGTAGTCGTTGGCGACTGTGATTAGACAGGAAGTATTTGGTTGGCGGAATAACTGGGTGCTGGATGATTGTCAGAGGAAGCTGAAGATCAAGATATTTGGATATCCTCAACTCAGAGAAATGACGGATGAAGAATATTTCGGATGGACAGCATGAAATACTGCGCTAGAAATGGTGTTGTATTTACAATTACTATACGATGGACAAGTCGGCTGTAAGAATTCAACCAGATGCCCGTCTACGCATCCTCGGGTCCCATATCAAAGAAAATGAACTCAGCGGGTTTGTCGCCCACACTCTCAATCTCGATCTTGTTTGGTCCTTTGACTCCGTCGATGTACGCGCCATCGCCTTCTCCCAATACTGTCTCTCCAATTTTGATCTGTGCCCCGCCCTGCTTGGGCTGCGACCGCCCGCCCATAACAAGATGTGCGTAAAGCTTCCTCGGCCCCTCAGCAACGACTTCGTGTACGACCTTCTTGCCCGGAGAAAGAATCGACGCGTCCATGCTAAGGTCAGCCTGTAGCCCGATGGCGCCCTTGTTCTGGTCTAGACGATCTGTGTATTCCATTATCCGGACCAGCTTGTCAGTCTTCTCCTCATCGGTGAACTTCTTCGTCTCGTAGTGTGGCTTTAGACCTCTCTTGTTCGGTTTAGCCCAGATTTGGAGGAAGTGGACTTCGGAATCGCGGTTACGGTTGTATTCGGAATGGCGGATGCCTGTGCCGGCGGAGGTGAACTGGACTTCGCCACGCTTCAGGTTCTCGAGATTGCCCATGCTGTCTTTGTGTTCGAGGACGCCGTTGACGATGTAACTGAAGATGAGGAATTCGGCGTGACTGTGAGTTCCTGAAGCATTTGTCAGTAATGATCATGGGTATAATTTAGGGATGGAGACGCCATTTGCATACCGAAACCAGTGCCTGCCTTCACCCTATCCTCATTGATAACCCTGAGCGGACCAAAGCTCTCATGTCTGGGGTCGTAGTACGACGCGAACGAGAATGTGTGGTATGTGAACAGCCAATCGTGATCGGCATGTCCGCGTTGCGACCAAGGGCGCTTGGTGACGTTCATTGAAGTCGCGGTCGACATTGCGCGTACGGTAGGTTTGATAGAAATAGGAAAAAAGATACTACGGAAGGTGCTTGAGAACGCCAGGGTGATTGCAAAAAGTCCTACAATTACTGTAAGTGCCTTTGTAGTAGTTGAGTAAGAGGTATCTGCTGTGGTAGAGCGATGTTGAGTTGGTGTGTCTGACATCATGAGAGGGGATTTTTTGGCATCGAACGTGTCTGGGGCCCTTTATAGCTGTCAGTAGATGGACGGTTAGTTTGCGCATCATGCGCATCATTTCGAAGCTCCATTTGCTTCGCGCATAGCATTTGCAATGAGTGACTAAGACGCTGTAATGCTGCTAATAGAAGAGATGTGGGGAAGGGGGAAGACGCTAAACTGATTATTGATGGATGACGGAATCGCCCCAATTCTTCATCAGCAGGATCTCATTGGACGCTTGCCGAATAGGCGCCGCGGAACTTGTCCGATCAGAGAGCACTTGCTGCAAGTCATTGTGAATTGAATATTACTTATTTACTGCCTTTTAGAGTTGACGTGCAGGTACGAGAGAGAGCTAGTGTAGCAAGATACTCACCTTACCCGTTTTCGTGCCGGGCAAGTGCGAACGTCGATTCCGGACAGGCATCTACCATCATGGCTTTGCAGAACTTTGACCCAGATGCGTTCTTTGAAGATTGGTCCGAAGAAAAGTACTCTCCATCTTGCAGTGGGAAGGTTCTCGCGCAATGTATAGGCGAGTCATTCGGCATCCCGCCTACAGACAAATACGTCTATCGGGCACAAGCAGAGACCACACTGCATGCCACACAGAGAGCTATCGAAGCGAAAAGAAGTCATGGATTGCATGGATGGTATCATGACAATGGCGGAAAACCTATCGAACCACCTCATCCCTCCCTAGAAGAAATCCAAGCTTACACATTCCTCTTCTCTCCCCAAAACAACCTCCCCACAGCGCTCAACAACTTCGCCAAATCAGCAAAAGCCGACACCCTCCGCAAAAGCATAGGAAATCACCTAAACGACCGGCTCTTCAATAAGTCCACCAATCTGATTCCTTCAAAAAGAGACCCCAAAAAACCAGCTCGACAACACAAGAACCCTTATCTGGATCTCTGGAAGTACTCGTGTGAGGAACTGGAGTGGGCTGGTCCTTTACCATCAGGTACATACACCCGTATATCTCATCACATTCTGCCAATTTTCTACCATCACTTTGGCTGCGTGGTGCCCTCGTATGCTGCCCTGCACGTCCTAGCCAAACTCGCTCAGCCAGCGAAACCGGCCAAAGAAGATGTGCTCCCGATCTTGGACATTGGCAGTGGGAACGGGTATTGGACTTACATGTTACGCAACTTCCCGATCGCTCACATCGGTACCTCCAAGCCACTCGATGTACGTGCCATCGATAACCAGATCAGCGAGTACCGCGTCTCCTGGATCAAAGACACTATCATCACAGACGGCAAGGAGTATTTGAAGAAACACGAGGGTGGCAAAGGTTGTGTTCTGTTACTCGTCTATCCTCAGGCTACAGGTGGTTTCACAGGTCCATTACTCAAAGCTTTCCAGGGTGACAGAATAGTAGTTGCGGGAACGCAGAATGGGAATGGATTTACTGGGTTTCAGGACGTGATTGTAGATGAGTGGGTGGAGAAGAATCTCAAGGCATTTGAGCTGACATTGAGGATGCCGTTGCCGAGTTTTGCGGGCAAAGACGAGGCACTTTTCGTGTTTGAAAGGAAGAAGTAGGGAAGCATCACGGCTGATGGAAGCAGAGATTGTAGCATACAGCATGTTGTAGCTGCTCATGTTCATCATTCATGTAGTAGGGTATGCTAATAGCTTGCTTGCTTTCCTCTACCACTTGGCCTCCTTCTTTGCCAAAAACGCATTCAGGATAGCGAGGAGCTTCTCCAACGCGGCGAGCCACTGTTCCAGCTCAGCCTGGACCTTGCTGTCATCATCGCCAAGCTTGCTGTAGAAGTCCTTGCGGTAAGGTGTAGCGCTCATGGCAGCGCTGAAGACGGGCTTGACCATGAAGGAGTGGTGGGGCTTGAGTGTGTTGCCGTAGGCGTCGCGGAAGGAGTCGGCGAGCTCCTTGGAGGGGTTGGAGATGTTGTGACGGAGACCCTGAGCAGTGAAGTCGAGGCCACTGTGACATGCATGTTAGTGGCATGATGTTGTCGAGTGGAGGGGATGACTTACCGGGTCAGCCACAGGAGACCTTCGGTGGCAGTGTGCTTCTTCTCCTTGAGCTCGTTCAAGCAAAGCTCCTGGAGCGTCTCTGACTGGGCTGGGGCAGCAAGCTGCCTGTCGCGGATTTTCTGCACCGTGTTAGCACCACGCTTATGGCATCACTTGAAGCTCCCAGCCTCTACGCACCTTGATGTTGCCGCTCATGTCACCCTTGACGGGCTTGAAGGCCACGGAGCCCAGGACATCGAAAAGAGTGGTGGTGCTCTCAGCAGCCTCTAGGAACTCGGTCGTCGAGATGGCACTGTCCTTTGCCTCATCGACAGGGACATCCGCGAAGCTCTTGTTGAGGGTTTGGAAGAAGGTTCCGCCAGGGGGGTATGCAGCTGCCATTTTGGAGTATGTGAGATGTGTAGTGGCGTGGAAAAAGCAATTGAGGCCTCGATGTATGGGAGAGGCGGCAGATGTTTGTATCAGAGAAAGGTGGTCTCGGCCCAAGCGGTGAGCTCTGCTCCGTTCAACACGCGTGGCTTTGGTGGGGCATGCGGCTGCAGTAAGCTAGCGCGGGGAAGGCGCGACGCACAGGGTCTCGACGAGGGGAACATGCAAGCGCCTAACTCAGCTCACGCACCTGGAGAACGTCTTGGGAGCCACTTCGGGAGGTAGAAACGTATCCGGACGTACTATGTCCTGCGCGGAGAAAGAATGTCCGATGGTTATGGCCTGCTTGTAGTATAAGACCATCGAGCTTGCTACAGTCGTCTTGCTCGTAAAGAACCATCAATCGGACCCACGATAACGTTAATCGGACCTTCTGATCCTTACCCTGACTATTCCCGAAACCTACGAGCAACGACAACCACTAAGATGCCGTCACATATCCACTCAGCAACAAACATACACCGCATAGCCTGCATTCCAGGTGACGGAATCGGAGTCGACATAACAGAAGCCGCCATCCAAGTCCTCAACGTTCTCGCCAAGACCATTGGCGGCTTTGAATTCGACTTCAATACTTTTGACTGGAGCAGCAAAAACTATCTCGAGCGAGGATGGTATATGCCACCTGACGGCTTAGAGCAGCTGAAGGCCTATGATGCCATATACTTTGGCGCAGTAGGCTGGCCCAATGTTCCCGACCACATCTCCCTTTGGTCACTCATCTTGCCGATTCGAAAGTCTCTAAACCAATATGTCAATGTACGACCTACACGCATCCTCCCTGGAACCACGTCTCCTCTATCCAATTGCAAACCCGGGGACCTTGATTGGATGATCATCCGCGAGAACAGTGAGGGCGAGTACTCGGGTCAGGGCGGTACCTCCCATGAGGAAAGTCCCCATACCATTGCCACCGAAGTGAGCATTTTCACGCGCGTCGGCATCGAGCGAGTCATGCGATATGCATTTGAGACAGCACGGTCGCGACCACGCAAGAAGCTGACCATGGTGACCAAGAGCAACGCCCAAAGACACGGCATGGTTCTCTGGGATAAAGTCTTCTACGAGGTTGCAAAAGAGTACGAAGATGTTGAAATTGACAAGATGCTCGTGGATGCCATGACCGTGCGCATGACGCTACATCCTTCTACGCTGGATACTATCGTTGCTACCAACTTACATGCAGACATCTTGTCTGATCTTGCTGCTGCGCTGAGCGGGTCGATTGGTATCGCGCCATCGTCTAACCTCGACCCTACAAGAAAGAATCCGAGCATGTTTGAACCTATTCACGGCTCTGCGCCAGATATTGCAGGCAAGGGTATTGCGAACCCAGTAGGCGCATTCTGGAGTGCTGCTGAGATGGTGCGATGGGTTGGCGAGGACAAGGCAGCGGATGGGCTCATGAAGGCGATTGAGAATGTCACCGCAAGAGGGGTCAAGACGAAGGATCTTGGTGGCAGTGAGAACACCAAGGGCGTCACAGATGCGGTATGCGCCGAGATTGAGACACTCTTCAAGAGTGGCTGAGTGGCGTCAGCATGAACGACTGCGCAATATGAGATATATGTACATACCCATCACCAACACAAATCATACCACTTGTATGCCAATTTTATATGCAAAGAGTATCTTACTCTCACTCCAAGAACAGCTCAGGAGCATCAGGCCGTCCCTCCACGACCCTACTTCTCATCCGCTTCTCCCCCTTATTCCGCTCATCGCCCACCTCTCTCAATCTCCACCAGTCCCTCCAAACCATTACAGCCTTACCTTGAATCAAGCCCTTGCTAACAGGCCCAAAGTCGTTGCTATCCAAGCTCTTCCTCCAATTATCCCCTTCGAGCCATACATGTCCATATGGCACAACCACCTTGCCCACTTCTGGACCATCCCTCGCCGCTATACTGTCCTCATCATGATCTACCAGCCCATCCGGTAAACCCTTTAACCTCGTCTCATAGACTTGCGGATCAAGCGCATATCCCCTTGCAGGATAAACTGTATCTCCTTCGATAGCGACAATGCGTTTGATACCCATCTCGCCTGGTTTATGCGGTTTCCAAAACGTTACGACGTCACCACGTTTTACGCTCCAAAACTCTTTTTTGCTTGCTTCAAGAACTGTACTATAATCAATCCTAGCATGGTACGGTATCACAATGACGTAGTCTTCTCGACCAGTCTCGTGCGCATCCGGGCTGAGTGTAGGTGCCATGGAGGAACCGCGGACGTGCTGTATCTCGAACCAATTGTCGCGGATGAAGAGCATGGCGCAGATGGTCGCGACACCGTTTATGCCCCATTTTATGTAGCGTCGGCCTGTGCGGGCGCGGCTGGTTTCATGCCATTGGAGTGGTGGAGGAGGAGGAAGACGACGACGGACGGGGCTTGAAGGTGATGCCGAGGTGGATAGGGATCGCAGCGGGGCTCGCGGACCTGGATTTGCCAGTCTGATCGGTAGGGAAGGCCTCACATACTGTTTCGGCGTAGCAGGAGGTTTTGTAGGGAAACGGATGGGAGGTTTGGGTGGCATTGGAAAGATTGGCGTTGCGACGGGGTCGTCGAAGGCGAAGCGAAGTTGCTCGGCAATACTTGCTCGCGTTGCGTCTGTGGACGCACATGCAATGTGCCCGCCATGTTTCTTTGGAGAGCTATAAATTTATCACCCACGTTTTGCACATCTAGTTGTCGCATGGCTATGATATTGCTAGCTCAAAGGCGCTGTTTTAAAGCACATGCAGATTGGCGCAAGCTGACAAGTTGATGATAACGTGGAAAGTTCAAGAGGTATCGGCGTATATCTAGCTAAATGGCAGCTATAGTACAAGGACTAGTACATATCCACAGCATGCAATCGCTACCATTCGGTCGTTTCAATGCTCGTCAAATCCATAATTTAATCTACTTCAGGGCCTTGATGACAGCGTCGGCGTACTCAAAGGTCTTGGCCTTGCCACCAAGGTCACCGGTGATGGTCTATAGAAGGATTAGCAAAAATGCTCGTTCCAACGTGGTGGATGCAACTTACCTTGCCCTCGGCGAGAACTTTGAAGATGGCCTGCTCGATGTTGCTGGCCTCCTGGGTGAGACCCATGTGTCGCAGCATCATGATGGAGCTGAGAAGAAGCGCGGTGGGGTTAGCGAGCTGCTTGCCAGCAATGTCGGGCGCGGAACCGTGGACAGCCTCGAAGATGGAGCAGTTATCGCCGATGTTACCAGAGGGAGTAAGACCGAGACCACCAATGAGACCAGCGCACATGTCGGAGAGAATGTCTCCGTACAAGTTGGGCATGACGAGGACCTTGTCGTTGTAGGGGACAGGGTCGGTAACCATCTTCAAGCAGGTGTTGTCGAGCAGCTCGGCGTCGAACTCAATGTCGGGGAACTCCTTGGAAATCTCGCGGGCGGTGCTGAGGAAGAGACCGTCGGACATCTTCATGATGGTGGCCTTGTGGACAGCGCGGACCTTCTTCCTGCCAATGTCGCGGGCGTGCTGGAAGGCGTATCGCAGAACGCGCTCAGAGGCCTCGCGGGTGATGAGCTTGATGCTCTGTACGACGCCATCGACGACAATGTGCTCAATGCCAGAGTACTCTCCCTCGGTGTTCTCGCGGATCAGGACGGTGTCGACGTTGTCGTAGGGCGTCTTGTAGCCGGCGATGGATCTGCAGGGACGGACGTTGGCGAAGAGGTTGAAGGTGCGGCGCAGGGTAAGGTTGAGGGAGACGTGGCCCTTGCCAATAGGCGTCGCAAGCGGGCCCTTGAGGGCGACCAAGTTCTTCTTGACGCTGGCGATGGACTCGTCGGGGATGACCGTCTTGCCGTCCTCGTTCAGGCGCGGGGTGACGTCGACCGACTCCCACTTGATTGGGACGTTGGCGGCCGAGTAGATGTCCTTGACCGACTGCGCAATCTCGGGACCGATGCCATCACCCTCGATGAGAGTGACTGAGTATTTGCCGTCGCTGCCCTTGGTTCCGTGGAACTTGGCCACCTCGGAGGCGTATGTTCGGGCGGAGACCTATGCCGCGGTCAATACTATTCAACATGCCGTCGCCTGGAACCTGCACGCCTCGACGTGTCGAGGCGCAAGACTCGTCTGTCCCGCTCGCTGGAAGCTCACCTGGGAGAGCGCGGGCGCCCATCGGGAGCGGTTGGCCTGGCGCAGGCATTGGCGCGCTGGGGCGGCGAAGGAACGAGCAGCCAACATGTTGAGGGTATCGCAGTGTGGCTACAATCCAATTGAAGCTACACTTTTGCTGTGGAAGTCGTCAAGGTGGGTTGGTCGGCGGCGGGAGGGTTGCGCAAAGCTCGGATACAGAAAAAGAAAGCTCCACCGGCCGCGGGATGTCTTCGTGCGTCAAACCGGTACCTTCCGCCTCCCTGCATTCACTCCTGCGCCCTCGGTTAACACCTCGCCTCTTATCTGCTCGCCATGTTCCTGCCGAATATCAATAACACCACCCGCTTGAAACAAAGCATCGCGACGCTGCATCTTGCGTCCAACACCACTCGGCGCAACGGAACCACTTGACTAAACCCTCTGTCACATGCCAAGTTTGTCACTAGGTTGGCCGTGTCATCTCGGCATGTCTGGATTTCACTTGCACGATTCAAGATCCTGATTCGCATGTTGCAAACAACAAAACAGTGCCATAGTATCATCTTGGGTTGAGACAAAATATCTTACTCGCTGCAATCACATGCAAATCCCTCACCAAGAGCAGCATACAGTAGAACCACACGTCCGCCCATTCCTTCCTCTCAATGTAGCACAGCGGGCTGCGGCCTCCGAACCCTCTCCTGCATCTCCTCCTCGCTCATCCTCAAACCCGACTGTGAATTAGTCAAAGTCGCTGAAGCACGCTTCCTACCACGCCGATCCAGCGCAAATACAACAATTGGGTAAAGAAGAAGACCTGCACCGGCTATGGCGCCAAAGACTAAGAAGCCAAGAAATATGCGAAATTCAGTACTGGAAGTGTCCGGAGGATGAGGAGGTGTGGGGAAGACAGAGGTGGTGTTTTGTAGAGTAATCGGGTGGGTGTTGTTATTACTTGCAGCTCTAGTTGCCATCGCCGTGAGTGTTCTGGCCGTCTTCGCGTGGTATGCCAATATGAGTAGCAGGCAAAAAGAGAACTTTTGAAGGAAGGCTTGAGCAGCTTAGGGCCGTTGAGCCCGACGTTGTGAACATACTCACCTGGCGGTCAGTCACTGTCGCTGTACAATACCCAGTCTTCGTATACAGCGTTTTCTGACTTACGACTTATGATGAACTTCTGTCCGTCTCTTTCCTCAGGCCCTGCCACCAGCTGATACCGAACCAGACGAAGCAGCTCGACGACAATATTGACAACGACTTGAAAATTATTAGATCCACGACACTGGAGGACCTAACAACCAAGAACTGGAACCCGTCGAAGATATCCTTGTCAACGTAGTTTTCTACCAGGTAGAATGGCTGGCTTTATCTGGCCTGGTGCCAGTCCAAGCAACGCTCCGACTGCCTCTGCCTCGTTGGCTATAGGCTCGTCCTCTACAACATCTACAGCAACTTCAACAGCATCAGACGAAGGCGCATTCTTCTCTCCTGGCGTCTCCGCCCCTGTCACACCCACCTCGACCGCACTAGATTCTGGTACCTTTTACTCATCATCCATTTCTGTATCGACTTCCACTGCATCAGATGAGGGCACATTCTTTTCTTCAGACATCCTGGCATCTGCTACTAGTCCTACGGTAGTTACCTCGACTGCACTAGACTCCGGTGTCTTCTACTCATCTGATGTCTTTACCTTGACTTCAACGGCATCAGATAACGGAGCATTCTTTTCCTCCGATACTCCTACATCCACTGTTGATTCGCACCCCGGTATCCATTGTCTCCCAACCGCACACCTCGACAACCCTCTGAACCCTAATGTGGCACCGCCGATTGATGCTGTGCCATCATTCGTTAACTACAGCACACCACCAATTGCATCACTTGAAGTTGCCGGGCTTGCTTTCGACCGTGGAACACCATTTGAAATGCCCAATCTTACGTCTTCAGGAAAAGACATGCCTACAAGGTTATCATCGGTTTTGACAAAGCGGGCCGTTCCCAGGATCGCGAGTAACCCAGGTTCGATTCTCGGCGCTGTGGTAATCGTTCTGGGTATCGTTCTTGCGTTGTTCTTGTCAGTCAAGTACTGTTTGCGCAGAAGTTCCGGGCTCCACGACTTGGAAAAGGGAAATTACCCGTACACCCGCGGTCGTCGTCGCTACCGGGATGGTTCACCTTCAGTCACTCGTCCTGATGACATTCCAATCTCCGAGGGCTATGGCATGGATCCCGTCGATCTTGCTCGCGCTCAGAATTGGCAGGACGGTTTCTCTGAGAAAGGTGTGCATATTACCCGAGACTGTGTAGATCGAGCCATTAGCGCTGACAACTTTCAGTCGATTCCCATCTCCGGAGGCGGTAACGGTGGCACGTATGTATCTCCGCAGCTTCCCAGCTCCATTCCAACACGCAAGCTGGTACCTAAACCCCGTCCTGTAACCCAGCTGCCGGTGCCCTCATCCGACTCGCGCCCTCTAGATATAATTGATCAGCCAGTCTCCCCGTTGAGTTCGGACGATGGACAGATTGATCACAATCGTACGCGAGAATACAACATTGTCTCACCTCTTAACTCGCCTACAATGCGTCGTGGTCCTTTTGGGTGGTTGTGAGGGTGCACCCGAAAATGTGGTGTGGTCGCTGAAGATGAAACACAAGCAGTTGTCAGAGACGCGTTTTCAGCGGGTGGACCTCGGGGTTTTGGGTTTCGCACATTTATCCTGCAATCTTGCTTTTAATCCTAATACTCGTTACTTCAAACACAGTGATTAGTTCTTCCCATCAACGTTCCTTTCTCTATATTACTTTTTCTGGGTTTCATTGTTCTTATCACGGCTTAACTATCGTGAACCACCCTTCGACATTTCACTCGTACACCCTCATTCAACAATTCACCCACAGTCGTTACTACGTATATTTTCGCAACCGGATAATATTCCCACCACGTTCTTTACATAGATAATACAACATGCCAGCGCTTAAATTCCAGCACCGCGCGGAACCCATCAACGCCGAAGACCACAAAATCGGTCCTATTCCCTTACCATGGTTTATTCCAATGTGCATTTTTGCGCCGTCTTTCCTCGCATTTGTAGTATGGGTATTTTACCTGCAAACCGTGAAGCGATATCAAAACAAGAAGCAACTACAGGCGCAACAAGAGCAGGAGCGCATGGCGAAGAAAGAGGTAGAGACGCAGATGCAACAGTTCATTGGGACCAGCGCAAATAGCGCATATATTCGCGCACCAGAAAGAGCGATAAGGAGATAGAGAGACTGAGGATAAGCCAACTCTATAAAGATGTAATCTTATGGCAAGAGAGAAGTGGGTTAGGCGAAGAACGGTGTCCTATGCCGGCTTCAAAATGCGCAAACCAGCAGTGAGTAATACACACTGGCTTCAAGGATCCTACGCTGTTTACTCACAAGATAGTTCTAGAGTCTTCAAAGCGAATATTGTGAATGCAACATGTCTCGCAAGTCTTTACATCACATCGGCACCTGATCTACAAGAGACCTTTGGAGTCTCTTCACCACATTCCATCATTCTCTCTCGACACATCATAGAATACTCTCAAAGTCGGACTTTCAACCACCTTTGTATCCAAAGAACTCCATCACAACAACATGCCACCATTCTACCCCTACATTCCCAGCGCCGTCGCGCCCACGCCAACCCACGACTGCAACTGCGCGCCTTCTATGTCTCCCGTCTCTTTGCTTACGTCGAAGGTCACATCGCCAGTAGACTCCGTCCCAACATCCTTCTCGACATTAGTGTCCTCACACACTATTGAGGACATCTTGCACCGAATCTCCGCGGCAGATACCCCTGCTCAACCTACCTCAACACTTGATTTGGTTATGAAAGCAGAAGCCCCCGGATCTGATGGTGGCGGTATATCGACTGGTGCTACTATCGCCATCATCATTGGTGGGCTCGTCTTGCTGTTCGGTATCGCTCTCGTTGTGGTGAAGGTGCTTCGTTATTGAGTAAAGAGGGAGGCGTGTTGTGAAAAGTTGTTGGGAAAGGAAGGGGCTAGACTAAGCAGAGAGTTCCATGGTTGTATAGCAATGAGGTTATTGTTTTGCTAGATATTGATCAAATGTGACAATGAATGCATGACTAGATCTTTGCGGCTCTTGTTTGGCCTTTTCCTCCCTAGATGGCAAGCGATATGACTTTCAATCATCTTCTACTATTACTGAACGACGTACCGCTTTGAGCCATACATGTCTATTTTCGCTGCTGTAGTGTCCTAGACGCATCTTCAGATGCAGTCCATCCTTCCATGTCGATGCCAAGATCTTCGAGCTCCGCGTTCAAGTCATGTCGTGGCCTCTTTGACTTCCTGACATTTTGGCCGTTATTACTGTCGGCGCTAGACGGGAAGCCATCCTTTTGTCGCTTTGTGTTACCAGGAGGCAGGATTACCGATCGCTTTCTTTTGCCAGTATTCTCACTGGGTAATGAGGAGTGAGCTGATAGTGCTGATATGAGTAAAAAGAAATGTCAAATGTAAGATGTGGTATATGGAAACTTACTATCATCTTCCTCATCATCTGAGTCTGCGACAACACGTCGTTTTCGTGCAGTGATTTCCGATATGACTTTGCTCTTCCCCGTTTTTCTACGTTCAATCCGGTCTCTAGTAGGTGAATCGCTGTTCATCCTCAGTGCTTTCCTGGTGCCGTGATCAGTGACTATGATGACGACCTGAAGTGTACCGGGCTTACTGTGCCGCATGGTTCACCATTCTGTACTCGTCCTCGGGACTTATTTTTTGGTCATCCTGGAGCTCCACAATCGCAGGGACGAGAAATTTGCCAGCTCTACGATTGATAACATCCAGATGAGCTACTGCAGCGCGGAATGCAGCCTTCGACGGCCTTGTTCTTCTCCTAGGAAGGCGCCTTGGTTTAGTAAATGAGAAATCGGGGCATTGAACTGCCATGACGAGTGGTTGGAGTACGATCAATGATCAACCTAGTATAGTAAGACTTATAAGTAACAAAATCATAACTCAAAGGGAGAGATGATGAATACCACCCGTCTCACGGGAAAAGCGAGATGAATGAGAGCTTGCTACTCCAAGGTAAGAGAAATTGCTAGTCGCAAGATTCGTTTGCGCGTGGACTTTGATTTATCTTTGTTGTCTTACCTCCAAGACTACCAAGTTTTGGCAAACATTTGACAAGAAACAGAAAGGATAAGAAGGTTCTAAAGAACGAGTGCAAGAAAGACGACGTCGCAAAGTTATGACTGAAACCTAGCTCTTCATATGCACTCTGTACCTTCAGGTCAATCCTGCTCTATCTGTATGCCATACGAATCGGCCATGTCATCATTTATACATTATACCTCTTCTGATGTGCAGAATGCGGCTGCACATCTATATCTATATCTATATCCAGTTGGTCGTCAATATCAAGTATCTCAATGTCGCTATCTTCGCACCTGTCATGGGCATGAGTGTTGGTAGAGTGGCTGGAGCCATCAGACATCGGAGTCGAGATCGTAGTGAATGACGTTGTCCGGAACGATAAAGTCGCGGTCGCTGCTGGTTTCTCTTGCATGCGAAGGATTCGCGAATGTTGATCTTGCTCGTTTGGTGCCTTCGTTTGAGCGATTTTTCGTGTTTGACTTTGTACTTCCAGTTGCTCGAGCAGAGCCCTTTAAACTTCTGGACCTTGTAGCTTTCAAAGTTGGTTTCGATGGGCGAGCTGCTGTGGCAGTGTTGAATTTGGTGTATGGCTCGTCGTCATCCCATTCGAATGCTGGATTATTCGGATCTATCTTGACCATGATTTCATCACCTTCCTTATCCAACGCAGATCGATACCGTATTGTTGGTGTCTCGCTCATCCTAATAGCTTGTTTCCTGGCTCGAGGTAAGTCGCCTTCACTATCGACAATGAGGTGATAGAGATCCATGACAGCAAGCGCCGGTGCTACAGCCATCGGTTGAGCGACTTTGCTTCTCATATTGAAGTCATCAATATCCAGGAGACTCATGTTCTTACTCCCATGCTTGCATACCGTAAGAGGCTTGGCTCTCGACTCGGTCCCCCAGGGAGTAGACGTGTTGGATCTTCTATGAGTGGGGAGTCGCGAGGTCTTGGCATCAGCCATCATGGTCGATGGGACCCTTGAACTAGCGTTCGAACATCTACTATTGATTGTTAGAAAGGTTATGATGCTTTCGAACTCGTCACAAACCCAGAGTCAGTGCGCGGCCCTTGTGTTCTCATGTTTCCCTCATCTGCTGTAGTAGCATTGTGGAACCGACGTCGTTTGCGACATACGACAGGCTTGTGAGTTGCTGCTGCTTCTCCACGACTAAGGGGGCTTTGGACAGCATCCGAAGACGCGTCTCGGTACGCGAAGGTGCTTACAGGACTCTGTGTCTTTGTCGTGCCTTGCAAAATACTTCTTTCCTGATGCCTCGTGCTGCTGGTAGACGCGGGTGAAGAGTGGCGCGGAACGCAGTTTTTGGGCGCAAAGGTGTTTTGGGGTGGCGTATTGACGCTTCCATTCAACGCATCTTGGTTCCTTTGGGATTTTTGAAAATCATGATGAAAGCCTCCTAAAGTCGGATCGACGAGTGAGATGGCAGGATGATCACGGGCCAAACTACTATTGTTAGCATTGATCTGAGATGCATTATGTGTACTACCTATCGAACTTACCGCGAAGGAGTTTTTGCTGGCGCATCATCATCGCTATCGAGCGTGATTGGTAAACTGTGTGAGGCGCCTACTCGGATACTGGGCTCGCTTTTGGAGCCGGCTTGGGATATCTTGCGAACAGATATTTGAGGTTTTCGCTTTGCTCGACCGCGCTTTTCTTTCCCTGTCACCGGGCCCATGTTGATCTTCTTAGTGCTGCGCTGGAAGCCCATACTGTTTTGTTGCTGGCCGGCAGTCTTAAGCTTTCTCTGCGTAACAAGATGATCGAGCTTTGACAGCTCCAGTAACGATGCAGTGTAAAATCGCGGCGGTCCGCATTGTGTTCGCAAATCGTTGTCACCTGTAAGACAACTCTGATATTGGCTGTTCAGGCCGTAAGGTAACAGTATGTATGATGAGGTGTGCATGAGAAGATAGGTAGGGGAATAGCACAGGAACAGTATCAGGGCATGCCGAAAGTGAAAGTGAGATTGAACGAGCGTTATGGCGCCGGAACCAAATTTTCGGAGAGCGGTATCGTTGCGGATAAAGACAAGAGAGCAGCGGTGTTTGCACATTGGACGCTAACACGAGGAATGCACGAGACGATCGTGCACGCACACATCATCTACCTTACTGCACAACGGCAGCATCATAAAGTCTCCAAAGTTTGATTCACCAGTCGTCAAATGAGTGCAACATACAACGCGTCTCGTTCTGCGAGACAAAAAAGAAAACCCTTAGCAATTGATGGGTGAGCGAGGCGGCGTAGAGGTTGTTAAAGACACTGAGAACGATATATAGCAAAAGGACACGAATAATAGTCAAAGACGCAGGACATCGGCTTGTAAGGGAAGAGCGCCGTTTCGAAATGAGAGTCAAAGAAATATGCGCCGCCTTATCAACCTACTCTTGCGCACGACGCTCAAAGTATTCGCGATTCACCAACCACTGCGACAGATGACTGTTGATGCGGTCTATTACAGCGACATTAGTCGCGTTCAGACGTATGTTCTTACGCACGTATCCAACCTGCTCACTTTCAATAGTACTGACTTCCTATATATCGCTCGATCGCTTCCCCACCGTACTTTTGAACTCCTGCGCGTTTCAACCCTTCGGAGATCTGTGGCTTTGGTACCCATACCCCAGTCTCACACGCGTAGTAAATCCTCCTGTGATCTTTGTCTTCCGGCCCTTCATCACCCCACTCCGCTCTCTGACCCGGCGCGTGATATGAAATGTGCAGTTTCCCTGTCTTACCCACCATATCAGATGTAAGCATGAAGGACTCGAGGACTGGCATTTGAGTAACTGCTTTTGCGAGCGCGCCGAGAAAAGGATCGAAGACCTCTGGGTCGGGGTGCTGCCGGAAATCTGCCCAGCTGAATTCGCGTGTATCGACACTTCCAATAACTCCGTGCTCGGGGTCGTCGTCAGAATCGTAGGCCGGTGTTGAACCAGTGAAGTACCATTTACCAGATGGAGCGACCATGTCAAATGTGATGTCAAGCGACTTCAAGTGTGGCCAAGACGGTGGAACCGCGTTTTCATCTGATGGCCAAAATAGCGTGGGGTCGACGTGCGCACTCAAAGTGAGAGTTGTAAGACATTGTGAGAAGGTTCGGATTGATGAACTGAACGGGTCGTATGTGTAGCCTTCTGGCACAATGCTCGGAACTGTGTACCTCTGGTCTGAAGGAGTGCAGTGGTATAAGACAATGTTGGCAGAATTGAGCGAGCGGAAATGCGTCTTCGAGAGCTTGTTGGCAAATTCAGCGCGCGCCTCAGCGCGCGCCTTGGGAGATGTTGCCGACTCCCACTCCGCATCAAAGTCTGAATCCAATGAATCCTGATCCGACCCCGCGTCAGAATCAGCCTCGCAGTCTGGAAACTCCCAGTCCACTGTCCTGAGCTCCGGCAGTGCCACACCTAAATCTGGTGCAACGCTTGGGGCAAGTTTTCGCCCGCCCCAATTCTCGATAGTGAGATGCTGCACATTAGATAATGTAGGCAGATTCTCGGGTTGCACAAGGCGCAGGTGCGAGTCTGCCCAACGAGCGGACTGGATATCCCTGCATTCACCAAGCTCAATCTGGAGCTCATCCACTTCCCGAGAGTCTGTTGGCGACGAAGCTCCCACAATGTCGAGCCGCACCCCGTTCTTCACACCATTATCTTCCCAGGTTCGCAACGCGGTGAAAAGATCGCTAATAGCTTTCGTAAATGCCTCGTTGTTGGCATGCTGATCAAGTCGTGACTCCTTGTGTTCGTATGCTTCTTCCGAATATGTTGGCAGTTCCGCTTTGAAACTGATCCAGGAGAGGTACTTGCGACGATTTCCTGTTACAATCGACTGAAGCGATTCGAGCTCATCGCTCTTGACACCTAAACGGTGAAATGTAATGGTCTCAACTGCTTCCTTCCAAGTGCGATTGAGAATGGCAAGGCGAGGAAACTGAGATGGCGCACCATCGGGCTTGAAAGATTGTCCTATCGCCCAACGCCACTTTTCTTGGTCTGGGTAACGCTCTGCGAACCACACTATACGATTGATCAGCTCCTGTGGCAGTTTTTCCATGGCGTGAATGAGGTAGGAAAGGAGCGCACCATTGTTGCAGGAACGCTGTTGAGTAGGTACACAGGAGTACCGAGGCGCTAGCAAGGGTTTCCAAACAGACTAACGGTGTGGCGCCTTATGATTGATCGCCATTGATTTGATCGTCAGGTGAAAGGTGTCTCATGAGTCTGAGATCTTATCACAAGTGGATTAGCTCTCCGAACGACAAGAGTGTTCGATTGTTATCATATTGACCCTTGAAGATGTGCCCATTCGCCGCAGCGAAGTCACATAAGGCTATGATGTTTTAAGTCCTTGTTGCACAAGCGCGGCAATTGTCTTCGAGAATGCTAACATGTAGATATCCAAAGATAATTACACGGAACATCCATTCAGCTCCGGCAACACGGGGCTTATATATACAGCGGTCTGGTGCGATATTCATGGTTGAGAAAGCCATGGTCGACAAGAATCGTCCGACACCGGCACAACAACGCCATTTCCAGCTTGTCCAAGCAAGTCAAAGCTTTGACAAGAGACATCTTGATTGCCGGCACCAGCCGTTCCAATACATGTGGGAGGTGTGATGGGATATGATCTCTAGCTACCGTGAGGCGCATTGCCTACGCAGACAGCTAAGTGCTGCTCCAAGAACAACGTTACAACAGACGAGTGTGGCATATCGCACTCGTACGTATCTGTTCATGCGGCTACTCCAACACAGTACCAGTAATCTTTCCAGAATGAACTGCCACAAGCATTGCCATTATCCAAAACTGCATTCCAAGCATATAGTTGCGCATCAGATATCCCGTTTCGTTCAGCGAACAACTACAATTTGAGTTAGTCTTGGAGCGACACAGAATTGTATTCCGTAGACCTACAGCACACCAGTCTCCTTCCTGCGCCTGAGCAACTTTGTTGCATTCTTTGATCGCGTTGTTTGCTTGATTTGGCGAAGGGATGACGAAAGCACTGGGAGTAGGCGATGGTGGAAGAGCTGATCTGCTCACGCTGATCGAATCCGAAGTTCCAACACAGTATGCCGATCCCTGCCAAAAGTTGTCGCGGCAATCATTCGACACGGCGGGGTTCCAGGCATAAAATTGCTCTAAGGTGATGAAGTATTTGTTCGCAAGAATCGAGCAATCATCACCTTTCTCGACTATGTGCCATCGAACACAGTTTGCAGGCTGTCCAGTGTGGGTCGGTGCGCCAGGTCCCGGTGCAACTGTACTGCTAGGAGCAACGGAGGTTGGACTAATGCTCGTAGCGGGCGGTGGGGCATTGGGAGACTTGACGCAGTACGCCGTTTCTGTTCCTCGGTCAGCATGCGCGATAATTTTCCAGGGAATGAAAGGTGTCTCACCGGTCCAAAGATTTGCACAAGTTGAGCCTACAGCCGGATTCATCTTGAAAAATTGAGCCAAGGTGAGATCGAACAAAGCCAGAACATCCTCGCTAGCAGAATATGTGAGTGCTTGAGCTTTTCGACGTGTTGTTAGAGGCACTGACCAAGTGAAACCTTCAGACACATCCCTGAACTCAGTACAGTTTGTGTCAAAACCTTCCTGTTTTCCAACTATTAGCTAGAGTGTGTCGAACGTGCGAACTTGTGCTCACTCTGATCGGGAAATCCAATGATGTGCCTACTTCGGGACTGGCCTTTGGCGGCTCGAAATAGAACCTTCCACAATAGCGAACTCCGGGTTCGAAGCTGCAACTGAGAGCTTCTGTATCGTTGCCGAGTGAAGGGTTCCAGGTGAGCAGTTCGGACACCTCTACGCCGTATACGTCTGCAGCCAAATCGCATTGGTGGCGATAAAGAGTTCCTGTTATGTCACTTTCCATCTGTGATGCGTCGAAGTACTGGTAACAATCGTCTCTTGTATCAGTCGCAAGGCTCAGCTGTGTGGGCGTAGATGTTGTCGTAGCAGGTTTAGTGGGCGTAAAAGTGACTTTGGTGACTTCATACAGTCAGTATGTGACGCACAATATGCATGGTGAAATACGTACAAGGTAGTCCGGAAGGACCGGGAGTGTGGTAGCCAGGTCGCCCTGAGTAGGTGTTGACTTCAGTCGGTCAGCCGAAAACTTCGATCATCTAGTGTATCAATGTACTCACTGTCTCCGACTGGCGCTACACAATAACTGATATCTAACAGCAGATTGGTGCAGTTCGCGTTGATGGATGGGTTCAGGAATACGAAATCAGCCATTGCTATCGCATACCTCATTGTCACGAGGTTGCAATAGTCTCCGCTCTCAACGTTATACCACTGCCCACATTGTCGATTTGATTCGTCCTTCGCATTGGTGGGCACGGGTGCTGCGCTGACGGCTGTACTTGGTGCCAGAGGTGGCATAGCTGGGGGAGTGACATATGCTACACCAGGATTGGAGACGCAAATAGAAGTCCCGTTCATCTTATATAGATTGTGGCAGCCAGCGTTAATGATCTAGGTGCGTCAGAACAGTAGTAGAGAAGCGAGATCTGCGCACCATGCACTTACCGGATTCCAGGCTTTCAATTGCGCGATGGTGATGTTATTAGAGCTAGCCATGAGCTCGCAGGTGTCCGCAGGTTGTACAGTGTAGACTTTGCATGTGTTCTTGATGCACAATTTGCCATTTTGTGGGAAATCGGCGCAGTAAGCAGTAAGAGAATTGTCTGAAAGCAGCCAGGCTGTTCCTATGCTCTGAGACTTGGATATTTTGTAGCAGTCATCGCCGGTCTGAATATCGTATTCCTCGCCACTGCAGACCGATGATGTTGGTGTGGGACTAGCAACTGGAAGTCTGCATAGAGTTAGCATGGACCTTTGAACAACTATACATGTTTTTACTCACTGTGGGAAGGGTAAAGACGAGATAGACAATGGATAGCCCGTCACACCACAACTAGATGTTTTTGACTCGTACAAGGAACTCTCTCGAATTTGAGGTCCGTCGTAGTACGGACTGCCAGCCTGCTTCTGCAGATTTTTGATGAAACACAAATCGCAGGGTCCAGAGGCTTGCACGCCGCTTGGTGGCTCAGTGTCCCAGCCCATTGGGCTTTCTGTGTTGATTAGAATGATTTTGGAATAGGTGTATCGGTTTACCTACGTCCTGGATCTGCTTGCATGGCTGCAGCGACCGCAACTACATTACACCAGCGACCCGCGTCCTTGAGGCAAACAAGATCGTGGTTGAATCGCATAACATTGGCAATCAAGTCCAGTGGTGCACCATCTATCTCATCGTATGCCGTCCAAGTTTGCCCGGTGCAAGCTGTGGCGATGCTTGCTTCATACTGCTGGAGAGCAGTAACGCAGGCGCTTGTGCATGCCTTTTCCAGCACCGAGGGGGGATAGTAATATCCAATAGCAAAACTAGCCACGGTGGGAGGACATTCTTCAACGTCTGTAAGAAGGGCCGTCGCACAATCACTGGTCAGATTGGATGGAATAGTATTGTTACTGAAGAAGGGTATCGCAATGGCCGATGGGAGATACCAGAGGGGTAGCAGAAGCCGCAGCAACATTCTGGGACTATGCGAACGCGTTCTTGTGTAAGAGTCAGTATCGTCGTGTAAGATGTCTAAGACGGTCCACGGAGGACGTACTCACAAGGACAATTGCAACCAAGAGCGACGATGCAGGGTGATTCTATTGCAATTCACACCGAGGCATGAAAGCCTATACAGCCGCACTACATGGGGCACCTAATCCCTCGGCATTCCATCCTGATCATCATCTGGCGCCGGTGCGGGTTGCATAAGTCTTGTTGAGTATTAGCAACATGAAAGACCCCAAATCTGTTCATCAACAGGCTAAAAAGCGAGCCGTGAGGATGGAGCACTCGGCGCGGCCCGAATCCGGATGGAACGCCTGGTGCCAAGCATAGACCCTGAAGCTTGGCACCACTGGGAGTCGGAAGATCAGTGAGCTGCAAATGTTTTATCCACTGACAAGATTTACGCCCTGCAGATGTTCAGTATTAGCTTTGTCCTTGTAATCTCCACCGCTTCGATTGATTTCTCGGTCACAAGGTTGTCATGCCTACTTTGAGAGTACGACCGCGCTTCAGCCATTCCAACCTGAGCGGCGATCCCGTGGCGAGAAGGACAGGCTCGGCCGCCGCTGGGACGGCCTCTATGTTACAGCACTGCGCGCTAACAACTCATTCGATTTGGAAAGTACCTGGAGACATGATAGTTCACCAACTACCTGGTATTGCAGGCATATCTTCCGAACGACAAGATGACACTCATTCAACGTGACCTGTGTCCTTCCTAATACTTAGGTAGAAGCTGATATTATTTCCCGACGTCTTAGCAAGCGAACCCAAAGGCACCAATGCGGTAAAGCGCAAATATAGACGGGGTATCATGTCTGGGCCGCATGGTAAACTTCCCGCGGCATGTCTTCCAGTACAAGTCTGGAAATCCAGTCCGTTGGCTTGGTCTTGTATGCAGGGGCGCGAATTGCACGCGTACTACTCGCTGCTACGGCGGCCGCTGATATTCAGGCGTCCATTGAGTCCACGGCAGGTCCAGATGGCAACATTGGTGCTAACGTACTTGAGTTGTGGGTACCAGTAAGATGGACAGCGTCCGTTTAGCCAGAACACTTCTGATAACTCTCTTCTTCAGTCTTTGATCTTGGTTTCTTCCCTATTGTTATCAGTGGGATTAGACACCGAGATGTCCAGATCGACCTCCGCGTTCGTACGGTGGGCGATTGTTTTGTGTGTGTTGCTCTCCACTGCGACAGCGCATCAGTCGCACGCACGATTTCACCACAAGAGGTCTCACGGGCCACCAACTTGCGTGAAGCCTACTCAGTATGTATACGAACTCTGTGAGAAGTAGCGCCTTCGTAGCTGATTTGAGTTTAGTCCGTTTGACTATTCTGCGAAAGAAAAGTACACGGAACTTGCACCTGTTTGTCCGCATCTCACCCCACGCGCTCTACAGCCAAGAGCTGAAGAGGACTATTCATGCTCTGAGTCTAAGCCATGCAAGAATGGGGCCTGCTGCCCGAAGGCTACCGGATATTGTAACTATGGTGAGAAGTATTGCGGCACAAACGGTCAAAGTCCCAACGACGTTTGCTGGTCAAACTGCGATGCCAAAGCGGAGTGTGGCAAAGACGCTAAGATACCTGGTGCGAAATGCCCGCTCAATGTTTGTTGTTCAGAATTTGGGTATGCTAGTCAAGAAATTCTCGATGATACCAGCTTACAGCCCACAGCTTTTGCGGCATGACCGAGGAGTTTTGCGAGAAAGGTACCGAAGACGAACCAAAATGCCAGAGCAATTGCGAACAGCCAGGCTCTGGTGGCTCTGACGGCGATGCTCAGAAGATAGTGATCGGTTACTACGAAGCTTGGGCACATGACAGGAAATGTCAAGGCATGGTGGGTCAGGCCAGTCAAGAGCGAGTGCAACATACTCATTCGATTCGCAGGACTTCAAAGACATCCCAACAGGCGCACTGACTCATCTCTACTTTTCCTTCGGGTACATCTCACCTGGCACTTTCGATCTGGTACCGATGGATGACCTTAGCCCCGATCTATTCTCGCAGTTCACAGATGTCAAGAAATCGAACCCTGGCTTGAAAACGGTCATTGCTCTTGGCGGCTGGACCTTCAACGATAATGGCACCGCGACTCAGCCAGTCTTCAGCGACATGGTCAGCACCGCTGCTAATCGCGCCTTGTTCATCAAAAAGTTATTCGCTTTCATGAGACAGTACGCCTTCGATGGTGTGGACTTTGACTGGGAGTATCCTGGAGCAACTGATCGAGGTGGTAAGCCTGAAGACGGCGAAAACTTTGTTACGTTCTTGAAGGAACTTAACGAGGAGAACGATAAACAGCTTATGCATTATGTTGTCTCTTTCACTGTTCCTACCAGCTTCTGGTATCTGAGACATTTTGATCTGAAAGCTGTGGATTACGTTGACTTCGTCAATGTTATGAGCTATGATCTACATGGAGTAAGTGAAGCCATATCTTTGCCTCCCGCTTCTTCATCTATGTGTATCGGAAAGTAAGATATCGAGGTGAAGAGACAACACACTTTTGAGGAATTGCTCTCCTCACAAGCTTCATGATGGCTAGCCAAGGTGTCGGATGCAGCGATAATATGCATCATTTATTACTGAGCAAGCGCTAACATATATGTCTAGGTCTGGGACTCAACAAATCCAATTGGCAACCACATATATGGGCATTCGAACTTGACCGAGATCAAGCTAGCTTTAGATCTTTTCTGGCGCAACGACATCAAACCAGAGAAGCTCAATCTGGGGCTAGGGTTCTACGGTCGCAGTTTCCAGCTGTCAGACCCCTCGTGTTACCGGCCTGGCTGTAACTTCAAGGGCGGAGCATCTCCTGGTCCCTGTTCCGACAACTCAGGTACCTTGACGTACAAAGAGATTCAACAGGTGATCAAACAGCACAAGATCAGTCCTTACTATGGTAAGCAGCCACGCCGAGACCAGCACATGTGGCAGATCTGCTGACCACCTTTTGAACTTTTAGACAAGGAGGCTCAAGTCAAGTACATCACCTGGAATCAAGACCAATGGGTTTCGTATGATGACAAAGATACATTCAAGGCGAAGATTGACTTTGCGAACAAGCTAGGTCTCGGTGGACTACTTATTTGGGCAATTGACCAAGATACGGATGATTTGGATGCTCTTAACGCCGTCGTCTCTCCAAAGTCTGTCAAAGCTCTCGCAATGACTGCCGATGACGCTTCCTTTTGGGACGATGCTACAGTACCGGATTGCTATGTCACTGACTGTGGCGGCACTTGTAAGGCTGGTTTCTTCAAAATTGAACAGCAACCATGTGGTGGCGCGAAGCCTGTCACGCGCAACTCCAAAGAAAAGGACAGCCAGCTGTGCTGTCCAGTTTCCAGTGCACCCGATCCTGACAAATGTCACTGGCGCGGTGAAGCACCTCCATGCAATGGCCGTTGTCACGACAATGAGGTACTACTTCAAATGAACAAGTGGGGTGACGGGAAGTACTGTGAAGACGGAAACAAAGCATATTGTTGCGAGTCACCTGCGGCTAAGGGTCATGACTGTTACTGGGCAGGCGTCGGCAAGGATTGCAATAACGATGACACGACAATGACCTTTTCAGGCACTTTTCTTAGCACGATTGCCGACATTGCAGACGCGATGACTTTGATCGATAACGCTCTGGTTAACTGGCTCGAAGCCGTTGACGTCGACATGCAGAAACGATACTGCTGCCCAAAGAAAGATGCCAAAAATTGGAAGAACTGCCGGTGGTACGGAGAGCCCGGATCTTGCTTCGACAACCATTGCCCGGTCGGAAAGCAAGTGCAACTCACGGATAGCCCGTACGGTTTTGGGCAGTCCTGTTTCCCTCGGCTGGAAAGGAACAGAGTCTACTGCTGCGACCCAACGGATGGTAAACAGCTATTTCTTCCGGTACCACTTGATCGGCTGTTCAGCGACCCCCCGACTGGGGACGACATCGATACGGACTTCGAGCTCAATGTAGACGATACTTTTGGTGGACAGGGCGACAAGACCGACGATGACCCTTCGAATGCTGCGTTTCAGTTCGTCGTGCTTGCATCGCCTAAAGAATTGCAACACTCTCTCGATAAACGCGATGGCTCTCACTGGGAAGTGTTCAATTGCCAAGGTGGGCCAAGTGAAGAGGAGCAAACCATCCAGATGTTTTGCACCGACGTCTCGGAGAACAACAATTGTCAGAACATTGGACTTGGACACGGTGTACCCGGCACTATCCTTGAAATGCCAGCTGGCTGTGGAGCCGGCCGCTATGCCGTCGCGAAACACATGGTCCCTGCTGTCAATCAGACAATTCCGCACCATCTTCGGAAGCGAGCATCACATATGCCAATGGTCTATGATCTGACCTTCGACTACAACTTCAGGCGCGTCCCTCGCGATTCTGGAGATACCCAGATGAGGATAGACTTCTCCAATAAGAACGACTACTGGGACAATGTTGTCGCAGCTGCAAGCACAAAGCGTAAATCTAAACGCTCCTTGTCTGATTTTGACGGCAATCACAAGAGATGGCTGGAAGAGGAGTGGCGAGATGACTACCACGGTGGTGTTCTTAGTCACGAGGAGCTTCACAAGCGATGGTTCGGATCCGACGTGCTTGCTTGGCTTACGAACTTGGTCAGTCCCAAGATTGAGAAAGAGTTTACACACGATGTGAAGGAGCAATTCATCGCCAAAATCATTGACGACAAAGTTGAGTGTGGCACAGGACCAGCGAAGTTCAATGCCCATGTTTTGGTGCAGGCTCTCACAGATGTCGAGATCTCCACCAGTTTTGGTTTCACCCTCATCACTAAGCTCAATTTCGATGATAAAGGCGGCTCTCTTGACCTGAGTCAGTCGTATCTTACATTCAGTAACAGTGGTAAGGTCACTGCTGTATTCACTCTCGAAGCTATGATCAAGGTTTCGTATGAGTCGGGAGAGAAGACAATTCTCACTCTTCCCTTCCCAGGCGCAACGTTCCGAGTTCCTGGCATTGTTACTATTGGTCCCTCGGTCCGCGTGGTTGGTGAGTTCAACGCTGGCCTCACACTATCTGCGGAGATAGAAACAAAGATCGATCTTGCGGATTGGGACGTCCGGCAAACTTACCCAGCCGCTTCCGAGGAATACGAGCCTCAGGCTGACAAGGAACTGGATTCTGGAGAGACTGGTGACAAAAACGGCCTGCTGGAACCTCAATTCTACGCTGCTGTTCTAGCTTCAGGCCAGGCTGAGGCCCATCTCAAGGCTGTCGCAGAGTTTGGTATTCGCTTCGATGACGACTGGAAGGTCGGGGCCGCAACGGCCGGAGTCGTAGCTGATGGCTACGTTCGTATGGAGGTTGGAGCTGGTAAGAGCACTGAAGCTTCATGTCCGTGGACATATGGCTTCTACGTGGGCGCAAAGTTGTATGCGCAGGTCAGTACTCCGGCAGCGTTCGGTTGGGGCACCAAGACGTGGGATCTCCCAGGATCTGGTGAGGTGGGTCTTCCAGAGGGTGGCCAATGTCCCGACCTTCAATCAGGCCAGCCGACTAAGCGCGGTTTCATGTCGGTCGATGGTGGTCTTCCCCCTTACCACTCTTATGGACTCTCCGGGATTGCGAACGATAGCATAACGGTACACCGATTTGGCAAACGCGTCACACCCTGGGGTCCCCCATTTCACATTCCCCTACAGGACCTGTTGTGCCCGAGCCCTGGAGGAAGCCCTGACAACGAAGGATCGGCGTGTTCAGAGCTTTCACATGTGGTGGACGGTAGTACTTCTCTGGCAAAGCGCGCGTCTGGCGATGTGACCCTCAACCATCTGTTTGCACGAGGTTTGGATCGCAAAACCCAGGACATCTGCGACAAACTCGGCGGCAAGATGGTCATTGTTAGCGCTGACTTCCACACCTCCGGTACCATATTGAACGTAAGTCATGTTACATGCCTCGAAGAGACTAGGCTTTACAAGCTATGCTCCCTTAGCAAATTCTAGTATGACCTCGCTGACATTCGGTTGGACAGGTACTCCCAAATATAGCGACATATGGCTACACAAACTACCAAAGTTGCCTTGACATGGGTTTTGGTCAAATCACAACGCCTACTGCCGGTAATACAGGACGATTCGCCACAGAGCATATCTTGGAATTCCAGATGGTCAAGAATTTCTTCGATAATTATGCCAAACCAACAAAGTCTAGTTCTTTGACCAAGATCGACTGTTACAACACACAAAAAAACATCAACTTCTGCAAATGCGTTCAAAGCTTCTGGTACGATGTCAGAGTTGCAGAAAGAATCACTATCAACGGTGTGACTAAGTCTGCCATCGATTGGGTTGGCGCTGTCTTTCCCAGCCACACCAACCAATGGAGTAACGAGCTCGTTCTTCTCGATGGCGAAGTCAACAACATCAAAGAAGGTCTCTGGGGCGTCAGTGACGCCCGCAATTCCGACACACTCGATACATATGCGGGCGACGGTGTAAAACTCTTCAAATACGTCAAAGACACTATCGCTGCCATCCGCTACCATATCGATCCCTTCATCCGCCAAACACTGGTTGCTCAGAAAGACCGGGTCGGCCAGATGTTGAACGAACTCGAAACAGTTCACCTGCCGCAAATCACAAAGACCATCAACAATCAGCAGGTCACTTGGCAAAGTCTGGATCTGCAGACAAAGTGGAATACGTATATGCGTACTCAGAATGCGGCGGCTATCACAAAAAGCTTCGCGTTGGTAGACAAGTATCTGGCCAAGTTGGTGGATGGATATACCTCGGTTGCGCAGAGAGAGGCGGCGAAGAGGGGGACGGCTGATGCACTCATTCTCAAGGGGCTTATTGAGAAGATTGATGCCCTGCAGGCTGACTGGACTAATAACAAGCCGGTTTGGACGAATCCTTTGTAGTTATTAGAACCTCCGTTAGTGTTCATATAGAATTGGCGTGTAGTGTAGCCACTTTTAGAGACACTTTTGTTTATGGTGTTGCAGTGCAGGGAGTGCACGTAGTACATATCGGGATGGCGACCTGCAATTAGTAACAGCACAGTGGATCAATCGTTGTATGCTGCCGAGAAAGTGATGGTAGTTATTTATGATAGAGGCTATAGTAGAAGGTATAGCAACAGGATTGCGATCTCCGGAATGAGTAACTAAGATGAAACAATAAGTGATTAATGCTAACGCAGGACCGCGAGTCTCGACAGATCGTTAGGGAGAATTGATTCTTAGTGTCCTATGATCGTATATGATAGATTGGCGTTGTCATATGCACAAAAAAGCATATGTAACATCACATCCAGATCGAGCTACTGCTCAAGGTTTCTCCCTATTTGTCCAGATGAGCACGGAATATCTCAGGGTATCGATGGCCTGAGACAGTGGCCTTGCTAAGAGCTTTCTCAAGTTCCTGAGTCTCCGCCTGCGTAAGCTCAACGTATTTGGTGTTCTCCATGACACGCTCCACCTTGGTGGAACCGGGGATGGGCAGAACACCCTGCTGCTGTACCCAAGCAATTGCGACCTGTGCGCTGGTGGACCCCTTCTTCCTAGCAACATTCTCAACAGCCTCAGCTAGCTCTACGTTCTTCTCGAAGTTTCCAGGCTGAAAGCGGGGGTAAAATCGGCGGAAGTCGTTTTCGGGGATATCATCGAGAGTCTTGAATTGCCCAGTCAGCCAGCCGCGGTCTAGGGGGCTGTATCCGACAACAGGGATACTGAGTTCACGGCAAGTTTCGACGACGCCTCCCTTTTCCAGAGCTTCTTGCGAAAACAGGCTCAGTTCGATCTCGACAGCAGCGGGAGGGTATACGGCATGAGCACGACGGATCGTTTGAGCGCTCACCTCGCTGAGGCCATAGGATCCAATCTTGCCTTCCTTGATTAGCTCAGCAAGTGCCCTGACACTCTCCTCTATAGGAACGTTGGGGTCGACGCGTGCGGGCTCAAAGAGATCGATGGACTTGAGACCATCGAGCAAGGTGAGGCATTCGTCAACGGATGCTCGAATCTGCTCCGGACTAGCAGTTGGTGACTGTGTAGCTCCATCATAGGCGCCTTTGATGCTGAGCACAACGCGCGATGCATCTTCCGGGTACTTGGTAAAGTAGTGCTTGAGGAGATGGAGAGAATTCGCGTCTGGAGATCCGTAGAAGGTTCCCTATGAGGATGTTAGCCACCGCTGTATAAACAAATCTCTCATGTGGTTCATACAGCGTTCCAGAAGGTGGCACCGTTTTCCAGAGCGGCTTTCAATGGCTTAGTCGCCTCGTCGTGGGTGATGTTGCCGAACAGCGTAAGGGCTATACAGGTGATGCTTAGCGATTGTGATAGCACATCGCTGTCTTCTACATGCAACTTACTCATTAGGCCATAGCCAATGGGGCCAACAGGCTTCCCAGCGATTGTCTTAGGGGCGGACAAGGGGGACATTTTGTTTCTGTATTGGAGATTGGGGTGAGGTGTTTGTGCTGGATCATCCTAGGGTTGCGACGTAGATATTTGCTTAAATACGCCCGACACTCATACGCCCAACACACATACGCCCGACACTCATACGCCCGACACTCATACGCCCGACACTCCTTCCACCAGTTATCTCCGCTAGGGCGGCTAGGCTGACAACATGGGGCGATTGCACCGCACCGGACATAAGACAATATCCGCAATTACATGCAGTCTGTGGAGTTGTCATTTTTGTTTGCGGACATTCGTGTAGTTGCATCGGCAGTATCGCTTTGAGAGGCGCCTGAACAGTAGCCTTTAGCAATAGTGATGGGCGCCAATCAGAAAGGCAACCAATCGAGTAGCGTGATGTCGCTTACAGTTGGCAACACCCTCGTCATATTATGATGTGCTTGAACGTGATACCGAGTCGAAGTTTCTGGGTTTGTCCTCTGCGCGATACTCTCTCGATAGTCGTTTCCAAAGAGACTATGTGAATGTGACTGGTGACCTGTGAAAGTCAATGAGAAAGTTAATAAGGATACAAAACAAAGCAAGCAGCTCACTGACACGTGTGTCCAAGTCCTCTTTGAGGATAGGGAAGACGAGGAAAGAACCCATGATCACGAATGCCGTGCTGATTCCTGCTGGCACAGAGCACTAACTCTGGTCTTCTCAGTAAGCACGCCTTTTAACATCGACACCCAGCATCGCGGAAAGTGGCGGACATGGTTTCTGGTGGAGTCAATGTTGCAAATTTCAGAAAACGTAGATCTTGTCATGAATAGCGAGGACAGTCTTGCGGCACTGTCCTGTACCCGGGGCGCTCTTGTCGTAGAACCCCGATCCGTTGGCTGGTGTCTAGAGGTTTTTGACAAGCTCTGTGTTCGCGGCAGACTTTGCGATTACTCTCTATGCGCACCGGATAGCGGGCGTTTCGAGTGTATTGATCGCGCATACTTTTGTAGATGCAGCATCTAATTCAGGTTTTCGCCGACGAGATTATATGTTATAAAAACGTTCAAGGGCGAGCTTCACTCGAAGGGCACTTGGGTACGCTCGCAAAAGTAAAATATAAGGTACACACATACACGACACCTAGACCGACACTCGACGGGGTTTACATCGGCATATCGCAATAAAAGGCGCGTGAGCGGTCCGTTCGCAGGCAACGTTCGGTGTTGTTGAATGAGGCACCGACCATCGAGTAACAGCATTGTGTGCTATATGCCATGTGTCAGTATCGACGAGCCACGAGAGGCTGCAGTTGTTGCTTAGCAGCTATGAGTCTTGGTCGCAAGGACTATCTAGTTCATGCACGCTTATCCGGTTTGTCGTATACTAGTGCGGTGTTGGCGAGGCTTTTGAGTAACAGCGTGCGAAATAGAGCGATGGTCACTGTGTAACGTGTATTTATGATGCGTGGTGAGGACGCAAAGATATATTGTGAGTGTTGAAAGAGAAGGGTGAGGGGGAAGATTTTGCTTGTGGCTGTCCTCGTGCGGTGGACGCGGCAAGCGATTCCCACTGTGCAGATGACGATGACATCACACCCACCGCCTAGCGCGTTATTTACGCGTTTCGATACCCTCCCCCCGCAAATACATAGTAATTATCCAATACCCAGAATGTCTCAAGAACTGGATTAGTATAGTTTCAAAGGCTGTATGTCCATACCGATTTCAATGATATCGCGCCGTCACGCCCGATTGTGCATATAGAGGTGCCCAGAGCTCGTGGCACCCTAGCATGCTTCCAACAGCGCACATACCGCAGTGACGATACTCAGGACGACTATTGAAATCGACTCGACTCCGTGTACTGTAAGGCCGCCACCATGGTTGAGTCCGCCGAAGAAGACCTGCCGCCGTCCGATAGTTCCTATCTAGTTCTCCGACATCCTACCACTGAAGAGTGCACAGCCATTTCGACAAATACCTTTACCATGTGGAAAGATTCGCTCACACTCCCGCTCTTCTTGGAAGAGTCGCACCTCCTCACCACAGTGCCTTTGGCCCGCAATGGAGGCATGACAATGTGGATCTTAGTCCACCGAGATCAAGCTCCAGGCGAACGTCAAATTCTGTGCTCTTGCGAGAGCTTCTACAAGCGCTCGCTCACCAGCGATACTAGCGGTACAATCAGTGAGAACATAGTGCATGGTATAGCCAGTGTCTTTTGCCCTGAAGCATACCGTGGTCGAGGTTATTCAGCACGCATGATGCGTGAGCTGGCGAGAGTGTTACACACATGGCAGGCGGAAGGGCAGCGGTGTGTAGGGAGCACTCTATACTCTGACATCGGCAAACAATTTTACACGAAGCTGGGTTGGCCACCGAACGCTACAAATTCACAGATCGAGCTTCAACCTGATACTACAGTATGGCCTTCGCTTGCTTTACCAATCATAGAAAATGAACTGGAAGCATTTTGCAAGCGGGATGAAAAGATGGTTCGATCTCGTATGGCTGTACCCGCACAAGGCTCAAGATTCCGCTTCACGATCATTCCAGACCTGGACCATATGCTGTGGCACATATCTAAAGAAAATTTCGCCACCAGACACCTTTTTAATAGAACACCCGACGTAAAAGGTGCTATCGCCGGACCGCCAGGCAGTCAAATCTGGGCCATTTGGACTCACCGGTACTACAATCAACCCGACAAAAGTTCATCGGCAAACGTGCTATACGTGCTTCGGCTTGTCGTAGAGATCGACGAGACCGCAACAAGGCTATCTTCAGATGTGGCAAAACGGCCTGATTCTAATGCTTACAACCAGCAAGTGGGATATCTCAGAGCGGTTTTACAAGCAGCAAGGGCCGAAGCGAAGAGTTGGAGATTAGACGTCGTCAAGTTGTGGGATCCTACGCCCTTGGTTCTGGACATGCTGGCTCAGAGTGGTCTGGAATATGAGGTCATCGAGCGGGAGAACGATAGTATCGCCAGCCTGCTTTGGTACGACGAGTCTGGCGGTACGGAAAACGAGGCGCCTTTATGGTTGAACAACGAGCACTATGCATGGCAATAAGAAATCAGAGGGGTGGGGGTTCTAATGGATAGTCTTCTCGTGCTTGCCTACCATGCAACATTAGACCTCCTTGGGTTTAACAACCTGCGCTCAGGTAAGTCTCGTTCTTTTCTCTGAATGCAATATTTCTTGGTCTTTGCTGTGTTCGTTCATACACAAACACAGGCCTTATTGCATGAATCTCCCCCGTTCTATATTGGCGAAGTGCTCCCGAACCCATTGCCTTTTGCGCAATCCAGCCTCGTCGACCATAATCAACGTCTACAGGATAATTCCAAACGGTGAACCTGTATGACATGCGATTGTCAACAAGCTCATGGACTCGAGCTTCGCTTGGAAACCTCTATTTCGAGTACGCGTAGATGCGATGCAAATGCAGTGTGTGACCAATAATCATTAAGCACTGCCAGTTGCGTGATCCTTCCATATATGCATCTGGAATAGCGTTCGTTTGTGGAGCGACTCAACTCTTTCGTTGTGAGAAGTGGCGTTCGTTATCAGTAGAAGTGCATCAGGCTGAGGGGAACCGACCCGACTGTGCATCGACTCAATGCGGGTCCTCGGATGTTTGGATGCGAAGCAAATCACGCAGTCTTAGAGCCAACCATCTGAGGTTCTATTCCGTTCTCTCGGCGCTTCCTCAATCTCTTACCGTCTCTTAAAGATCCATCGTTCCATTCTACGGCATCAGCTTGCGTCATCGATTCAACATGAGACCCCAGGCCACGATTTCCACGCATCAACTAGATCAGCCGCAGATTTGCTTCAATCGTCAAGACGACAAAGGATTTTGGAACTCTTGTAAAGCATGGCACTGGTACCCACTTCACCTGTGTCTGTGTGTAGCCTTTGTTGGGATCATGTTCACCCTAGTCGATGGGCGTGCTTTCAGAATCGCAACCCCAGCCTACTTCTTCCAGCGCGAGTCTGGGCTATACCAAGCAGAAGCGACTGGCTTTGTTTCTGCTGCATTAGTCCTTCTGCGGCTCATAGCTGAGATTGGCTCGTCACTCATCATCTGGCGCCTTGTCTTCCTCCTTCTTGGCAAAACCGGAATCACACTTGTGGAGCTTTGCCGCGTGGTAGACATGAGGCTTCCGATATTTTCTGGCTTTGGATCCCCCCAGCATCTATACTGTTCGCTATTTGCAGTCATCATTGTCGTACTCGTGTGGCCATCCTCTATTGCAGCACCTCTCGCCAACTCGTCCTTGCAGTGGATTCCTTCATCCCAGCTCGTCCATCTTCGAACACGAAACTATGAACTTCCAGATATCAGGACCCAAGACGCGTGGGACAGCTTTCTTTACCCAGAGGATATTGTCGCGATCGCATTGAGAGCGGCTACTATGGGTGCCAGGGATTCGGACTACGCCTTTAGCGCCACCCAAGCTACTCAACGACGCTATATGTACTTGGATCCTCATCTTCCCTCGGAAAGTCTTGCTTTAACGCAAATGCCATATTTTGAGGTTTCGAATATTGAGTGGATGAACGTACAATTCGACTCGGAAACCCCTGGAGATTGGAAGCCAAGTTCCCTCGCTAATGCTAGCATGCAGGAACTTCCCGCTAACAGTAAAAAGATGGGAAACTTAGGTTTCTGGATGACGGAAAAGTGGAACTTTACGAGCGCCACAGAACTCTACAAGAAGCCAACTACCTTTTATGAGAACAAAAGAAATGTCTCGATTCTTGTCGGTCGTATAGGCCTAAACAATGAGGATGACGCAGACTTGGGAACCAATACTACCCAGTGTTCATCTAAACCGGGTAGATTTGGACATTTGCCCACAGGCGTGAGCCACTTCAATTCCTCATGGTTCGTCGACGGTGAATGGACTGCGACGGATTGCTTTCTAGTCGCAGAGGTCACAATGAGGATCGGAATGACCGAGGAACAAAACTACAACATCACACTGGTTGGTGCCTCCGAAAACCTCCACGTAGCATCACCACTAAACGGAGCGAATCAGTCACAGCCAGACCTGATGCCTGATTTAGCTATACTCCCCACCTTGGATATGATGACAGACGTTTTACAACATCTGGTCTCACTGGGCGTTGGGTCGCAGCACCAAGACAATGTGCAAAATTATCTTGCGGGAATGTTGGCAGTCGCGTACCACGCGACGCGTAGCGCTCTGGTAGAACAAGCCACAGACTCCAATACGACAATTACCGCGATACCATCAGAACCGATAGTGCGTGCGTTAGTCAATCGGCGTCGTTTGTATGTGTGGTTGGCTTTGAATGCAACTTTGACACTTGCAGCTCTGCTCTTGTGGGTAGTGCAATCCACCACGACCAAAACTTCGAAAACCGTTCGAGACCCAACGCTTGTGGCCCTTACCACGAACATGGACGCCGTGTGTCATAAGAATGGGTATGGGCTTTGTAATGCGGTCGCTTTGAGCGGTGGCGATAAGAAACTGGGTAGAATGGTTTGGGATTACGAACACGGCGGATCTTGTCGAAAGTTGCGCTTTGCGAGCGGAGGTGATTTGGATGAGAATACGCAGACATCTATACCTTTACTTTCTCTGCGACAGTACAACAAACTTCCGGATCATTAGGCAACAAGCCTGAGAATGTTGGTAGTTTTAGCTCGTGTTTGTGGAGAGCCTACTAGCGTCTCTGCACCCTTGTGATGGGTCAGTCTTCATCCCATCCATCGCCCGATTGATTGCCATCCAGATAGTGAATTACATTCTCTTCCCCTTCCGTGATATCCAGTGGCTCACCACCGTCCCTAAAAGAGTACACTTGCTCTGAGACTTGATAGGCTTTGCATCTGACACGCATGTGCAACACCTGGCCTTTATGGTTGAGAGCTACAAGCAACACCCAACCATCTTCACATGCCTCACGGTCTGCAACCACTACAAGCAGAGCTTGTCGCGATCTTAGATCATCGTCGTCCTCCGCCGTATCACGACTTCCACTATTAGGTTCCATCGCGTCGGGGCACTGGATCAGAGCGCTCAGTATGAAAGATGGGACATCACTCATCAGCTCCACCTCATCGTCTGCGTCCCGTGCTATTACCCCATAAGCAGTAGCATCATCTTTGAATACATTTGGACCAAACAGATCAGCGTTAAACTTGTAATGGTCCTGTGGAGGACATGAAGCTTTCCGCCACAACCGAGTATATGCTTCGTCGGCACTCGCACGTGTGACGATCTCTTTGTCCGACATGTTGTCCAGAGATGCTTCGTTGCCGTACCACGTCCGAATCCAGATAACACCAGCAACACCCCAATTGTCTGGATCTGTCGCCTTGCGCTTCTCAAACACTGACAGGTTTGAAGGGATGTGATCGGGCAAAGAAATATCGTCTTCCCTGCATCGCTCGAAGTACGGCTGATTGACGTGCACATCAGTGGCCTGACCTGCAAAGTATCCCCATGGTTGGACGAGGAGATCCTACATAGCGGCCTCGTTGGCCGAGGCTAATCCATGCTCTGACAATGTTTCGTTCTTGCTCGTCTTGGTGTAGAGTCGACTCTGGGTCCCATTTTTCCTGTTGCCCCGCGTCAGCCGCGACTAGGGAGCTTCAGCCGTCCTGGCTGGCATACCAGGAGGAAATGATCAAAGGGCTCACAGCCAAATGTGTCATGTAAAGTCGGCGAACTGGTCATATGAGCGATTCGGTGTGAGCTGGAGTAAAGAAAGCAATGTTGCGTGCTTTTTCTACGGTCGCCTTGTAGTGCAGCTGTAGAACGGGAAGCGGTATGAGGCGTCCGCGGAATGGGGTCGTAGACTCAGGCTGGCCTTGGCGCATACAGTCGCTTTCCCATTGGCCAGGATACTGATCCTTGCAGACCAGCCCCAGCATAGGTGTTTGAAACTATCTCGAAAGGTATCCTTTCGATTCCGTGACGAAGTTTCTGGTAGAGGGTCGTGGCAACATGTACAGTGCAAGCTTTCGCCTGCCAGAAATTCCTTCGGAAGGCCGCTTGGACGACGAATCTCCACAGCACAGCATTGCTTTTCTCCACATTTGCTTGAGTTGGGTGTTGTGTGAGGAGCTGGACTGGACGATCGCTGCAAATCGCGTGCGATCTTTGAGTGTGGGTGGCATGATTTTGTAGAAGCGAGTTTGGTGGAATTGAGGAGATGTGAGCAAAGAAAAAAGAGGGCTTTTTCCAGAGATTTTCAAAAACGAAAGCAAAATAAGAGAGGAGTGTAAATCGGCAATGTGCCCAGGGTGTGCCCAGGTCGAAGCTTCAAGAGCCACCAATGGGTCAATTTGTATAAATGGTCTTTCTAGTGTTTGTTGATCATGTACACAAGAGTCAAATTACAGGCCCGTGTTAGCTGGAACTTTGCCGTGGCTGGAAACAACGGTTCTGAGGCAGGGAGAGCAACCCTTGTCTAACGAGCCTACTTTGGTAAGAGAAGCTATGGTAAATAGGCGACTCCGCAGATGCTCAGTGCGGCGGTGTCTGGAAAGGCGAAATAGCCGTCGGCGCTACTGTCGCTATGCAACCGATGGGGGTTCTCGTGGAGCAGACCTTTGACAAGAGGGTGTAGATGGTTGATGGTTAAGTAGCTGCTCGCGGTAGCAATGCAGGTCCTGGAGCGATCACGATGACCCGGGTCTAGGCAGAGCGGAAGCTAACCCGGACGTGCCAACGACGTCACGGCAAGCCAGCCACCCAGCCATCCTCGCATGCTCCATGGGCGTCTCCACTCCAGCCCGTCTCCACGGTACACCTCATCCAAAGACACCTCACAGCCCTCACCGCATCGCGACACGTACTATTCCCAACAGAAGCTGCTGCGCATACATGAGCGCCATCACCGCGCTGCATGTGGCAGACGTTGCGATCATACAATCGTGATTTTGCCATTCCGGGTTCCAAGCGGTCACGGATGGCTTCTGGGAGCATTGGCGACGTGCCTGCCGCGACTTTTGCTGAGTACGTAGACGATCCTTTCCTCGACCACGGTAAGAGGGCAGGTGCATCGCAGGCGTCTTTGGAAGGCGATGACGACGTGACCAAGAATGCGCCGTCGGCCGATGCACCGCAATTCGACCTGGCGCAAAGGCCCGAAGCACCTTCGCGATGCATCGCGTTGCGCCCGGCCCTGACCCACCGCCTCTATTCCCATCGCCTCCATGTACGGGCAAAAGCTAAGCTGCAACGCGATAGACTGCTCTCCGGCCCTATGATCGATATATACGTAGGCGAGTCCAACCGCCACTGGTCGCTGCACCGCAACCTCCTGTGCCACCACTCCGAGACCCTCGAGAACGAGCTGCTTGGTGATGCAGACGGCCACACTAGAAAAGACCAGCTCGATCTCCCCGACCACAGCCCCGCCGGCTTCGAGCTGCTGGTGAAATGGCTGTACCAAGGCAGCCTCGACGATGTCTCCGACATGGCTGACGCCAATCTCAAGTACGAGTATGCTGTGAGCTGCCACAAACTCTATCTCCTCTGCGATCGCTTCGACATGGCTCAGTTGAAGAACGTCGCCATGGACCAGTATCGAAAAGGCCTAAATGAGGCCGAGCTGGTACCTGACGCTGACGAGATCGACGACATCTATCGCAAAAGCCCGACAGGGTCACCGTTCCGCAAGCTCATGACGCGCATCGCAGCCCGCCAGATCATGGATCCTGGCAGTGAGCGCGATGTTGAGACTTACCGCGAGTGCTTTGAGAACAACCCCGATTTCGCCATCGACTTGGTCAAGGCAATCAGGTCAGGTACTGGCGGCATGCTATTTGACGACCCTACAGATGAGGGCAACGAATGCGACTACCATGACCACGAAGCTGGGCCCAACTGCCACACAAAGGGCAAGGGCAAGGGGAAGCAAGGTGTGTGACTCTGATCTCCACCCAGCCCATTTCCAATCCCATATCAGCCGTCTCGTCGCTGTCACAATCACAACACGCATAATAACATCCATTAACCAGTAAAGAAGAAAGCCGGCCCGTCATCCGCCAAATCCGTCCCTTACATAAGCTCCGACCAGCAGAACCGCCCTCCCCGCCCTCTTCCCCCGAAGACGCCTCACCCGTCTCGTCCCCTACCGGCTCGCCCACAAGAAGGCAGCGTCGGTCCTCTCCGCCGTCGGCTGACAAGTCCGGCGAGTTCGACAGTAGTCACATCGACGGAGATGGCAGTCGCCAGTCAGCCGCCCAACCCCGACGCGATTCGGGAGAGGGAGAAGGACAGGGAGAAGTTGCGCAAAGTGACGCCACCGGAGCGCAGACGCCTAGAGCGAGCTCAAAGCAGCGGAACGGAGATACAGAAGTCACGCCCAGTCCTAGAAGAGCGCCGCCGAAGCTCAGACGACGCCTCTCCCCCACACCAGAATAGCCATATAGAAGACGAAGCACTCGGGGAGCTTGAAGGAGGACCAGTGCAACCACCACAAAGGACACCTTCGCGTCGAGGTATCTGGGAATGGGCTAGAGTAGGAACGGGCAGACTGAACATCATCGGACGAATACCGCATCCTGAATGGAAAGGCCCGGTAGTGTCGCACCAAGTCGTCATGAATGGCAACTCGCAGATAAGCACCATTCCCGAGATGCATGACGATTTCAGTATCCCCTCCTCGACGGCTACCGAGACAAACGATTTACAAGAATACAACCAAGCAATGGCGGCCAAGATGGAAGGTTTTGGGTTCCCCCATGCTCATATCACAACGTCACCATCCTTCTCACAGACCAAGCGCTCCTCCGACGACCTTGTTGCTGCATCCTCTACGGCTAGCACGCCGGCCAATTTAAATCTCGTCTCCGAGGCTTGGACGCATGGCGAGCGAATCACACCACAACCTTCAAAGGACAGCCCGCCATTGACGCCGGACACCCCTACGCCGAATCAACGTAGGAAGGATTCAACCATAGAGGATGAGAGCACACCTACCAAGGACGCATCGGAAAGCGTAAAGGCAGAGGTCGCTGATCGATCTCACAATGGCGTCAAGACCACCCCTACGCCTGACCGCATCCCGAAGTACCGGATAGCGCTTACGTCAAATTTCCTTTCACCGGCTCGCAGTACCACGAGTTCAACTTCTTAGTTTCTTTCATCACGATTACGATTTGATACGATACCCTATACATACATATTATCTGGCGTTCTAAGCGCAGAATCATTTAATGCAATTCGATTTTTGACCAATATCAGCAGCAGCATTCACTGACTACATGAACGCAACACCACAGCAGTTCTTTCACATACGACCATAGGACACTGAAAATTAGGCTTCCCGTCCGCTCAGCCATATACAAGCAGTGTACCGGCGGATTAGTAGTTAGGTGGGTGACCACTAGCGAATCCCCGCTGTTGTATGTTTTTTTTTTTGCCAATTCTTTCTATTGTTGAGCCCATCAATCTATTAGTGGTAGGTGGATGAATCTGCGATACAGCTTCACAAAGACCGTTCCGTCAGCTTATCCCGTGAGGGGTTCTTCTTTTTCTTCTGATGCCGACATTCCTTTGCTGCCTCGTGCCTTCGATACTTTGACCGAGAGATCACCATATCTTGTGCTGACCTGAAAGATACGCAATTAGATAATCACAGAGCCCACAAGTTTGCCTATCAAAAAGCTAACTGGTATAATTCAATACACTAGCGTTCAATCTCACAAGCTCTTAGCACTTGTTGAACTTGCTCAACATCTAAACCACGCCCAGGTCGATATCAAGCAACCTACCAACTTCAGATGATATCCGCTTTTCGAAGAGCTTTTCGAAGATCCTAATTTTCGAGCTCTATAGATATGCTTAGAGCTGCAATGACAAGTATCACGAATGGTCTGAAGAAGGCGGTGAGTAGGACAGTGAAGGAGAAGAAGAGCATCCTCGGAGACTTATGCATTGCTGCGATTAGAATCGCCCCCACATCGTCCTACATGTATTTTATTGCGGAATTCCAAGTTGCATCTGATGCAGCTCGATTCCCCCTCTTTGGCGCATTTCTGAGTTGCAGACTTGCATCACTGAGCTACTCAAGTCAGCTGCTGTTCGATTGTCGCCATCAAAGGATGAACACTTGAGGCATATGATGGAGTTGTGTCTCCCCTTCCACATTGAATACAGTGTCGTCTGACTCGTAACCGGGGTCGGTGACCATCTTTCTCAAAGCTTTTTGGACAAGTCCTGTATATGAACTGAGTTCCATGGAGCCCGTTTCAAGATCTGGCAGGTTGCTCAAGGAAGTGTCTCTTTCAGTCAACGCTTCCGAATGTGGCGACCCTGAGGTGTCACTCTCAGAGCTATCCGAACGTGGCGATCCTGAGGTATCGCTCTCAGAGCTATCTGAACTGTCTCCTTCATCACTATGTTCGCAGTCATTGTCATCCAGGTCTTCCGAATCAAAATGGTTAAGTGCTGCGTAACGCGATAGGCTCAACGTTTCCGCACTCCATCCCCATTTCTTTCTGCAACAACAACCCCAACACACCTTGTCCACAGGATTGATGACGATTCGAAACCCTCTTTGCAGACTTATGCATGCAGCAGCTAAGCGTGCAATCCAGTTGTCGTGTGCTCTGAAAACAGCAACGTTGAGTTTACCCAAGCCCTTAGGAGCATCTAGGAGTTCCTCCCAGTTGTCAACGGACACAAGCCAACTGGGGATGTCCGTAGTTTGCGATGCGAGTGAGCAGCCTGTGCAGGTGATATCATTGCGACGTATGGCATCATTGCCTTCGTTGAATAACGGCAAAACGTCTATGTCCGCGATCCATTCATCTCTGTCGTAAACTTGTATCAAGGTCTCAACGAGGCAGAGGTCTTTGTCGATCGCGCCTCGCTGGCCAACATCGAACGCCATCTCGAATTCAGTAAACCTCAAATGCAAGGATGTTGACCTGAAAGAGTCTTCTGATTTCCCGTCGAATGGCGCGTGAGAAACAAGACGAAAATTATTCAGGTCGATCTTACGCAGACGCGGCGCTTGAGGTGCGACCATCAATACCATGCCAGTCTTTCCCACGTTTCCGATGACTCGAGTAATATCGTCTTTGTGTTCAATGGAGCTTGGATCGTGATGAAGCAGCTTTGATGTGAATATGCTGTTCCGTGAGGAGATGGCTATGACATCGTCAAGCGCCGTTGGTTCAATATTGTATGAGCCTGATTCAAACATTGCTATACATGAGAATTTTTGTTGCCGATTGAGGCGCTGCACGCCTGTAGGTGGGAGCCATAGCGCATCGTGAAGTGGTGTGGATATAATGCCTAGGCTGATTGTGGATCCAGGGAGGTCTTTGAATGTTTCTGTGGCTAGAGAAAGTGCGCGTAGTGACCGCAAGTAAGGTTCAACCGTGAACGTCTTGACCACGAGTCCCTTATGGAGCGTGGGTACAGCAATCTGGTTGCCATGTCGAAGAGAGATGAAGTATGTGGCTAGCGACTTTGCAGGAAGTTGGCCAGCTCTTATAGCTTGGGTCACCTGCTCCACTGTATGTAGTGGCTCAGTCTGTGCTCGCCGCTGCGCTGATTTGAGTCTGGTCTTCCTTGCCCGGACCCCGGAATCGGTACGAACGAGCAGTGCGACGTGATCCACAGACCCGGCGATCAACACAAAGTTTGGTCCCTTCTGGTCATACTTGCTATAGAAGCAGCTACATAGTGCGTGGCTCTGGTGAGTTGCATGTGGTCTGCTCACAATGCCATATGGGCGCGAAACGGAGATCTCGCCACGTAATAACTGCGATTTCGGTCTATTAGATTTAGTTCGATTCATCCGAATACCAAGATCGCTTAACGGATGTATCTGGTCTGGGCTCATACGCTGAAATATTTCGCCTCGTATGTAGCGGTGTGCTTCGCCATGCACGATGTTTGAGCATTGGTGGGTTTGTTTTGTGCGGTGATTTTGTTCCGATGGGTGAACGTCGTTCGTCTTGTCAAAGTCAAAACCACTTCTGATGCATCCTGGTCCCGTGCATTCTCCACTATATGCGACCACATCTTCACCATGGCATGCTGATGAGCATTTGATGTTCTGATCAAGACATTGGCAATGCCCATAATGGCAGGCGTGTCCCTGTTGCAGACATCTACATGAATGATCCCATGACCAGGCCTTGAATTCCACCCAGTTTATATGGTAGCTACGCGTTCCCTCTCGATGGGGAACTGCCGTGGTATATGTGTCTCTGTCACGCATCATGATGATACACTCATCATGGCGAAGTTCCAGGTGTTGAGCAAAGTACCGCATCATCTCAACTGCCATATCTTTTCCCGGGGCTCCATGGGCAAAATATGGTATATCTCCCATATCGGCGCGAAGAATTTGTTGTATCCATGGATGGCAAAGACCCATTATTGGTGGGATCTGTGCTGTGTCTCTACTGAGAAGGCTATGGCCACGCCTGTGTCCAAGAGCAATGAAAGTAGACGCGGCTGTTCTCTCTGTGTCTGGAAGTGCCAAGAATTTTCTTGAAGCGTCACCAAACAGGTGTATCCAGCTCCAATCCAAATCGATATTGAGAGGAGAACCCTTGTCATTGCACACAGCATTATCAAGAGCAACGAAAAAGTGAGCCGCTTGAGTGAAGTCCGAAGCTCGGATATTACCCCAATCTGCGAGAAAGGCGCCCATGGTGAGCAAGTGAAGCTCTTCGATATCCAGCCGGGATGCATCGCGTGTAGTAATGCTCGTCACCTTGACGGGATCGCCGTAAAAGCGTAGATGAGAGAGGGATAGTGACCAGTAAACACCTTCGTCCTTGTCAATATCAGGATTCCATAACCCTATGGTGAGTTGTGCGCAGTCCGCAATAATGGGATCTTTAAAGTCTACCGCGGTGACGCTCTCACCAAGGATGAGTAGATCTGGGTACAAATGCCAAGATGCGAGACCAAGCAATACGGATCCTTTGGATAGTCTCTGTGGCTGACCTTGGAGAAGCTTTTCTAGAGCCTCTACTGCTGTCTTCCAAGCCTCCACTACTCTTGCGTAGGTACTAAAGTTTGACGTGCCATGATTGACGGGCATGTTGATGTTGTTGATGATAAGCATCAATTGCTTTTGACGGCGAATAAGTTCATCGTCGGCGACCTGGAGCCATGATCGAGCTGACGCATCCCATTGAGCAAGGTCAGTCCGTGTCAGATCGGCTGACACTGCTAGTCCAACTTGGGTGTAATCGTTGTATATGCCCTCGTGTATTTGCTTCTTCAATTCTTGACGCCGTGATTCAACAATTTCTACCCATATGGACGTAGCTTGTGATCCTGACCAGGCTCGTGCTAGCATGCAAGCAAGCAGATGGACTGTTATAGCTGACTTTCCTGAAGTAGCTGCAGCCCAAACCGAAGTTCCATCCATGCCAATACAGTCGGCAAAAACCCCATGGCGAGGGGCAGAATTCTCATTGGTGTGACTTCGTGATATCTCCGAGACTCTTGCACCATAGGCCTTGATCACAAGTGGAGAGAGGGGCGCAATGCTTTCGAATAGAGCACCCAGTCGACGAGCTGTCCTGTGCACGGCTCCTTCTTCCGCCAGCTCTCGACGGTGGTGGGTCAGCGATCGTCCGAGATCCTTGAACTCATTCGGAGCTTCGAGCTTGATAAGGGAGAAATCGGCGTTTACATTTACTAACGCTACGGTGTTTTCGTTGCTCGCAGCTATGAGTGATGGGGTGATGCGACTGATGGACATGATTGTGCTGAAGAACAGTGAAACGTGAACATATTGAAAAGTGTCACAGCTGATAAGCCAGAGTTGTATGCGGCTCTGTAGATGAGGGGTCATCATGCGACAGCCAATAGATTCCTACCAGGCGGTATTGGACCACCCAAACATGCAGGCTATCAGGCTGTGCAAGCCATGCATGCTGCCTGCAACGCTTTTGCGGGTTTTCAGCAGGTATGCTCGTATGTTACTTCGCTAAATATCAACCCTTAGGGCTAGAACACCCTGCGCAACTTTATCATAATCAACATCGGTTCATCCTGCGCCCCAAACAGGTAGAGCGCGGCCCCTTACGCTTTGGCAGCCCTCAATATTAGATCATTCCGGTGGGTCATCTCAATAGTGTTAGTGATAGTAATGTATAACGAGCTACGAAGACTGTACTTAAGCACCTGATTCACAGGCGAATACCCCGACTGAGAATCTGGCTTATTTGTGGCAAAGGGGACAGCAGAAGTGGCCTGGCGATCATCGGCTTCGGGCGAGAGAATGGAGTTGTAATGTCTGCGGCTTTGACGTAACAGCACAAGTGCTTGGGATTTGCGGGTTGAAGCCCTGGAATTGTACAATGAATTCTTCAAGCGTGGCCTAAAGCTGGTATACTACCACCGCTCCAAGGCGTATCGCATTCAACATCTTCTCGTTACCGGATCATGGTTATAGTCGAAAGCCTTGAGAAGAGCCACTAAGTGCCAAGCCGCGCCCCCGACAGCACAAAGATGGAAGATTTGATGTGAGCAACCCCAGATATCAAAGAGGCCGGGACGAAATCTCTCGGGGAAGCGGATCTATATGGTCGGTTAATGACTGCAGTTATGAGAAACCCTCTTTGTCATGTACTCACTGCATAGATGAAAGCACCGGTGATATAGCACAATCCCTCGCAGATCATCAACCACCAACCCATCTGCTTATCAGCCTGTTCAATACCAAATGACTGCGCAGCATGCGTCATGGGAACCGCGCCTGACCAACCGATAGCACAGAACAATGTCGCTCTCGCCCAGCGCCACTTTGGCGTACGAAATCGCGGTATCGAACAAAGTGTAGCGGCACCCGTGACAATAGTGGTAATCCCGACGGAATACAACATCCAATACTGTCTCTCGCAGTAAAATCCATAGTATGTTCCAGAGTACACAGTTCCAACAATCAGGATGAATATGCCGTAAAGATCGAGTTGGAGCCAGGTATGGTAAACGGCGCTAGAGTGGTTCCCAAACATGTGAAACGTAGCGCTGATCCCGAAGCAAGCAACCGCACTTCCTATGAAGACACCGAACGCGAGGAGATCGTTGATATCAGCGGTAACGTATCGCGCACTAACGCTGTTGTAAGCGTAGATACCATAGGAGAGTATCACTACTGCGCCGATGAGATGCGTATAGATGTTGCCGGTCTGGTTGTGTAGGTATGACAGGCTTTTCAGGCATTCTCGATAGGAACCTGTGGTAGACCGGTAATGGTTTCTGAGGTACTCGTTGTCGCGTTGCCAAGCCTGTACTTCTTGGAAAGTCTGGAGGAGTCTTTTGGGTGTGGTCTTGGCCTCCTCCCCTTTGGTCGTAGTAAGGGGGGCTGTGTAGAGAGACATGTTCGCTCTCTTTCAGTTCGTGGGAAAGAGGAATCTGGAGGTTTGCGAATCAATCAAGTTGATGAGAGAAAAGGGAGAGGTAATAAAAAGAGGACCGTGGATGAGGGCAATGCGCATGTTTGTACTTTTGCGTGCTCTCGTACAATTAGCGTTTGGAGCATAGGCCGCCGAACGAGGATGAATGTTATGCTGGTAAGTAATCCAGAAGTGATCATGTAAAAGTGCAAAGAGCAATGAACATTGTACTTGAAGGAAGGACGGACATCTTGGTATTGCGGATATACGGCTGCAAGGATTCGGCCGATATGGCATGGCGGGCTATCTTTGAGCGATAATTCCAAAGACGGAGAGGACCTGGAACTGGGAAACGGGAGCCGGGTCTGGAGGTGGCAGATGGTGCCCCGAATTAAGGGGCGCGTGACCGCTAATTGGTGGACCGCCACGTCATCTCAGCACCGCCACAAGATAAGCAACGTATTCCGGTTACACGTCGCAACGTCGAACAAATGACCACGATCCAGAACAATGCAGCACGTAGAAACAAATCGCTTAATATTTTTGCGTTTCCGTCTAGAAACGTACATACGTCATTCCGTCGTAAAGGAGGGGTATATGGCGAAAGCATTGTATCGCATCATTTAAAATCGTGTCATATATCGTATCGCGTAGTATTCCGTAATATTGAACCGAAGAAGAGGGACGAAGGAGAGAGGGGCATGCTCAATCCGAATGCCAATCGCTCGCATTACTCTCTCCAAACTCGCTCCTGTAGCGCCTACAACCCAAAAGTCAACACACCAGCACCGACAACAAATCAAGAACAAAAGCACATCTGCCAAAGAAACGCACTTACTCATCCCTTCCCCCGTTTTCGCTGCTTTCACCCTGCATGCCCAATTTTCCCGCGTCTAGTTGCGCCAATCCGCTCTGACCAAGTGTGTCACCACCCCAGCCTTCCTTCCTGCCCTCGACAAGCATCTTCATCATGTCCTTCAACTCCTTGACTTCTTTCCTCAGTTGTCGGACTTCCAAGACGGCAGTGTCGAACTCGACATTAGGACGCGACGCCTGAACCTTCTTGTCCCAGCCATCAGCTTCAAAGTCACAGCCGTCGAGGACTTGTTCCCACTCCATAGTAGTGTCTTCGTCGTCTTCGCCGCGGCGACGGTTTTCTTTGACGACCCAGGCTTCTTGCTGTTCGAGCATAGCGGTGACTATAAGAAGGGGGGAGTATATCACTGCCATGACCTGTTCTGGTGTCAGCTTGACTGTGGACTCAATGCAGCTTGTAAAAAAAAATGGGGTGAAAAAGGGCTGTAATCAGTACTAGGTGATAATTGTCTCATAGCCGAAGCTCTGAAGTAGCAAATACATAGATATTCATCATGTAGATAGTGAAGTGGTAGGCAGCATATGCTAGCAAGAGTACGTACCATGTCGTTGAGTTTGTCGTAGCGCTTCTCGTCCATCCACCACTCGAATGGAAGGATAAGACAGAACATCTCGATGAGGTTGAAGGGAGCGATGAAGACGTTCTCGTCGGGAGCGCGGACGAATTGCATCGTCTTCTGTGAGAAAAGTGCCATGTATTCGTCGATGGCGTTCTGTGTAATGTCTTCGTAGGCAGAGTTGTAGAGAGCAATAAGAACATTGAGCAGGATAACCATGACGACGAATGTAAAGATGTAGTAAAGGATGATTCCAAAGGGAGGCTACTGCTTGTTAGCACATACTTGATTTGATCAAATAAGTTGTGACGTACCGAGAAGTTGTCGAAGCCCTCGAACTCAGGAGATTGCATGACAGCATTCAACATAGCTTGGAACACAAAGACAGTGTCGTTTGCCAGCTGGTCGTCCGCGATGTCGAGACCAATAAAAGCTTGGAAGAAACCGATCATGACAACAAGCAGTAGCATGAAGAAGATGAGCGACTCGCGCATCATAACCTTGAGAACAACGAGCATGGCACCGAAGAAGCGGAAGGTGTCGAGATACAACAGCAGACGCATCCAGAACATGGGCGCGGTGAAAGCCAGGAAGTCGTAGCTCATCTTGTTCAGGTACTCGCGCCTGAAATCCTTTCCGTCGCTGATTGGGTGTCCAAGAGCTACCATGCGCAGGACGAAGCTGACAGTGAGCAGCGCGTACAGGGTGCTGTTGAACATGTTCCAGAAGGAGATGTAGAATCGTCCGACCTTCCAGAACTTGTTCGCCTCGTCGCAGATGAAGCCTAGAGTGAAGAGGTACAGCAGACCTTCGACAACATCCAGGTCACCAGAGGGGTTGATAGTGTTGATAGCACCAGTGTAAAGGCCCAGGAAGATGAGGGACGTAGCAATTTGCACCCAGTTCTGGTACTTTGGAACTCGCATGCGATCTGGATCCAGATGTGCCCAGTAGCTGGTGTTGGTCTTGTTCTCGTACGGCACAAAACGACTGGGGTCCTCGTCGTCCTGGACTACCCATCCGCGCCATAGGTAGTTGATGCACTTCTGGTAGCCGGACGATCCGATGACTGTCACAGCGTGGAGATCGACAGCCTTCTCAACGGCGTTGGCAGGCGTAGTTGGCTCTCCATCAATCAGTGTCGAGTAGCGCTTAAGTAGCACCTCCTCGAAAAGGTATGCGGTATCCTCTTCGGCCTCAATCAGGCGCTTGGCCATGATCTCTGCCGCCACAGCGCGGACTTGGTGTAGGTCAGCATCCCACAGCTCTGCAGTAGCCTGCTTCTTAAACCACTTCTTGACCTGCAACAAGCAGAAAACGACGCAGGCATTGTGCTCGGGAGCTCCTGCTTGCTTGGCGGTCTCTAGCACTGCATCGGTGATGATACTGCTATGCGCCCTGGTGACCTGTTCCTCTTCGAGCTCGCAGGGCACAACTTGTTCGATCTGATGCTTCAGTCGCAGGGCTACTATGGTAACATCCTTGGGGTCGATCGGCGGAGGAGGGAGGTGTTCGCGACGCGACGTTGGCAGAACTGGCGAATGTTAGTACTGAAGGTGGAAGAGAGAAAAAAAAAAGGATGAAAAACTTACGCGCGCTCATCTCATCCTGGACTCTGTGCCTTCCGCTTTGACCATCCGAGCTGAAAAGCTCATTCCACCGCACCATTGTTGCGGCGGAGCTCCGTAGGCGCCGTGTCTCGCAGAACTTCTATCAAGCTTGGCGGGAGCAGTATCGAGCTGTCCGAGTTCTCAGCAACAAAGTACCGAGGTAGCGTTGAGCTTCGAAAAGCGAATAATGCGCGGCACAACGATACAACACAACGCGCCAAGGAGTTGAGCAGAAGGGAAGCTGCGGTGTCAGAGAGACAACAAAGCAGCAGGATCCACGATAAGACAGGGTTGTTCGTGCTAGTGTTGGCTAAACCTGGATTAACACCTACAATGCTCGGCGGTCCACAGCGTCATCGCACGACGTCCCTCTCCCGCTCCACTCAGCCAACGGCCCAAGCTCCCGCCTACTGCTGAGCCAACACCAGCGGTCGCATCCGACTCGACGGATACAAGAAAAATGGGACATTAGTACTTGTTCATTCTTGATTTGCTGCTAGAGCCGCTAAAAGCCGCTTTTATAACCCTCCACTCTATGCTCAAACGCAGATATGCATGTGGCTGAAGACAAGGTGCTGTACATGTCGAGACGCCTTTTGCGCATGCTCGTGAACCACCAAATCGACGCCTCAAACGCCCGTGCCCACTTTTGCAGATGCCCTTTCGTCTTCATTATCATGGTCGCTCGTATGCAAGTCATTCTTTAGCCGCTTAGTCGGCCTCAGCAACACCACCCTCGTCGCTCGTGCTCTCGTCCTCGTCACCGCTGACTTCCTGGTTCTCGCGCTCACGCTTCTCCATGAGCGCAGCCAACTCGGCATCGTCGTTCTCGGTGACAGCCTTTGGTGCCATCTTGACCTGGCAGTCACCTCCGGCCTTTGAAATGTTCTCCTTGATGTCGATGATAGCTTGTTCGAGGCATGCGATACCGGCGTTCTTGTCGAGACATTGCGAGGTGAGGACTGAGAAAATTAGCAAAACAACGTACATACTGGCTCTTTCATCACGTACCGTAAAGAGGTGGGGATACGAGCTTGACCTTGACCTGATTCTCGGGCGTGTTCTTCGCCTCAGCGCATCGCAGGGCGGTCTTGACGGCGTCGATACCCTCGTATCCGAAGCAGGTGACTATAGACGTCAGTAAAAGTGCCCACGTTGTGTTTTTTCCTCCAACATACCCTCAATGTCCGATCGGACCTTGGTAGGCTGAGGTGTCAGCCTCTTGCCAATGTAGCTCTGGAGCTCTTCCTTCACAACGTCGTTGGGGAATGTGACATCGTTCCAGACCTCGGGGTTCGTAATGCTGAGCTTGAAGGCGTCGATCGAGTGTCCGTACTTCTTGTTTAGCGGCCAGCCAATTGTTTGGTAAATCTCCTCGATGGGAGTCTGGGTCTTCTCGGCGACGTGGCGCATGATGCTGTGTACCATCTTCGACTTGTTGTATCGCTCCTCGCACTTTACGATATCCTCAGGCGACACTCGGCGCTTCGACAGATCGATGTAACCCTTGTCCTTGTCTACACGGAGTACAACGACGACTTCGTTGCGGCCAACTCGGATGAGCTTTTGGATCGATCGAATACGTCTTCGCGAAAGTTCGGAAAGCAGGATCATGCCGTCGATGTTGTCTGGATTCTCTTAGTCTTGCTCGTGATACCTTCAATATGCCCTGAACCCACCATATTCGAGCAACTTGACGTATGCGCCCATCTCTGCGATCTGCTTCACGTTGACCATGACAAAGCTCTCCACCTCCGGGTACTTCTCCTCGTAGAATCGGCAATTTGTGAGAGACATGATGAATGTGTGCTCTTCGTTTTCTCCTGAGTGGTGCTGGGTACGTCGTTCAACTGTCGCCGAGTGGGGTCGCTTCTAGTGTTGTTCCTCGCTTGTGGATAGGAATTTTCAAAGTTGTCGTGCGGTCGACGATGTGGGCGACGTGCGGAATGGGCGGAGTGCTATGTCTTTCGGTGTGCTGAGCGGAGACCGAGTGGAAGCGTCGAAGTAGTTGGTTCGCAGTGACTCAACCTAGATTTGCCCACTCACTGTGTGAGATCGCCCGCCGCCGTGGGGCAACAAAGGCCAAACCGCTTTCGGTAACGCGCGACCCCCGTCCAATCTTTCCGCAACCACCGTGTACGAGAGAAAAACCGAACAGGTATGGAGATAACAAGCTTTGCCTTGCAGTCTACATTATCTTCTAAGAAGAAAACTTATAAAGATTAATAGTATTGTAGTCTTCTAGGATTTTAGTTTATATCTATATAGCTCTTAATATGCTCTCTTGTAGTTGGAAGGAGTACTGTTAAAGGGAAGTTTGTTTTTTCTCTTTGATACAGTGCAACCTCACCACATTCGTCCCTGATGATGCAGACTGTTTTCCCACCAGCCTACCGTACTGCTGATACATTAGAACATCTTTCGGCATGTAACAATACAGACACACGGCATCATAGTCGAGCTTCATCATGTCAGGTCAAGCGGGCAATCAGTCATGGATGTTCACATGGCAGAAGAAAGAGCTTTGGGATCATGAAATCCATTATCGAGCAGCACGGCACTACCCGTCATCTAACATGCAATATGGGGATCCAAACACAGAGCTTATAGATCAACCACAGGTCATATGCTTAAAGCAATGTTATTCCACCATCAAACTCGCCAGTCCTCAGTCTGAAGACTGCAAAGCTATCTCTATGCAGCCCTTTACCCCAAGCACCTAGGCGCCCAAAAGAGCCATCAAAACACCACCGAAGAGGACGGCAGCGCCCACGTTGGTAGCATCCGCAGCATCGGTGAAAGGAGGGAGGGAGGGTGCCGTATAAGAGGCGCTAGCACCACCTGTGCCAGTAGGGGTAGCAGTCTTGGTGCCGTTCATGTGGAACGTGTGCGAGTACGTGTTTGTACGGCCGAAAGACGGAGAGATGATGCTTCCAGTAATCGCAGTTCCAGTGAAGTTGGCAGTAGCATGGACAAGAGAGGTGTCGATGGTAGCGCTAGCCGATGGCACGGGAATAACTTCGATCTCGCTCACGGTGACAGTGCCAGTAGACTGCTTGAGCATATTAGATGATTGCTTGAGAATTGATGTATCCAGCAGCGTAAGTACTTACAGAGATCAGGCCTGCTGGAGGTAGGTGGCAGGCAGTGATAGTAAAAGCCTTGCCACCATGCGTGACAGTGTGGAGGCTACTGACGCAAGTCTCTGTTGGCTGAACCTATGGGATGTTAGACGATAAACTTGAAGGCATATGGAAGCTAATGGTGATGGTAGCTTCGCCAGAAGTGACATGGGTGCAGGGCTCAGTTCCAAATACCTTTGAGATAGTAGACGATGGGATGGAGGTCTGGATGGTCACGCCATCGGACTTGGAGGACTCCAGAATGTCAGTGCCGCTAGCACCAGGAGGGGGAGCAATGACGGTTAAGGTGCTAGGAGGAGCTACCTCTGTAACAGTCAAAGTGTTGCAGTGGGTGCTAGACGAAGCCGCCGGCGGGTCGACAAAGGTCACCGAAGTCACGAGCTGGATGGACGTAACAACGGACGCGACATCCGGAGAGTAAGCGGTGCCTGCGAAGGCGACGTTGACGATGGCGGTGGCCACGAGGAGGTTCTTGAAGATAGACATTGCAATGTGGTTGAGAAGATCGAAGGTGTGGATTGAGTTGCTTCGACGTTGATGAGGAGCAAGTGGATTCTTTTAAACGAGTGTAGAAGAGGTAGTAGGTTAAGAGAAGGTGAGTGGAGGATTTTGGGGGTATTTATCAACAAGGGCGGTCGTTTGTTGGTGCGGGGAGTGGGCCGAGCGCGTTCTGATATCGCCAAGGCTACAGCGTGGGTGAGCGTATCAGGCAGGAGCAACGCGTGGCGGCAAATTGGATGTGAATTTGAGAACATCCGCGCAAGAGTGTGTAGAGTAGCGCTAACAATACGACTCTACACCTCGGGGCGGTACAGTGAACTCACGCTTGCGAGATTCCCCATCCGAAATGTCGTATCTGGTATTTGTGTCCAAAATAGAAGACAGTGTTCGACGCATGTATACTTGACCTGCCTGGTGGCGTTTCTAAGTGAAGAAGTGTATGAATGATTCCGATGTTATTATAAAGTACTAACACCAAGTATACGACACTGGATATGCTCAAAACGTAGGCCACCGTGTACAGTCCTAAATGCCCATGACCAAGTACACTAGCCTGGAGTGATGCGCCAAAACACAATGCAAAGCTCCATTACCATGCCCAACTTATCCTCCTGTTACGTACCCGTATTACTCAGACTAACACTCCCATTCGACGTCCCCTGGTCACCACTCTCCTCGAGTCTGAAGTCCGCATTATCCCCTTGAATCCTCTCGATCTCATTCTGTATCGCCAGCACCCAATGGTCTCGCTCGGCACGCGATCGAGCCCTGAAGACCACGCTACGGCCTTTGCTACCAAGCTTAGCCACCCTCTTCAACTTTGTTCGCTTGCCTTCTTTCCGATTCTGTTCGCCGCCACCTGCTCCCTCTTCGGCGCGAAACCAGCTCTTTGCTTTGCCATGCCAGATGACAAACGTTGTCATGACATCCTCATCAGTCGACGTCCAGCCGTCTTCAAGGTAGATACGTGGGAGAGCGTGGTGACCTGGTTTGTTCGCATCGAAGGTCTGATTCTGGTAGAGGAGGTCGTTTTCCGTGAGGAGACCAGAATAGATGTAGCAATCCTTGAGATCGAGATTCGCTATGCGCTCGTGGTGGATGTGCGCCAGTTGTTTGCCAACCCTGCTTCGCAAGACATCTCGAAAGATCAGCAACGTACCTGCGGTCAGCAAAACGCTACATCGTGTAAAGGGTGCGTGTATGCGGGGCTTCCGATACAACATTCCGCTCATATGGATACTGCGACAGCAAGCGATGCCACACATGTTGTAGAGCTGTGGCGAGGCAAATGACTGAGTCACCTCCCATTTCCTCGCAAACTGTCCAACGTGTGCTTCTGTCTCTTCGTCAATCTTAAGGGCGCTGAGATTGCGACTACGTGTTGATTTGTAGAGCGCGATATCGGACGCAGTGCGGTGTTTCCAATACTTGGTGAGAGCGCGCAGGTGCTGTATCCACTCTTTCCTACGGGCTTTGTCTGCGGCCTGAAGATCGGGTTAGTCAGGAAAGCAGATGGTATACCGGAGGGCCACATACCTGTAGGCGAATGATGAGGCCATTCTTCATGACCAACTCCAAGGTGCGATCGATGTCAAGGTCGCTTGTGGCTCCATCATTGCGCATAGAATCATCAACTTCTTCGTCAAAGTCCACATCCGAGCCCTCCTCGAGGTCCTGATCAGCGGGGCTAGCACCCAGTTGTGCTTTTCGAACTTTAACAACGTTCACCAGGTTGATGTAGCCATCACAGTTGAGCAGGTTTTGTTCTTTGCGAGCAGCTTCGTCCGCTGCGTCTTCGTCATGCAATCGCTTGGCCTCCGTCGTGCCCGAATGTCCTTCCATTAACCACTCGATCTGGCCATTCTGCGTAGCATAAGGATTGACAGCCCAGCTTTCTGGCACTGCGTCCTTGACCGCTTTTGCTGTCGGTACATTTGCATTTTCCGACGCAGGTAGTCTCGGGGGCGGAGGTGGAGTGACCTTTGTGGGTCGTGAGAAGACAAGATACTGGTCGTGGCTAGCGAAATAGAGTTGCTTGTGGTACATGAGCCCTAGTCGCTGCGCCCGTCCTCGCTGCCCTGTCAGCCTGATCAGAAAACCTTCGACAGGAACTGGTTCGGTCAACGTTTTGTGTTTCTTCCTTGTCACCGCAGTGGTAGGGTAGTGTGTTTTCGGTCTCAGTTCCAGTTCGTGCGACTTGAGCATAGCTATCGTGCCATACATCTTCCGCTCGTTGGCTCCGTGTATCCATTCCAGTCGATCGTATCGCTTCCAAGCGAGGCCAATGCGCTGGTCCTTGATCCAGGACTCCAGCACATCTGCCCACTCTAGTGCATCTTGTAGCTGATCCAGGCAACGCCTAATCAGCTCTTGCGCAACTGCCTGCTCTTCTTGCATAGTTTTGAGCAGGGCTTCTTCTATATTGTCTGCATCATGCACTTTGTTCTGGGATGCCTCCAGCTTCTCAAACGGGTTGGCTATTCGAATACTCAAGCTCATGTCTGGTATGCTGATCTGGAGTTCGGAAGCGCGTTGCCAGCCAAGGACGTTTCGGAGGAAGGTATACCACTCTACTGCATTGGAGGCAGTCCGAGCTTGCATAATAAAGATCAAAGTCTCACGTGAACCAGGTGAGGACACGACCATCGACTTGTCTAACGATGAGTACAGATTGACTTTGCAAGTCTTCCTACCCAGCGGAATTTCGTACGCAGCCTTCTTGCCTGCTCCCGCATTTTCGATCTCTGGGATGACCTGTCAACGAAGTCAGCAACTTGGTTCGGGAGAAAAGGTTGGAGAGACGCACCCGAGTCTGATAGAATTGCAGTACGAATTCGGCATCATTGACGTGATTGTGGCGACAGACGATCATGTACTCCCGCCACTTTTCTTTGACGCGGGACACGACCCTTTGGTTGACGTTCTCATCGAAATCTTCTGGGACCTCTGCAGCGGCGTCAACGCGCACAAGCATGCGCTCCATCTTGACGACCAGCCCGTCTTTGATCTTCTGTCGTCTCACCTTGGTACCTGCTCGCTGAACAGTCATCTGTGCTTTTTTCGCTTTGAGATGGAGGGTGGCGCGTCGGGAGTCTTCTGGAATGTCGAACTTTACAAGATTTCGTAGGTTTGACTTCTTGCGCGTCAATTCTCCCGTGGCAGAGTCGACCTCTTGTAGTTGTCCCGAGGAAGACGACAAGATGCCTGATTTCCTCCTCACTTTTCCCATTATGCCCTTCGCGGGCGGCTTCGAATCGACATCAGCGGAGGCCGGCGCCTTGTTCATGTCAGCGTTACGCAGCAATGACGACGTGGAGTTTGCATCTACAGAGGCTGCTCCAATAGTTGATGCAGGATTCCCGAGGCTCTCTACATTTGACAGTGGGCGTTTGCCTAGCGACTTTGATCCTGCCTCCTCTTGGCCTGAAGGAACATGTAAGCCACTTGCCTGCGGTTGTTGTTGCTGTTGTTGCTGTTGCTCGTGTATCGGTCTTTGGTCCGAGTCCCCTCCATTTTCATCTTCGTCCATAGGTATTGACGACGCAGTAACGAAGGTCTTGGAGCTGGATCGACGGAAAGTGCGTCCGTGGGGTTCGCGTTCGGAGTCGTCGTCTTCTGGTTCTGAGGGTGCGTCTACGAACTCATCGTACTCTGCATCTTCCATGACATCGCTCTTTTGGTCTGAAGCACGCGGAACCTGCAAGGCGGGTGGAGTGGCAGCAGTCGCATCTGCTGCGCCATTGGCTCCACTAGCCTTGGACTCGTGCGCGCCATCCTCGTCCTCGTCTGCTTCGAGTTCTTCGGGTTGGGGGAAACTGTGCTGGAAGAGGGCAGAGGAACTGGGTCCTTCAAGGCCGCTCAGCCGTCGTTGGCGGGCCTCGCGTGGATCGGAAGAGAAGGTCGCCGTACGCGTCGAGTAGTTGATTCGGAGGTGGTGCTTGTACCAGTCGCGTCGGTGTTTGGTGAGCCATGCTGTCTACCTGTATGTGAGCCAAGGCCTCGTCGAGAAATGGGGAAGGCATACTGGGATAGGGCCGATGAAATAGCGTCTCGAGGTAAGATGCAGATGCTCGGGCGTCGCATGTTCCTGCGCGTCTTAGCGTGCGACATGTCAAGTCTGTAGCTGTGCATACCAGTTTCTGCGAGGTATACGAGTCGGGTGGCAGATTAGTAACGTCGGGCTGGTGCCATGAGCGGCGCTGCTGGTCAGGCATTGGACCTCTCCTATCTCGTTTTGGCCGCGGAGGCGCGCTCGTTCAAGTCACGGTAGAGCGCTGGGTAAACCACATCAAACACTAAACAACATACATTAACAAGCTAGTGAGAGACGCAACTACTTCGCATAAGGAGAGGCAGCCACGAGGGCGTGGCGGAGAAACAGGGCTAACGGCCGTGCTGCAGGCCGAATTGAGGTTGAACATGCTCGGCGCTATCGTCATCGTTGAGGAACCTAGCCCCCTGTGCCAATCATACGCATGATTTGCAGATCAATGACTTCGCTAGACCGACAGCAACGCTCGCAAATGCGCAGCGCGGCAGCAAATTCCCGTAGTTTCTGACCATCTACCACTGTTTAGCGTCTTCCCAAATTCAACATAGCTCTTACAAAAAGCAATTCTTATGCTTCCCACTCGCACGCATGCACATCTCTCGACGAACCCAGTACCTCTATACTTGTAGACTAATCATTGCCCCTCGATGATTCATTCACCTGGTCAGGTGTCCCCAGCCTTGCCTGCATACCTACCAGGTTCAGTTCTGGTCCCACAGCACAATTTGGTACTGATTCATCCAAGCGAACCACAATCTCGCCAAAACGTGCAGTTTCAGATCTCAACCTGCCCATTCCGGTAACTTTCTCGCAAAGCTGTTGATTTCCCTCTCGGGTGATCTGCTTTGTGGCGTCAGGTGCTACGAGGGTCTTCCTAGTCACCACCATCTTGACAAGTCGGTTGCACAGACGATATGCATATCAAAGGATGAAAAAGGAAGTCGCAATTCAGCTCTTAGCCATTGCACCGAGAGCATCGAATCCGTCGCTAGAAATTGATTTTCACACCTCGGTGCTCTCCATCTGCGGAGTGGCTCGCCATGCCATCTCAGCCGCACCCCTCGCTGCAACATATTCCGGATCAGAATACAGAACGGTGGCCCCCGATCCAAATGCTTCAACGGCCCCCACGATTGCCTGTCGAATCCCTGCGCGATCAACACTTTCTAGGCTTCCCGTCATCATGATACTGATTTTTTCGGGGAAACCCCAACGTGTGTTACTGGAACTTACGTCACGCAAGTACTCCAACACAAAATCATGTACCTCCTCTGTGGAGGCTCCGTTGTTGCTGCCTAGTTCAAAACTTGTCCGAATCCCTCTTGCGACGTTGGGCGTATTGCTTCCCTTTTCTAGCACTGCGCAGTAAAGTAGAACAGCAACCTCGGTATACTCCACGAGGACGACGTGGCGTCTCTGGAGCTCGTGCATCTTCTTACCGCAGTTTCCAAGTCCAGATTTGTTCTCGGAGAGGCCCATCTCATAGCCAGCATATGCAGCAACAAGCTCGTGTAACTGCTTTCCGCAACATGTCGGTGTGCGCAATCCTGCGTACTCGATGGCCGAAGCGACATCTTCCTGGCGCAAGGCAGGCAATGTGGGAAAGCTGAGTATTACCGATATAGGGTATCCGACTTTACTCTCCGCCATCTGTGCTGCTACTTTGAGCATCCCGGCCAACACAGCTAGGTCGGCAGACGCTGCGAGACCGAATGTTGTGCGTACGCCACGCCAAACTCTTCGCAGAACTTCGTCCCACAGACTTTCTGTAATGTCGAACGGTGGACTACAAGAAAGATAGTCAGTATCTAGTCGCGAAAGAACATGGGCTTATCAGCTCACCTTATGTGTTCTGAAGAGGACAAAGAGAGACGTTGCATCATCTCTATATATTCGTACGTTCCTTCCACCCGACCTAGACATTCGAAACTTCCGTCAGGCCATCGCGCAGATGCAGTCGCATGGTTTGCTGTGAGTGCGAGACCAACTAGCGGAAATTGCGACATAGGGTTTCTATTTGGTCACAAAAGTAGTACCAGTTATACAACACGAGCAAGTTTTGACATAAAATTTGACTCTCCAGCGAACGCAATCTGCATGTGTAGCTACGTGTAGGCTGTTGCAAGGATGAGCGTCAGTTATGGCCATGAGTAGCACAGCCACGACTGCAGCCTGGGCCAGGCAGTTCCGAACCTAAGTCCGCGGGGTTAAGATGTGAGCTGTACAAAAACGTCGATCTGTTTTCGAGGTTCTACCCCAACAAAACCTACCCTGAAGGTACGCGGTGTCGCTTTTCTGTGAATGTTGTATTAAAGAAACCTCCGTATAACTTTAGAGGAGATATTAGTTTTGAAGTGTAGAGCATGGAACGATTGAGCTTCTTCATGCCCTAACCGCACTGTACCTCGTATCCATGCTTCAGTAATGTCTTTAGGTCTAGTTCTTATTTACAGGATATGAGTAAAGTGCTGAAGTCAGATTTCAAAGCTTCAGGCAGTTCTCTTGTTCATCCCTAGTGTCGACAGGGTCCAAGTTGCATCATTTGCTTGTAGCTTCCATACTGTCAACCCCTCTAATAGTATTTCGCACCACCACTACCTCCCTTCTTGTCACGCTGATCTGTCGGCCTTGTCGACTCATACCCTCTCCGTCCGTATGGTGAATGAGGCGCATATGCAGGGAAAGATGCCTCTACGCCCCGAGGCCTATCGAGATGCGTAGATACAGGTGATATGGAAGACTGGCTAGCAGAATTTTGTGCCGATAGCACTGCAGCTAGTGGTTCAGGCGGTCCGCGGTGACCGAGTGGTCCTCCATCTGCTGGCGGTGCAGTCAAAGGTTTCTTCGGTGCTGGCGCAAGACAACGTAGTGCTTCGGTCGTAAGGACGCGTTCTGGAATAAAACAAGATTGCTTTGTCTTTCCCCCTACTTTGACGGCTGGCTCGGGCACTATCACCATCTTCTGTGCTTGTTCAGCGTCCATCTCTTGCTTATTCACTTCTAAAGCAGCATCACTAGCTGCTTCGGTAGCCCACCTGGCTTCCAACATCCTTCGTCCTTCCGTGTTCTTCCTTTCGGCCTTGCGGTTCTCGGCTTTCTCAATCCCAAGCTTGAGCGCTTCACCTACAACGCCGTGTAGCGCAAGAAAAGGGAAGACGAGGATGTGACGGAGTGGCAGCTGGATATCAAGTTTGACTTCGTGGTCATCCAGGTTCATGTGAAGTTGCGACCTTTTCTGCTCCGTATTGTCGACCTTGGCCGACGCAGGCTTCGCTGATTCGTAAAATACCCTTCGTTCTTCGAATTTCCCCCATATCTTCCATTCTTCAAGCGCATTGCAGTCTAGATTTTCGGGGCCGAATCGCTTCAAAGGGATACGAAGGGCACGAATTAGAGCTTGAGTATGGAGGACATTCAAGTCAAGTTTGGGCGTAAAAGAGTTGCGGAACTCGAGATACCAGCTCAGACACTCTGTGAGGCCGCGAGCATCGAGACCAGACGGTAGATGATGGAGGCCACGCAGGAGGTCGTCGAATGTTGGTAGGATATAGCCGCTGCGCCTCTCTGCGATATACCTGCCCGGCTCGAGGTGATCGGTATGTAAGTTCGCATCGTGCTTTCCCTTAGTGGTATCGGTCTTGAAGCCTGTTATGACATTCTTAACTGAGTCGCGTTGTATTTGGTTCATCGCTGCGCTTGACATGTTTGTCGTAGGAGGGCCACGAAAGAATTCCTGGATAGGTGTCAGCCATGATGTATCTCGCTATTACCGGGAATACCTCAGCTTACCTGCATGCCCAAGATGTCTGACCCACGATAGTCGTTGTTTGCCATTCGAACCATGACGCCTCTCCATCGAACGTGATGAGGATAGTACGCGTTGATCTCTTTAGCAGATAGAGGTATCCCGGGAGGAAGCAAGGCGTCCACTGGAAGGGCATCGTTATACCATGTATAGTTTGGCCCAAGGTCCTTCCCTATATAGCCAGACCTTTGCAGAACCCCTCGGACTGCCCGCATATTGAAGTCCTTTGTCTCATCAACCCAGATCCGCTGAAAGAGAGGGTATTTGTGTGCGGATTCGATAGAGTCCAGCGCATATGGAGTGAAGAGTGACTTTGCTGTGCGAGCCGTGGCTGGTGAATTTGGAGAATAAGTCGTTTTCAACTTCGCAGGTGTGCTTGGTAGCTGTGGAAATCCGATGGAGCCTGATTTCGCCATGTGCGGAAGCGCATCTTCGATGATGAGTTTGCCCGAAAAGCGTAGCCTGACCGTCAAGCTATAGGTCTCGTAGGCTGACTGCTCGCCTTCTGTCTCGGACTTCCCGATCTGGTGACACCTCAATATTGAATGCCATGCGCTCCTTTTCGCAGTTTTTTCCTTCTTCTTGAACGCCTCGACACTAACGATGGTCTTTGGAAGTCCCAGTAAGTGCCTCCCCTTCGTGCCTTCTGGGGTACCTGGTATCGACACGCTTTTGTCAAGCGCTGTACCGTAGCCGTTACTCTGATCGCCGATACTGCATTCTCTACTCTTCCGAGTATCTGTAATCTGGTACTCGTAGTCCATGTCGTCCCATGCTGATCGATCTCTAGGCGTGCCCTCCGTATCGTCGTGTTGGAATACTCCAGTCGCGTAACGCCAGTCGCGTTTCTTCGGAATCCAAGTCGAGTACTTCTGGGGCCGAGCATGGCGAGCAAGAATATCCTCTTCCTTCATGGTGTGTACAGACTAGCAACTCGCAAAGTCGCTCGCAGATGTTGAGACTCGTGCGTGGTTCAGGCGGTCGAGAGGCAGAGTTTCGGAATATCATATCGCGAACAGCGCATGGTGCACTGGCTCCGCTCACGGTGGTCTGCGCAAACGTAAGTGAAGGTAGAAGAGGAACGTGTGGTTCGCACAGTGCGCGTCCACACCGATGTTCACAACACTGAAGTGAAAGGAAGAATAAGACAACCCGGGGGCATACAGCGACATCTTAGGAATACGGCGTATGGTTGCTCTATAGCGCTTCATGACAGCGCGCATTCGACTGTAGACTTTGTGTTTGCGATACGAAGCCCATTGCGACCTCTGCCAAAATGAAATTCCACTCTGAACCCATCACAAGAGAAAAGGCTTTAAAGACTGCCAAGAGAATTGCAAGAACAGATACTACTGGTTCGCAAGCCGTGAAGTGATTGGAGGACTGTAACCTGAAAACTTCGAGGTGTGAACAAAGGATAGAATACGGAGAGTTAGAACGAGATGGCCAAGCAATCTGGAAGCGACGGTCGGCGACTGTCATCGTTACTAAACGATTAAGCAATACTGGCAGTCTCATGAACAAAATTTTCTGGCATCTCAGACCCAGCTAATACACCAGATTCTGCGCTCGAACTTGCTGAGTTCTTCAGGACTGGCTGCATGGGCCCGTCTCATCCGGGGCCTCAATCTAGGCTACGCCGTGCAGGTCGACGTCAAATAGATTTTTCGCTGAGGTGCCGCTACATCGCCATGAGTGAGACGGATGCGAGGGTGGGAAGCATGCACGTTCAAGGTTGATGTAGCAGGATGGAGCGGAGCCGCGAAAGGGACGCGTTTATCCAGGCGGCTCCCGCATCGACAGCCAATCACGACGCGTCTACGTCATACATGCCTGTCTCCTGCAATATCCGAGGTCCATCTTCAACACCTTATCATCGCATTTATCAGCGCATTCCTTCCAACACACTATCTAAGCTCCATCATCAAAAGTCATCATGAGTACAAAATCAATCCCAACACTAACCCTCGATGGGGCCCGTATTGCCCTTGCGGCTGCCGAGCAACGATCAAAAGAAATCAACGTACCAATGAACATCGCCATCATGGACAATGCGTGCCATCTGCTTGCCTTCGCCCGTATGGAAGGCGCAAAGCTCACTTCTATCAATATCGCCATCGATAAGGCTTTTACAGCTGCAGGTCATCGAGCGCCAACCTCGGTGTACAAAGACAACGTGTATCCTGGGGGGCCCGCATATGGCATCAATCACAGCAACCAAGGGAGATTTATGACGATTGCAGGAGGTGTTCCAATTGTAAAAGACGGAGTTGTTGTTGGGGCTGTGGGATGTAGTACTGGGTTGCCGAGTCAGGATGAGGATGTTGCGAAGAAGGGTGTTGAAGCTGTTGAGAAAAGCTTCGGGCTTAAGGCGAAGTTGTGAAGGTTTGGAGGTATGAGAAAGGAGAAATACGACATAGATCCCGGTGAGCTGTCACACCAATGCGAGCGCCAGCGACATCCTGTCCTTGATCACGGCCGTCTTCCAATAATTCTCAACGAAAGTAAGCCTGTATTGCGGCAAGCTATCTTTCCAATTTCTACCTCCAATTGTGCTCCAACACATATGTAACAGCAGCGCGACTTATTCACCGTCAAGAAGCCAAAAAGTCACTGTCTTTGCCACACCGTTCTCTTACGTTTCACTCGTCTAAGACGGTCTCTGTCACTGTGAGTAGTAATCGTCAACCTTGGAGTAAATTAACCCCTGATTGCAGGTTGTCAAACCCTGCCATGTCTGCCCGCCGCACTGATCATGTAGTTGTACTGGACCTGTGGCTATCGGCGTCGCAGTTTTGGTCGTGGTTGTGCGCCGAGTGCGAGTTGATGGCCGCCCTGGCGGAACAATTGAGGTGGATGATGGTCTAACCGTAGTCTGAGGCCGCGAGTTTGACAATTTCTGTGATGAAACCGAGGTTTGGCATTGTGAGTACCCTGAAAGCGGTCAGTTGTCGTTGCGCAATGGCAGGTACTAGATGTGATAACTGGAGAGAAACAAGGTAGCTTTTACTCCTCGATTCTTACGCACACAGAATCTTTGCACGTCGTAGGGCCGGTCCATCCGTTTCCTCCGCAACGGTCATGTGGTAGACCAATTGTCGGCATGGTACTAGCCGATTTTGTCGTCGTCGGTGTTGTCCGTGTACTGGCTGGATCTGCAACGCAGTAGTATGAGTTCTCATCTACGTAGGTACAGACCGTGCCTCCTACGCATCAGGTAGGGCCTTTGTAAGTTCTTCCACCACACTGGCCCCCAGGCTGTACAGTACCCGAAGGTATCGGAGCAGATGTCGTAGGTGTCGGGGACGGAGTGTTCTGCCCCGAAATTGGATCGTCATTACGTCTGCAGCCAGAAGTTGACGACAGAGCCTCAGGACAAGTCACCTTCTCCCAATTGATGGTTGGATTGTCGGCTGCTCCAAACCAGTCGAAGCGCCAATAACAGCCGGCATGTAGAGCAGTGGGAAGAGCTTCGCAATCGTCTCTGTGCGCTACGCCACCAAAGTCTTCGCCCCAGACGTCTTGCCCACCATACTGCTTTGTGCATCCCCGGATAGCACCTTCGCCGCCACCGGGGATAGCAATGTTGAACTGGTCTTCCCCAAGATCGGATCTAGTATTGGTAACTTGAACCACCATCTTCTTCCCGTTGACCGGACCGGAGGTAAATGTCAGACCGCAAGTTGTCAGTTGCTGTTCGAGCATCGAGCCAAGGAACTTACGAGTAGCAAGAACAACACCAGGCAGACTCATTTGAAGCCGCAAGGTTCATCGCGGCGAAGCCATACGCCAGGTCGTTACTCGCAGCGAAAGGGCTGAGGTTCGAGCAAGCATATGAACCATCACCACTCTCACAGCCATCACGCCTATTGTAGTTGTCGAGAATATTGTCGCTTGCGTCGCACGTCAACACAGGCTTGTCAACAAGAGCTTTTCCCGGTCAAGAGCAAGACTTCTTGCAGCAAGACCACTGACGAGTAGTTGAACCCGTGCCTTTGATTGCACTTCCAGCGCCTTGAACAGCCCCAAGAAGTTTGAGGATAGAGACAACAAGAATAAAGATTTGCATCGTGGACTTCGCCATAAGGTGTCACATAAAGAGAAGCTGAAAGCGTAGCTATGGAGTCATGCTGATGATAACTGGAGTACGAAGCTTATACACATGTTCAGCTGCTAATGGCTATCATCTCGAGTGCTTCTCAGTTCCATCTGGTACGGCACCTACCACACGTCGGCCTCCGATATCTGCACGATCTTGCAGGAAACTTATCAGATCTTTGATATGGCCAGGTGATTGATTGCGCACACGGAAAGCATGCTGGCTTTCATCTACCGGCCATGTTTCTTGTGCTACCCGTCGAAAGTGCTGTTGTGACACTACTATTCGTGGCAGCTGAACTTATAGCTCAACAAAACATATGGCTACGTATCTTGATGATGTTGGAAAAGTACCGGCACTCCCCTGGCCTACTCTCTCTGAAGCACGGCGACGTTGCTGGCGATAGTTCTGGCCCGATTTGTGTGGACGATGTTTGATTGTACTCGTTTCTGGACCGTAACTTTGCGGGCTATCTTCCGTAGATAGCAGCTCTTCATCCGATACCCATGGAGCCGGTAAGCCACGAGCCAAACTTCCACTCCGATCTTAATTAAGACACTTCTACTTTTGGTTTTGACGATTGTACCAGATTGAGCAACGAGCGACTTGTTGAGATCATCTAGTTCTTCAACCGCAGAAGCTGGCCTCGTGGACATTGCCTCGTTGAGACGTTTCTGGCGTTGCGACGCCGAGAGATGTGGGCTTATAGTGCTGCGAAAGTACACGAATACGACGCACACATTCCAGGAACTCGCAGGACGGAATTCACTCTTGTTCGAAACTGGAATGAACTGCGCCATGAGATGAGAGACTCTTCAGGGCGCGGCCATAAAACGGTGAGATGCCCAGGTGCGTCACCCTGCCTATGATCGATCGCTTGGCATTCCTTCCGATCTGTTCTGGTAAGTCCCGACTGCCGGCCTCTTTCCACGGTTACGGCAAGCTCTGAGTACTGTCATGCGCCCTCTAAGCGAACCCACATGCACGGCGTTACATTTTAGGCAGGGATTATCTCGAATGCGTGACAGCGGGACGGAGCGTATGTCTGGGTCTGATCCGCAATGCGACCACAAAAATTCTGAAGGTCAGAGAGACCAAAGAGACATCGTGACCTGCCTCAAGATTACTTGCTAGGTGTTGACAGGTCAGTGTCTTCCAAGAAGCGGCCTTGAAGCCACTAAGCTGGGGTAACGCCGTCTGTCTTCCGGCACTAGGGTAAGCGCGCCGCAAGGAGGCCCAACACCAACCTTGGAACCCCTTACCTAGCGTCACTCCCTTACGCGATGCGCTTCCACGACTTTCACGAGCGTAGACTTAGAGATATATCCATCATCAAGTACAACAGCGGCGGTATCGGCATCAATCGAGCAGCTGATGTGCACACATCATACTGCATGCGGGCGCCACCCGCGCCTCGAATTCTCCGACTTGAGGCCTTCGTGGCAAGATGTGGGGAACAGTCGATCGTCTACGACATATGCACGTTAGCCCACGCCCTGAAAGAATTTCTTGCTTTGCGTCTCAGGTATCAATGGCCAATCATGTTAGGTCGCATGTTGTTCCATTGGCCAGCTGCCGGTGAACATACCGCTTTATCGTTCTCCGAGACAGGGTGGTAGCAAAATGCGGTCGGACCGTCTCGTGAGGGCTATCACACAGCAGCTATGCTTCAGGGTCCGGCCATAACTTTGGTGGCAGCCGCGTCATGTTGCAGACGAGTCGTTCATCTGTCCTTCCCCGCTGCCAACATTGACTGACAGCTCGGCACAACCGCCTGGATTACTACACATCTCACACCCTGGACACCACGGATTCTTAGCTATTCAAAGTCGCGACAAACTCGCCGCAAAATCGAAACAGCATGTCAGGTCTATGCTGTCTCTGGGCAACCTTCCCAGAAGGACGTGAGGAATGGTACGAGAACGAATACCTACCATCAATCGACTCGCCAAATGCCATCCATGGCATACATTGCGAGGTAACGGCGAGCGGTATGGAGGACGAGCCAGTGGGCAAGTTAGATTCGCCGTGGCCCTATATGACCGTTTGGGAGGTGAACTCTGTCGACCAGTCCAACAAGGACATGTATGATTTATCATACCACCCACCCAGCAGCGAGTTGCAAAGCTCACTCAAGGATCTGCGATTCGATATCCGATCATATCGAGAGATCAAGGCTTGGAAACAAGACGATTGGTCAGGTGACGGTGGTGGTAAGATCACGGGACAGGATCAAGCCGGCGATGACGGACTAATGTCGATAGACATCGAATACGTTGCAAGCGTAGCGGCAATGGAATGGAACGTGGCTGCGGACAAAGAAGAGGAGGTCTTGAAGTACTACAAAGATGTCGTCGGTCCCACAATATCTAGTTCACCAGACGTACTGCGGTTTCGCCTCTTCAAGATCGACAATGCGACAACTATGCAAGGTGCAAAGTTCGAGAACAAATCAAAGGACGACCTACACAGTTACTTCACTCTTGTCGAGTTAGAGTCCGAGCAGTGGCCATGGGATGTGGTCGTCGACCTTGCCGAAGACGACAGGTGGAAGAACTACTTTGAGGGGCAACAAGTTGTGGTATGTCAACTATCAGCACTCGTGAAGTTCAAAGTGGCTAACAAAGAGACAGAAATGGCAGCTTGCTCATTACCTGACGAAGAGAGTCTACGGGGTGGAAAAGAAAGCCTCTTCCTCGACTTAGAAGCCAGTGGCGTTACTTATTCGACATGCTACATGCGTATACCCAGTTGGCTTCCTTAGGGGGTTCTAGCAGCTTCATGCCGAGCGAACCCTTGTCTTAACGCAATACAACATTTGAAAACGTCGACCACCAGCATCATCGTGTTCAGGCAACAGAGTCGAAGAAGCTAACCTATACGCACTCGCATCTGCGTCTGACACCACAGACGCACGATATACAGTTTGTCTGCGTCACTCGCTTGTTGATACTCAGCCTCGCCTATGCTCCGTACCAGTTCTGCTGGGTCGTCTTTTTTCACTGAACCAATGTTGCGAATTGATTTATAAACGCCAACCGACGAATACCCAACAAGTCCACATGCGCCTACATTCAGTCAGCTTGGCCGTTCTCAAATGTATTCCAAGGTTACTGACCGGCAGCGGGTTTGAAGGCCGCATTCGCAATGCCTGTTGCACATCCAGCAGCGAAACCTAATACACCGTTCTTCTCGGCGCCGTCGATAGGCTTTACCATGAGGTCTCTTATCCCGTCACCAAGCCCGTAACCAAAGCTCTTCATGCTGACCACCAACCCGCTCCTTAATCCAGTCACGTTCTCATACTGCCGTACCTCTTCGCCATATGCCTTGGGAAGATTATGGAAGCCTCGTGTAATACCATGCATAATCACTGCAGGGCTCTTGAGACTCGTCGTGACAATGCGCCCAAAGCCTTTGGCGGTACCGAGAGCTACTTGGCGTGCCACGTGGCTTGGGTCTCTCGTATTTTCAGAGCCCGATGACTCTATATTACCGCCTCGCTTCTCTTTCCGTTTTGCTTCGTGTTGCATTAACATTGGTGTGGTTTGCTTACCCAATTCGATAGGGCCTGCTACAAGACCAAGCATCATACCGCTTACGACATCGTAGGTAGTCAAAAACACGGCGGACACGGGGTCGGTGGGATTGCGCTTCATGTCGGCGTATTGAGAGATTCTGCAGGGGATGTCAGCTCCCGCAAATCTCTAAAGTTCAGAAGGTTTATTTACAGCTGCAAGTCTTTTGCTTGAACGAGTCCTTCTTTAGTAAGCACTGCCGCGGCGAGTGGTGATAAAGCCATGCTTTTCCTCTTCACGAGCCATACTGCGGGTCTGTCGTTGAGGATACTGCACGCTCGTACGCTAGCGAGGCTGGCAGTCGCAACAGGTTCTGTAAGATGATGTGTTAGAACTGGGGCCGCTGTTGTTCGTATCTCCGATGAGTTTTGTTGGCCTCTGATATCTTGTTGTATATGGTATTCGTATTCTCCATTGAGACTCTGTTCTTCACTCTGTCGATCCGAGATCTGTAGCTGTAAAGGTTGGCCTGGGCTCGCATCGTATGCTGGTGACTGATCTGAAACTTGTGTCTTCTCGTTTCGTGTCGCTTCTGCGTCTACCGATATTTCTCCACTCGTTGCTAGATGGGTGTACTCTGGGAGATCCATTGTGTACAGGTCGGCATTCTCCGCAGTTGGACTAACGTGCACTAAAGATGAAGCATCACCGCCTGGGTTGCGAAATTTAGCATCTCTATCGCAGCATTCTGGCTGTATATGACTTACTACCAACACTTCTATCCTCATCTGCTACGATTGTGTTCACTGCAGTCATGTTGTACAACTCTTGTCGCAAAGGGCCAGATCACGAAACGGACAATGACAATTGAGACAAACTGTTCGATTCAACCAAATCTAAGGAATTATAGAGATGTATCTCTATAAGACCGCACTTCATGGCCACGCATTCGGTAATGTTGTGTTTCCGAAATCCTAAACGCTAAGCCATATATGGTAGACCTTGAGAATGGCGCAGCGGGCGGCCTGATATGCCACCAAATTCGCCTGGGCGGCCCAATTAATGAGGACGCGAATGTGCTCGCGAGGCTGGGTTCTTATGTTTATTCCTCGTCATCGTCGCGCGACCAATGCAGGGTTCGCAAGCTTTACTAAATTAGGCAATCAAAAGAAGCTGCGGAGTCTCGCATGTATACACATAAGCATAAACTATTTTGCGCGATGCTAAGCTACTACAGAAATCCAGCGATGTATTGTACTACAGAAAAAGAGCCGACAAGACTACTCCACACATGTCACGGTGAATGATGAAATGATAAGATACATGATTAATGTGACACCTACTCCGTCCTCTTCTTCTGAACAGCCTGCATTACATGTGCTACCATGAGAACGGGACCATGTATGAGCAATGGTGACCATTCCTGATCGTTTCGCTCGCTTAATCGACTACCTTCTTCACCGTTCTCAAGAGACCGGACTTCTCTATCCAACACGGAGCCAGAGCGATGGGTATGTACAGAACTCCGACTACCGTGCATACTATAGGCGGCGCTGGATGTCCCATAATCGCGCGACTTGCGCGTTGGAGGAGCAACAAGTGGTGTTGTCGTGCTGGCAGGTGGCATAGACTCTTGTGTTGGATGGTTGTTTGCGGCTTCCGAGGATATCTCCAAACCATCAGCAGATGCGCTTGCGTCTGTTAGATCATTTTGCCCCGTGGGTGTGACGGCAGAAGCTGCTGGTGTATCTGAGCTGCGACGAGTGGATGACGCCGATCCCACCACGAATGCATCGTCATTGGTGTTGTCGCTTGCAACAAGAGCACCCGTTGAAGAATCACTTGCTGAGCCATCACTCCTCTTTGGGAGTAGCTCTCTCGCTGAACGCATAGCGCTATGCCATACCTGCCCGTAAGTCTTGAGCTCTACACTCAAGGGGAATGTGACCGGCAATACAGAGCACAGTACCCAGAATGGCCACAAGCGTATGTTTACGTGTCCAGCGGCACGAAATTTGAAGAGACCACACATACTCTCCGCGAACTCATCGACGGTGTTCTTGTAAGTGTCCTGATCGTGATCTTCTCCACTCGCTAGACTCCATGCGTCGATCTGAGCTCTTGCCAAAGATGTCTTGAACATGTGTTCCGCTTCGAGCTCCCAGTGGTTATTAGCTAAAGCCTGTGACCGGGCTTCACCAACACGCTGCTGCGCTAGGAGACTGCTCCCGAGTCGCAGTTTGATAGAATCGTAAGTGTTGGATTTCTTGAGTGCGTTTACCATGAACCAATACGCTGGATCTTCGGCGATGTGTGATACTTGGTCTGGTATCTTCTCATATTCGTGCCAGCAGTATGTGTTTGTTGGGTCGCAGAATTGGGTTTCGTCTATGCATGCAAGTGCCCTTGATTTCGGGCTTGAGTTCTTGTAGTACTTAACGGTACCACCTTGAAACTTGTATATGTCGTCGGCCGGATAAATAGGGTCGATGCTCTTTTGGGTATAAACGATGTGTAGAGCTGTGATGAAGACGATCGTGAGTGTCTTGGTCCCTGATTGAGTATCAAGTCCGGGTGCTTTGAGACTTCTATGAAACTGATAAAAGTCGCAGTTAGGTATACCCAGAGATGTAGCGAATGTGCTATACGTTCATGAAATTTAGTAGAAGGCCGTATCATTGAGGTATCTAGAAATTTACTTCAAGCGATAAACTGGCGCCAGCCATTCAAAAGGGTGGCCCACAATTCGCATAGTATGGTTCGTCAACAACTCCGGCGTTCCCTCACACTTGTCATCGACATTGTAGAGTTTACCATATTGGTATAGATAACCACGATCGACCGGACTATTGTAGAAATGCTGCACGTAAGGCGATTGATCACTCAATGGAGCGCACGTTGTTGTCCGCCGAAAATTGTAAGTGGGGCTGGCGTTGATGCCTAAGAGACTGGAGTCTAAGTAGCCCGTATCGAACGTGACTGCTTCACCAGGTAATGCGCCGGCGTGACGAATTTCGTTGTCATAAAACGGACAGGACGACGGACTGACATTGTACCGCAGAGTCGAGTTGTAGAAGAAGTCGCATGTCATAGCCTTGCCCTTTTTATCATTGCCCCAATCATAGCATTCTTGAGCATAGATGGCTGCTCGGTTCTCTCTCTTTACCATCAGGCTATCAACACGAGAGGCCTGCTCCTCGCCCCATCTTTCGTTGTCATACTCGTAGAGACCACAAGTCTCTGATGCTAGCAGGCCCATGCGATTTGTCATCATTTTGTCCGTGAGGATGGAGCTTGCGATAATCTGGGAGAAGAAAGCAAAACACAAAGTGCTGAGGACGAAGAAATAGAAGAACTGGTGTCGAGTCTCGAGTTTTGATTCCTTCTGGCGAAAGGCGTCATAGAAGCGTCGTAGCATCTGCCGTCCTGTTTTAGCGTCGTTAATAAGTCTCATGGCTGTCAAAGGCTGTATCTCTTCGTCGCGCTCTTCCCCTTAGTAAGACCTTACCCTTCGCTACTGCGAAACTTTGATAGTATCTAATTATTTACTAGCATCGCAACAAGAGCATGTAGCATTTGCGGATCAACTGATGACCAGAATGATAGAAACCGGCACGGTAGAAACCATTTCCAGGACAACAATCCTCCAGCAGGCGGGGGTCAGCCAAACGGTCGCGACCGCATAGACGATGGCGACGAAACTCAGGCATTTCCGAGGTACTATTGCCGCCGGCACGGCGGCTGAGTAGCACTGCGAATGACGTTCTGGTCAAATTCCTTTCTCTTTCTTTGTAACGATTTCGACGCGCATTCCATATCTTCCCTACCCGCATCGTCGCTGGCGATGACCGCCTGCATAACCGTGCTGTTCATACTGTAGGACTTCTAGGATTTCCGACAATGTTGCAATTTGTTTGCGATTTAGCGTTTGAAAAGCTAGGTTCCGTAAAGCGGGCAGCATTTTCAGGAGTTGATGGCGTGTTCTGGTTGAGTGAGCTGGAGAATGCGAGGACAAGGTAGGAAGCTGGGTTTTGGTAAATCACGCTAGACGGGCCCTGGATCGGCCCACTTTATCACCTCCAAACAAAGTTCCAGAAAGTGCGTTAGCGTATCAAATACATCACCAAGCAAGTACAGACGACGTGATGTAAGAAAACCATGTCTTCTTTTGTGAACTGTCTCCGGACCCTACATCCATCTACCATCCGAGAAAGGGATAACAAACGCACTTTCTGTTGGGCGTTTAACAAATACCTCATGAAAGCCCCATCCCACACGCCTTTCCCACGCGGTACCTAACTCCGCTGCCATGAATGAAACGCCCGAATGATACATCGAAAAAGACGATGATGGTGATGATGATGACGAAAGCCTAACCCGTGAAATAGAACCCGTTACTCGTCACTCAAGATGCCTTCCTTACGTGCTAACCTTTGAATCGCAAGCTACGTACCAACCACTTATGCTAGATAACCGAGCTCATCTGCCTCTAGACGCTCCAAGTACTCCTTCTCGAGCAGGATGTCTATGCACTTCTTGATATCAGGAACACGGGGCATAAACCGATTCTTGATTTGCTGGATGGTCTCAGAGACCAGCTGCTGGTGTTTCATCTTCTTGCGGGACTTCATGATACGCACAATAGCCGACTGCAGAAATGTTAGCATGACTTTAACAATGAAAAACGGAAGCGATGGGTACATACCTGAATGAGTAGCTTGCGGTCCTCTTCAATCGTCTTGTGCGTATCCTCGGCCTCGGCCTTCTGCTCAGACTTGATACCAATGTTCAGATTCATCTTCACCTTCTTGGTCTTAAATCCGGTGTTGAGCTTGTAGGAAGTACCAGACTCCGGTTTCGCGCCCTCAGGCTGAGCGAGGAGAACCTTGGCCTTGATGAAGACACCCAAGCTAGGGTCAAGAGTCTCCTTGTTCAATTTGGTGGACTCAGCAATATCGTCGTAAGAGACAGTGTCGCTATCGTTAAACAGCAACATGATGGCCATCTGGTAGGTCGAGACCTGGAAGGTTGGGGATGTCTTCAGGTTCGCAACCTTGCAGTAGTTGGCTTTGACCTCACCCTTGCACAACTGCCATAACCAGGTAAGCTTGCGACCTTGGTGCTTGTGGTTGTAGAAGCGGGCGAAGCGGTCGTAGGTCTGGACGATGAGTTGCGGCGGGGTGAACGGTGTGGTGGGTGGGTTCAAAGGCCAGAAACCAGTACCGAGGATGTGGTATGAGGCGTCGACGCTAGTCTTGAGGTCTGAATCGTCCAAGTTGTTCGACTGCCATTCCTTAAAGGCAGTATTCAAGTCCTTGGAGATCTGCATATCTTGGAACATGCGCTGGAGCTTGTTGGTGTATTCGAAACCACAAGCCTCCTTCAGCTTTGAAATCATGCTCGTCTCGGCGTCATCGGATGCGGAAGTGGTCTGGACTAGACGCTTGGCCAACATACGTGAGTAGAACTTTTGGAATACATCCTTGTCTTCGATGTATTTGAAGACAGTCATGATTTGTGTCAGGAGCTTCTCCATGTCGTCCTCCTCACTCATCTTAGCGTTGGAGCGCTTCAGCAGAGTATCGGTATACTTTGCAAGAAGCTCAGGCGACTTGTTGGAGCCCGACTTGCAGATCTTGTTCCTGTTGACGAACTCTCGGCAGGCGTTATCCAACGAGCGAACAAACTCTGACTCTCCGTTGAAAGCCTTGTTGACGAGTGCTTGGTACTGCGTGTGGACCTCAAGGAGGGCTTCGACGTATACTTTGGGCTCCAAATTGTCTCCGTCTTGCGCAATCTTGTCAACTGCAGCTAGACCCGCCTTGCGGACGTGGTTCTCGAAACGCAGGCGCAGAGGATCAAGACCCTCAGGAATACGAGCGAGGAGCTTGTACATGCGGCCCAAGTCCTCCTCCTTGTCGTGATCAAGAAGGATCTGGAATTCCTCACGGAGAGCTTGCGAATGGCTGGTGATGAGCGACTGCTCGCACGTCCGCATCAGAGGTGACATAATCTCGTTGAGCAAGTACAGCGGTACACGCTCCTTTTCCTCTTCCAGACGGATTTCTGCCTTCTTCATGTATTCGACCACACTGTTCTCCGCCAAAAATTGCTTGGACTCATTGTCGTAGTACTGCGCGGTGGCCTCCAGGAAGGGCTTTTCAAAGTATTCCTTGTAAACATCCAGTGTCGACTTGGAACTATCGGCCTCATCCAGACCCAGCGATACGAAGGAGTCAACGACTGACTTAATCTGGGACTGTTCTATAGTCTCACCGTTTCGCTGCTTCTCGACCAACTTGAGTACTGAGCGCATGACGCTCTCCTGGCTGCCTGTGAACATGTCCTCCTTCCATCGCACCAAGTGAAGTGTATAGATGTCGTAGATGTGTTTCTTGCCCTCATCCATCTCGCGCTTGACCCAATGGCGGTTCAAGTACCGGAACAAATGGTTGTTGTACTGGCCAGCTGTTGTGTAGCGGTTCCACTCCTTGATATAGAAGTGGAGAAGCGCTTCGTCAACATGTTGCCGTGAAGCTGCCTGCACCTCAGCGAGATGCGCCTTCAGGTATTCGATCAAGTGTTGGTAGAGGTCTTCTCCGAGAAGATGGGCACCTCCACGGTTATTGGCGGCGTGGAACGACGAGCCGGCCACGGCCTTTTGGGCGGTACAGAAGTTGTGGATGGCGGTGTAGAGGCCCATATACGTCTTCATGTCAACACCTTCGCGCAGGTTGGTCATAATCTTGTCGACACCGGCTTCGAGGTACTTCCATCTGTGAGCTGTTAGCTTTTGGTCGAGCTCTACGAGGACGTATGGAGTGGGGTCGCTCTGTTGTGGCCCATCCTATGATGACAGCCCTCGCCTGCGCTCACCGCAGCGGACTGCATACCAGCCTTTGGCGACGTCACCGGAGCTTACCAAGGTCCCCGCAACTCGCAGCGCTGGACAGAACAACACACTGGAGGAAGGGAAAGGACTTACGTTGCGTTTACATCGTCCTTAGCCGGGACAGGTGGCATACCAGAAGCCATCGTGTGTTGTGTCGTCGCGTGCTCTGGGGCACTTTTCGGAGGCGACTTCTTGCGCGTGAGGAACTTTATTGTCGGAACCGCTGTGTCGCAGACAGGCGGATTATTTATCAACTGCCTCGGGCGCTACTGCAGTTGATGTCTTGGGCGGAGGGACTTCTACGGGTGCAGAAGGTAGTTGTGGTGAATGGCGCGGTGAAGTGGAGGGGAGTTGACTATGGAGCGGGCGGGCGGGGAGGCTTATGAAGTACCAAGCGGTAGATTCCCGCAGAATTTGGTATACGCGCCTCGGAATTACGCGAAGCACAATGCGGAGACAGAAGAGAGAAGTAAAGGTGCCTGGACAAAGAGGCGGCGGCGTATTGATATGATTCACGTCGATGTTGGTTCATACTGTTCAGGCAGCACCGAGCTTAGGTCTTGGCATTTGCAAGGGTGTGGTTCACGCTGCCTTGCACTAGCCGCTGTACATCGCGAAGTCACCGGAATCTTTGTCAGCTTGAGATGAGTTTTTTGTATTTGCTCGCCGAATTCTCCCTTGTCCGCGCATGGACAGGATGTTGCTGATGGTGGCTCAAAGACAAACTCATACCTACGTGTCCAGTGCATGTTGCACTACTGCAGTACAGCTCATTACCATTCTATCACGGTTGCGACCCAATAGCACCTTGGAAGCCTAACCTCGTCACCCTTGAACATACTAGAGGATATTGAGCGACCAGCTATTAGATCTTCTAATTAGTCTTCTTCGCACCTGGCCGTTCGGTCTGATGGGACTTCGCATCGTGGGTGGCGAATGCTGATAAAACCTCGTCAGTCGGTATACATGCTCAATGCGACAGAGCTCGGGCTCCGACGATACAGTTATACGCATGCTCTTGGCATGGAAACCGTTTCATCTATGGCAGCTTTCAATAGGTTTCTTATACCTTTATCTAGGCTTCCAGACCGATGACGTCTTTGTAGGATCATCATCTGCCATATCATATCATTCATTGGGCTTGCGATTTCCTGTCCTACCAATACGCTCCATTCGATATCAAACCCTAATTTCAAGCACCAATCTCACCACTCATACATCTTTCAGAATGCCGTCTTTGAACCTGACTCCCCTCTCCTCCCTCCGCCTAAGCACCCACTACATCCCCACACACGCTCACATCCCTAATACAACGCCACATAATCATCCCCTCTTCATCTACCACTCTGCTTTTCCTCCCTCAACCTCAGCCTCCACATTAGAGTCGCATCTCCCCACCAACAATCTTTCACCACAATGGCGTTACACAATGTACACCACGACGCACTACCATAGCACCACACATGAAGTCCTCTGTGTATTCAACGGCCGTGCAAAACTATTGTTCGGCGGAGAATCCAACCCGGGGAACGTCGAAACGGAGGTCAAAGCCGGAGACGCTATTGTTGTGCCTGCGGGTGTCGGACACAGATTGATTGAAGATGCTGAGGGTGGTTTCCAGATGGTTGGCAGTTATCCGAAGGGATGTAGTTGGGATATGTGTTATGGGAAGCAGGGAGAAGAGAAGAAGGCGGAGGCGGTGGGGAACGTGGAGTGGTTGGAAAAAGACCCCTTGTATGGGAACGATGGCCCGGTGACTTGGGCTAAGGAGAAGCTCGAGAAGTTCTGTCGGGGGGACAAGAGTGAACTGTGATTGTGTCAGAGGTGTCTTGCAGCGCCCTTATCTCTATCGCAATACTACATCTCACTATGACGGGCAGGTGCTTGAACAGCGAGATCCTCTAGCGGTACACCGATTTCACAAATGAAAGCTTCTAGCCTGGAGCCTTGTACGATCTGCTGACGCCGTCTCTTCTAGGGGTCGGTTTACTGAAAGTACCTTAGCTGCCACACTACCAAAGACTACACAGGATTGTTTATCATATCTCGAACTTGCTTCATGATGCATCCAAGCATACAGATGCAAACTCTTCTAGTGGTATAGTACAAACATAGTCTCCCAACGCCCATGCTATGTTTACAGATTTTGAATCAACCATGATATCGTACATCATCAGCACATAAAGGGAATCATAACTTGTTCGCTTGGTTGGCCTTCTCCTTGGCCTCCTCAGCGACATCTTCGGCCTTTTCGTGTATCTTCTCTAGGATATGCTCGGGCAGTGCGTCTTTCGCCCTCATACCATTGCCTCCGGCCGCCTTCTCCTGCTCCAGCTTTTCTGATTCCAGCTCTTCTTTTGACTTGATTGCCTGCTCGACCTGCCAGACGGCGCGCTCGATCTCGACCTCCATGTCGGGCAGGTCGAATTGCTCAGCAAGGAGTTTTCCGTTCCACCGTTGGAGAACCATGACGTCCTTTGTCTCGTTGTTCGTCTGCTGGTGCACCACGTCTGCGACCTGCTGCGCTTGTTGTTCGGTGGGGTTGGGAGCGGCGCGAGAGAGTGCGCGGGTAGGGTACATGAGTCCGGCAGTATAGAGTTGGTCGAGTATGGGCGATGGAGCGGGCTTAGGGAGATTGTGCTTGAGGAGGAACTCGAGGTGCTTGGAGCCGCCGAGCGCTTTCCAGTGACTCCATGCTCGGTAGAGGACGTAGAAGAAGGGCAGGTTGGGAATGACGGGTACGAGCATGAAGGGCGCGGTGAAGGGCATGATGATGACGCTCCAGATCAGCTTGCTCCGGTGCATGTTCTGCCTTTCTTTGGCCAGCTTTTGCAGCAGCCCAGATACCCTCTCCTGCGGCAGGTACTTGCCCGGGAACAGGACCTCATATTTTGCCTTGCCGTCCAATATGTCTTGTCTTCGCTTGGCCGAGAGGGCGGGTATTGTCTTGAGTCCCCATTCTTCGTAGGGAATGCGCTTCAGGGCCTCGTTGCCGTAAAAGGTCACCTTCTTCTTCCAGTCCCAGATGGCCTTTTCGTCTTTCTCCCATGCGACCCATGTCTCATTGGCCTTGATGGTGAGCTTGTCATAGTAGGAGCGGTCTTTGGGAGCCTTTTCGTGCAGCTTCTCGCAGTAGATGAGGGAGCGACGGGTGGATATGGGCAGGAGGAAAAGACGCATCGTGGGGTTGGCGGGGGAGGGTTGGCAGAATTGTCTTGTCGGTGGTTAGGTAAGCGCGCGCAATGGCGCAGGTATTTATTTAACAGAGTCGAAGGGCGAGTGTGTAGAACATGACGCGGGCGAGACTGTGGCGTACCAAGGCAGTGCAGCTGAAGTGGCAGGCGGTGCTGGCATGTCTAGCAGTGGCTGTGTGGTGGAGAATTGACGAACAAGCAAGCTACCGAGGCAGACCCATGACCTCACTAACAAGATGCCTGCCAGCGCGCAATCCCTGTTTCCTGTTTCCCTGATCGACGAACAAGCTTGTTCGCAATCTCCCATGGCCTGCCCACGGGCCTCAGCGCTCCACCACCCCCAGGCGTACCACCAAACTCTAACATCTACTATTGCTGATTCCAGTCGCTCGCTCGCTTTGTCTTGTTTATCCCGCACTGTTGCTCTCCCATACACGCCCTAGCCCCGACATGGTGTCGTCGCGCGTCGTCTACTTTGCTCCCACGTAATCTCCCCCGGTGCTGATTCACTGCCAAGCCCACGAAGCTTGCTCCTAGGGCGCGACACCCAGGCTGGTGCTTGGTGTTGGTGTTTTGCTAACGGGCTCCGCTGGTGCGACGAGGACGCCCCTCACATCTCCCGACAAGAATGACCAGCACGCCCATGGTCGACCCCAATGGCACTGGCACTGGCACCCACCTCCGCCCAGACGCGGCTGCCCACCGCAGCAGTCAGACATCCCAGGCCTCGACTCTGAACTCGTCCACCACCGCCACTCAACAACACCGCCTACTCCCCTCGCCCATTCCGCCGCCTACCGCCTCCTCGTCCAACTCGCAGCGTCGCCCCCAGTCTCGAGTCAGTGCCGTGTCGGACAACTCCAAGGACAGTCAGGACGGCGTCCCCGTCCGCAAGAGCCACTCGCAGTCCATCTCCAGCACCCCTCGCACGCTGGCGTCTTCTAACCGGAGCATAACCGCGAGCGCGGAGAACAGGGAGAGACAGCGCGCCGTCCGCTCACTGCCGCCCTGGGTCCAGTCGGCCGACGAAGAGGACAATGTCGATGCTACCAGCTTCCTCCTACCACGCACACCCACCAGTGTGCGCCATGCCAACCACAACTTCTGCCCGACCCCAAAGTCTAGCGTCCCGGGTCGCAAGTTCGACCACGCTCGCGAGGGCGCACCCGTGACCCTGTCGACGCCCGTCAGCGACAGCGCCCCCAAGTGGAAGCAATTCACCCAGGCCTCCAATCTCGACCGCCCCATATCCTCGCGCGGCCAGATTGTAGACGATGACTGGCTCAAGGAGAACATGCCCGACCTCGAGCAGAAGTGGGAGCCCATCGACAAGGACCATGGCGACGAGCACATCAAGGGCTTCTGGCTCTTCACCTCGGAGAAGAGAAAGCGCCGCCTGATGCGCTTCCACAACACCGTCATGAACCACCCCATGGTCCCTGCCCTCTCCCGCTGCTTGATCCTCGTCTTCTCCATCCTTGCCCTCTCCCTCGCCTGCTCCATCTACCGCCACTCCGACAACAACGGCTGCAACAATAATTCGTCGACTTGGATGGCTATACTCGTTGACATTGTGGCCGTCCTGTACACCATCTACATCACTTATGACGAATACACGTCAAAGCCTCTCGGTCTGCGGTCGCACAACGCTAAAATGTCACTCATCTTCCTAGACCTAGCCTTCATCGTCTTCGAGTCTGCCAACCTTAGTCTGGCTTTCCAGGCCCTGACAGACGACAAGTGGGCATGCGTTGAATCAGACAGGACAAATGCCTGTCCATACAGACAGAGCATCTGTGAGAGACAGAAGGGCTTGACAGCGACTCTGCTAATTGCGCTGCTTGCCTGGATTGCTACTTTTGCTATTAGTACTCTGAGGTGAGCTCCCACAGCCTCCTACATCATCATTACTCACTAACATCCACAGGTTGATCCACCGTGTAGCGAGGTAGTACCTCACACACCTCCATACATTCTCCTACATTCCCTCGGCCCTTGTATCATGCCATCCGTATCCTCGCACTACATTCCAACCATCCAGCTTGACTGATCTGCATTTGCCTTAGTACCAAAGAGCACGATGACCTCTTGCGTATGTCGGCCTTGTCTCCCCGGCGGCGATACCCTATACGTGCGCACTCTCTCCGTTTTCCTAGTCGACTCCGTTCTCGTACTCCTTCTATTAGGTCTTTTTACTCTTGAAAGCTAGCATAGCTACGGCGTTTGGGTTTCCTAGTCCTGCATTTCCCGCATCGGCGATTTTCTCTCCTACGCTAAGGTTTCTCCATTGGCCAGATTGAGTAGGTGTATATAGGGTGCTTTTTTGGGATACTGGACGGCCTAGAGACATAGCATAGTACAGAGAGAGATTAGTATAAACCCCAATAAAACAATGAAACAGGTCAAACACTCCTAACCACCAAGAAGCTCGTTACTATCAAATTGTATTCCGGAGATATATACCGTAAGTTTCTTCGTAAGTTCTCAATGTAAGATATCTTGTATACCCTTACTGTCAGCTTTAGCTGAGTATTATACTGAACACAATGCAACAGGATTCCCATCTCGTGTCCCAGCAGCCAGTCCTCTGAACGCTCCCCAGTTCCGAACCCCTCACATAGAACTAAACCCACCATCGACCGGTAGTCCTATACCAGTGACCCACGCGGCATCATCACTAGCCAGAAACACCGCCGCTTTGGCAATATCTTGGGGCGTGCCTAAACCTCCAAACGGATGTCGTTGTTCTACAATCTTCTTCTGCTCTGCTGCTTCAGGCGTGAGCAACCCCGAGATGAAGGCTGTAGCTGTAAACCCGGGGCAGAGGGCGTTGACATGGACGCGATATGGCGCACAGTCTTGTGCGGCGGCTTTTGTCAGACCGAGGACAGCGTGTTTAGATGTCACGTAACCAGCTGCCATTATCGTTAGTGACCCTTCTCTTGTCGGTGATGCAACGCCTCATCCCAAGACCCACCACTTCCCCACCACATAAGACTTAAAAATAAACATGCAAGGAAAGAAAAACAACGCAACTTACAGATACCTATTGAACCCCTCATCCCATACACACTACTCAGATTGATAATCCACCCTCTATCACCCCCAGCCCCTGGTTCCTGCCCCACCATCTGCTTGCTCGCATACTTGGTCCCCCAAAAAACACCTTTAACATTCACATCAACCGTCTTGTCAAAAGCATTTCCCTCGTAGTCCCAAATGGGTCTGCTCCCGTGCTCACCCGCTTCCATAGCAATACCCGCATTGTTTACCATGATGTCGATCCTACCGTACTCTTTCACTGTGGCTTGGATCAGGGCTTCGACTTCGGTGGAGGAGGTGGTGTTGCATTTGACAAAGATGGCTTTAGCACCAAGCTTCTCAACGGCTTGGACGGTGTTTAAAGGGGAAGTGTCTGTAGCATACTCTTGACGAGCGGTTTCGTGGAGATCGGAGCAGACTAGTGAGGCGCCTTCTGAAGCGAAAGCTAGGGCTGTTGCGCGGCCTATACCAGATGAAGCGCCCGTTATAACGGCAATTTTGTTTTGGAGGCGACCGGGCATTTTGGTCGAGGTGGTGGGGTAGATATAGATGCTTAGTGTGAAGGTGGTTGAAATTATTCTTTATCAGTTTCTGGTGTAAGTGGGTGACCCGAGTAGTTTATATTGGAAAAAAACACTCGATGCAGGTGGCGACAGGAGAAGCAGTGAAATGCAAAAAGTGAATGAATTCGAGTAGCAGTACATGTACTTATCTTACCCAGGTAGCTCTCTAGCAAACGGCCTTACTTGGTGAGGGGCTAGCTTATGCGGAGAAGGTACATCCTCGGTCCTTAAAAGGGCGCCTTGCAAATATACCATGAGCAGCGATCTTTGACTCGTGGCTTTCCGTGGAATGTAAGCCAATGCAGGCACCTGATCCCATCTCATTTATTATCCGCACGGGGCGCCCGACAGCCCTAGATTGCGATTCGCGCAAAAGTACCGTATGTTGGAGCAGGGCGGAATGTGGCGTTTACTATCAAGCTGACATGCTTCGTTGAAGGGATATATCTTTCGTCTATTTGCCTGCCTGGTGGAGCTGAAAGGGTGGCCTGTTGTATTACGCATGTAGGGATGCGTGTGTGTCCGTAAGAAGCAAATGGTAGGATGTCACATATCGCACAGGAGCTGGTAGAATCCGAGGTTCTGGAAAAAGCTAGGCTGAAGACTACTCGGAGACTGTCAGACCTGGATATCACTCGCTGTAGGACATCATACTAGTGGTGGTTATGACCATGTAAAGCCGCCGGAAGTTTGCGATGCGTACATGGTGGGGTTCATGTCGTGGGGCAATGATACCTGGACAGGGTCCAGCCGACCAGCCTTGCATGTACGTCATAGTGTAGATTTGCTTTGGACAACAGAACGTTTCGGTGACCTGTTCGCAATCCTGGAGACTGTAGTTCCACGTTAATAAAAAAACTTGCTTCCTCTCACTGAACACAATGGCGTCGGACAAGAGCAGAGATGAGTCCTTTCCATGGCAACTCGGAGTCTACGATGCACACTGCCATCCAACAGACACCATGTCCAGCATCGAAACCATCCAAAACATGAAAGCACGCGTCCTCACCGTAATGGCAACCAGATCCGAAGACCAGGACCTTGTTTTATCGACAGCGAACAAGCACAGCATCAGATCTTCCGATCCGTCTCAATGGACGAAAGAAGAATGCATAGTCCCTTGTTTCGGCTGGCACCCATGGTTCTCATACCAAATGTACATATCTCCCAACCCAGATTCCGGAGCAAATGAGAACAACGAATTGCAAAACCAAGGCACTCTCACCGGTCAAGCAAAGATGTCCCACTATCAATCCGTCCTCCAACCCTTCCGCTCCGACCCCAGCGAAGAAGATCTCCAGATATACGCTTCATTACCAGATCCAACCTCCTTCTCCGTATTCCTGGACCTAACGAGAAAACATCTGCAACAATATCCATTTGCGCTAATAGGTGAAATCGGTCTCGATCGGTCCTTTAGAATTCCTGAGTCCTGGACCGGCAATCCAGATCTATGGTCGAAGCGCAACAACAACCTCACGCCAGGTGGTCGCGAAGGTCGGCGCCTAACACCTTTCCGGTGCAGTCCTTCACACCAAAAGAAGATCTTCAAACTCCAATTGGATCTTGCTGCGGAAATGGGCAGAGCAGTTAGTGTACATGGTGTACAAGCGCATGGCCTAGTTCTGGAGGCACTGAGCGAAACGTGGAAGGGATGCGAGAAACAAGTTTTGAGTAAACGGGAGAGAAAGAAGAGGGGTCAGGATCACCCTGCTGCTGAAGCCGCGTTGTCTGCTGATGAGACGCGGAATAAAGGCACCGGCGAAGAAAACAGCGGTCCGAAACCCTATCCACCTCGTATATGCCTCCATTCTTACTCTGGTTCACCCTCCAACTTCGCGCAATACCTTCGTCCTGAGATCCCTACCAAGATCTTCGCGTCGTTCAGCACGGCGATTAACCTGTCTGATGCGATCGACGAGGAAGATACGCCACAGGCTTTCCAAGATATCATAAAGACTGTTCCAGATGATATGTTACTCGTGGAGAGCGATTTGCACACTGCGGGCGAGGAGATGGATAGAAGGTTGGAGGATATCATACGTAGAATATGTGGAATCAAAGGATGGGGGTTGGAGGAGGGGGTGACGAAGTTGGGAAGGAACTGGGAAGCCTTTGCTTTGGGTAATAGATGATAAGATTTGGTATGATGTAAGAAGGACAGTCATCACTCAAAAGATGTCAAGTTTTGGGCAAATGCAGTCGTATTCTGCAGTCAAGACTAGCTATCTTGTGGAATGTAGCAGTCATTTCCATATCGTTTCAAACCAGATTTCTTCAGGCCAGTCCATATCAACCGGTAGATCTCAGATCATTCCTTCTCAACCCAGTCGGTATCGGTCAATCGATGACTCTCAGATCAGTCCATCTCAAACTAGTAAATCAAGAAGTCAAACCATGATGTCCGAACATCTCAAACCAGTTCTTCTATGCAAGCATAGCCGAGGTACCAGACATCTGCATAGCGGCGAGGACATCTTCCTTGAAACCAGCTTGGGGACCAGCATTAGCCTCCTCGATGTACTCGCCGTACTCATCGGTGTACATGGTGATGCGCTTGTGGACGGTGTCGTACTGCCAGTCGCCATAGTAGACCTCGTTGATGGGGAGATCAGGGCGATAGTAGGACAGGTGCTTCAAGGCCTCGGGTCCCTCCCAACCAGGAATGTGCTCACCTACGTGGAGCTTGCGAGTGGTGATGGTCTTCAGATTAGGGAGCTTGGAGAGCATAATGCCTGAGCAAAAGTCAGTTCTTGTTGATCTTAGACGTACTAGGAGTACTTCGCAAAGTGTTGACTGCCATGAGACTTACTGAGCATCGTACGGTAGCCGCCAGTGTAACAGAAGTCTTTGTTGATGTAGTCCCACTCTTCGTGCTTGTCGTTGACAGACAAGACGATGCGTCGATCGGTGTCACGGACCTTCTGAGCCTCGATGTACTCGCTTGAGTTCAGCGTCGCGCGGTTCAGGCGCGTAAGAGGTACGATCTGGCGATTCGGATCCGGGTGGGCGCGCAGCAGGTTAATCCATGATATGTCGTAGCTCAACTCTGGTGTCTTGGGTGCTTCTCCGACCAAAGTGATGGTGCGCACAGTAGCAGGATATGCGTCATCCAAACCAAGACCAACCAAGAATGAAGCAATGCTTGAGAAGGTAGGAAAGATGGTAACGTTTTCTGTCACCATGATCTTCTTACCATACTGGAAGTTGACAGCATAGTTGAGTCGCTTGCTTGCTAGGCGCATGCTGTTCAGATCGTGGACGTTTAGTTCACTGCCGATCTCGCCAACAACCTCGTTGGGCAGAAACTTGGAGCACTATGGTCGAATTAAACTTACCAACCTCGGATCCGGAAGCAAGAGAAAGAAAGAAGAACACAAAAGAGAAGCAGAAGAAGCAGAAAAGGAAATGTAGAGATACACTTACGCTAGTAGCGTTGCGAGGCTTGTCACTGTGGGATCGGAAGACCTTGCTAGCAGGCTGGTAGCACGGATTGGGGCCAATGCCTGTACGTATTAGACGGAGTTAAAGTGTTTGGATACAAGCCTTACTGTGGAGGGTATATCCGCGGCTTCCAAGGTTCTGGACGATCTGCCCTACAAGTTCTGAGGCCGTTAGTATGGTCAGAGGACCGATAGAAGCGAACTCGCCCTCAAGTTTGGCAGCATTGGTAGCCGCGGCGGCGTCTTTGACATCTTTGTCATCTGGCTGAGTCAAGGTAAACCTCTTCTCGGTGTTGACTCCGGTAATAGCTGGCTCGCTCGCGACACTTGCTTTGCCCTTCGGCATGGGCACAATGATCTTGCCGCCGTCGCCGAACAGAGACTTGGGGGGATCAGACATGATGTAAGGAGTGCTCTTAAGGAATTTGAAGTATCAAGAGAAGGTGCGGCTGTCAAAACAAAGTCTTGATCAAAGGAGAGATTGAAGGAAAGGTAGGTGTTGAGGTAGAGGTGGATGTGAGGGCAAGCCTCTTTATGAGAAGATTATCTAGCTTAAGCTTGGGCCTGAGACGCGTCGATGTAGTGATTCAGGCAGCTTTGTTGATGAAAGTGAACGTGAGTGGTGTTTGCCAAAACAAGAGACGTGTGGTGAGGATCAGAGTGCGGTGGTACGGACAGGTGGTACGACGGATTCGGCTTCACGGTGAACGAGAGAATAGATACGTTAGTGGGCCAGGCAAGAACATCAAAAAAAACCCACCAAAATTATCGGTAAGTGTTCGAGTTTGAGTGTGCCTTTGAATCTGCTCGAACATCAGCGTCATGGACACAAACTGTAGGCAGCCGAGACAAGGGGTGTACAAATTCTTGTGATAAGTGGACATGGGTGTAGCAGGATCAGATTGCGTCGAGAATGTCAGGTGCTTTCAGAAATCTATCTCGAGCCTGAAATTGATCAGTAGCGCCTGTGAGAATGAAGGGTAGTTACGGAGCAAGCGCATATACCGCAAGTTCTCATCGAACGCCTTGTTAAGGCCAATCATACAAGAGAATGTAGACGAGGAGAACTTCTCCATGGAAAGCCCAAATAATCCATTACACGTCCGAGTAGAGCTGAGATCTGCGAATGTAGACCAAATATTGCTCTGGATACTGCAACTGTAGTATGAGACATGATGAAAGAGAAGTGTGAGAAGAAGCCGCGGTAGAAGAAAGCGACCAGAAATCAACAGGAAGAGGAATGATCATTACATCAGTCTCGACGAAGAAGTCATCGCATTCTACATGTGTCGTCCTGTATCAATGGATACAGTGATATCCAAAGCTCTTATCCATATGTTCGCCTCTGCGCTCGGAAGGATCATCATCAGAACCATTGTTAAATGCGTCGGAACAGATCAGAAGCCCGTGGCATGAATTATGGTAATCGGGTGTACCCGACCGTTGCTTCTACTGCGACTCGAGTAGTTGAGATCGAAGAAGGAATGTTTAAGAGATGGGAAGAAGGAAAAATGGTGACAAGTAAACATTTGCAGACACACAAAAAGCCCAAGACGCTAGTGGCAAACCCACTTTCTCTCCCAATGTTGGGCAGGCACGGTGCACGTAGATCTATTCTGTTAACTTAACAACACCTTGGCAATCTAGGGAACGCTAAGTGGTCAAGATTGAAACGGTGACTGTTGGCAAGAAGACGCACATCACACCCACCACTACGTAAGGATTATTTGAATATCACATATTTACTTCTTCTGAACAAATGCTATAGATCGTTGTAGCAGTTTACACTCTCTGCTGAACTGCAATCATGCCAGTAGTCTACATGGCCATGCATCAATCCTTTTCAACACTGTCCTTGGTCTTCTCTGCGTCTGCGTCGAAAAACAAGCTTCGTCTCTTGACGTCTGCAGGTGGTGGGCTTGCCGGAGTATCACCAATTGTCGCATCCTTCTCTCGTTTGAAGTCCTCCGCTCTTTTGAGATCACTCGGTGGAGGCGAGGACACCGGTGTCTTTGTCCCCCATCCTTTCCTCTTCTCGCTTGCCCAAGTGCCCCAGCTGGAAAAATACGCACCCGCGCTTGCCTTCGCGTTCGAGAGATCGGGGGCTTGAGGTGCTTTCCCTGGTCAAATATTAGCATTGGCCTCTTCACAAAAGCAGCATGTTTGGCTTACACTTCCTCCCATCGTCGACAGGCCTTCCTTCCTTCTCAGCCTGTAGTCGTGCTTCTTCGGCTCTCTTCCTCTGCGCCTCACGCATAGCTTCCATTTCCGCCCACAAGCGGTTGTACGCAGAGCTGACCTTTTGTTGGCCTACTGCAATCTGTTTACCCAAGACTTCTCTTGATTTCTCCAGTCGCTCGTCAAGATGCATTTCTGCTACCTGCCTAATCGCCACGCGAACATCAGCACACATACGCCGAGAGACACGACTTGGAAGGTTGGGTTGGAAAACAGACTAAGGGTGAGGTTTAGTCGGGCTGACGGGGCTGCTAAAAGAAGGAGGGAACGTACTGTGCCAATCGGCGTTGGACGTCTTCCATCGATAGGCCACCAGAGCAAGGGTGTTTCGGATCGACGATATCGAAGAGGTGTGAATCTGTAAATTTATTCCAGATGCGGAAGTTCTCAGTCTGCATCCAAGCATGTACCCATTCATTTGAGAACTCGCTCGCCGGGTCACCTTCAACTTCTGTGATCAACTTCTCTTTGTGTGCGTTCTTCTCCATGTATATTTTGTACTTCACCGAGCTGAGCATAGCGAGAAGGTACTCTTCGAATTGCATACGGATGAACTCTTCGCTGCCGGCATATCCATGGTCCTTCGGTCGTGCTGGATCGTTTTCATCCCATGTATCGTTGATCGTCTGTGTCAAGAAGTCGATCCATCTCCGGTCCGGTGTCGACAGAATCGATGCATTTCGCAGCGCGGCTGATGTAATGTTTACAGTATGATCGTCGAGGTTGATAAGAATATCGCTGTATCGATCTCTTTGCTGAAGTAACAGCGAGTTTGTAGAGCCGACAATATAAGATTTCGTGTCTTGATCTGCGAGTATGTCGAGTTGCTGAAGTGGGGTGTATGGTCCGAATAGAGAGCCTGTACCGAATAGCTGCAACGGGAGGCCCATGTATGCCAGTACTAAGTCTATTTAGTATGTCTAAGCGCAGCAACAAGGGCAAGGACTAACAGGAAGCACGTTCAGACGTCTTGAGTGAAGTGGGCATGACACACTTCTCCTCACAAGAATTGAACTTGGGATCTGCAGCATCTTGTAGGTGACGTATCAGGCCGGGTATCAGTGAAATAAGAGCAAACTGCATCATGCACAATCGTTCGCAATGGGAGCCGAAGAAGAGAACCTATGGTTGTAAGACATTCTGTAAACGGCGACTGAACGTGCTAGCTCGGATAGACTAAGACGTACCTTTGGTTGAAGCAAGGCGCATTTGAAAAGAACCAAAGTCTGCCATTTGAACTCGTGTATGAATTCGCGAAGAGAGATACCGAAATAGTGATCTTGCTGTCCCTCCTGGTTCTTTAGCAGCTGTGGAAGACTTTCCGTGAAGCGCTCCAATATCTCAATATCCGTAAAGTCCCTGCGGACGCGTCAGCGCCATGTTGTATGCCAAATCTATCATGGAGACCCAACCTACCTCTGGTTAAACCATAGCTGTGTGACAACACTTAATTGCGCCTTGATAGCCCCAAAATGTTGTGGACTATCGCTGATGACAACGACAGCCTTCTGCACCGTGCTCCTGGTAACCTCAGCCGGCCGATCGATAAGCTTGCTCGCATCGAGCTGTCGCGTACACGATATACCGAAGAGAGACGTCGCGGGTTCAGTCGAGGTTTGCGCGCGGCGGAGGGTAAAGTAGGAGTAGTCTTCTGCAGAGGCATGCGCACCGTCACTCAAGGCCATGAATGGCAGCAACGACCAGTCATTGTCCGCTGCTGGGTCGGTTCCTTCTTCTGCACCCAGCCATGTTTCCACTTCTGGACCTCTGCGCATGGTTGTTAGCCATTACCTGGCCGTCTGGATCTGTGGTTGCAACTCTACTTGTAAGGAGAAGCTTACCGCGCATGGTGGAAGTCGACGACGCAGACAAGTGGATTGAGAGTCGCCATTATCGTGCGATCTAGATGCTATCGCATAGTACTCAAAAGATATAGAGAGGAGGGTTGTAGGGCCATAGGGACCAGGCTCGCGTCCTTGAATCGTTGCGGACGCGCTCAGAGCGGTGACGAAACGGCAGTCCCTCAGTCAGCCCTACAGCGCTAGCCCGAAGCCTCGGCGATCTCCACCCGTTCCCAAGTTAGTGATCACGCCCGAGATCTCACGGACACCAGTGCCAGGGTACCTCTGAAGGAGCCTCTTCCTTAGTCTTGTCATCTTTTGCTTCTCACTACAGTCACCCAATCATCTTGTGCAAAGCGACGATTAACGTATGTTTGATAATATGATTTCACATTCCTACCTAGGTGGACCAAAGCCTTCACTTCCGTCATGAACATTCCTTTCGTGTACCCGCAATGGTCATTCCAATGACAATAACAAATCCATGCCCCATCTACCGCGCATCTTCATGTCACATAGGTCCACAAGACGAGACCCCGGGAATCATTGGGAACAGCCAACTCCGCCTGCGCCAGGCAGATGATACGTCAAGCCTCGGCAACTGCATGATTCGTTGTCTTAGAGACTGCAAATGGTTCTAGCTCGAGATTGGTAGACATTATTTGTAATTAGCTGCCGTTGTTCTCTTGCTCCTGTGCCGCCGCATCAACATTGTGGTAGTCCAGAATCTCAGAGTACCTGTAGTGTGTTAGTTCGTGTATGTGACATTCTTCGGCCAGACGTACATCATAATTTTCCACGTGTCAACGGGCAGGTCTGCATCGTTGAACGACCAGTCAAACTTCTCCTCCGCAATCGGCTCATCAGTGGGGTCGTGGTATGGGGCGAGGTATGGGTGAGCGAGAGCCTGCTCTGCTCGTACACGCTTCTTAGGGTCAAAGACCAGCATGTTCTCTAGGAGATCGACGGCCTGAGGCTCGGCGTTCTTGAACTTGTTGGACAAGGGTTGTCGCTCGCGCTTGGGAAGTGACTGGACGAATCGCAGTGTCTGGTAAAATTAGCGAGTTGCTCCTGAGTCTGCATCGTCCTACTTACGTTCTCACTGCAGATGGTCTGGATAACATCATCGGGGGGTGTACCGAGAAGTTCGGTAATGATGGAGAACTGGTTCACGTGGTCTTTTCCAGGGAAGAGCGGCTTGCCCTCGAGCATCTCGGCGAAAATGCATCCTGCGCTCCAGATATCAACCTCAACATCGTACTTTTGCCATGTGAGCATGATCTCAGGGGCTCGGTAGTATCGGGTAGATACGTAACCCGTCATCTGGGGATCCTGTATACGGGCGAGACCGAAGTCGCAAATCTTGAGATCGCAGTTCTCGTTGACGAGGATGTTGCTGGGCTTCAAGTCGCGGTGCACAACACCAGCGGAGTGGACGTATTTCAGGCCACGCTTTGGAAGTCAGCACATTTTCTTGGTTATCTGGAGGTTTTGCCACGGACCAAAATCTGGTAGAGGAAGTATTGAATGAACTGCTTCTCCAGCGGTCTGGAGGTGAGCAGGCGGTGCAGATCGGTTCCGAGGAGCTCGGTGACGAAGTAGCTGAGCGAATTAGTGCTTGCTTGGGTCGGTGGTAATGTGGCTGCCTACATATCCTCGAGGGGAGAGATGAAGATGTCGCTCAGGCTGATAATCTGGTTTGTGTTAGAATTTTCGCTGGGGAACGGCAGTTGCATTGCCCACATTCTCGTGTCGAAGATGCTTCAGGAGCTTCAACTCTCGGTATGTCCGCTTTGACAGGACTGGGGTGCTGAAGGGCTTCATGATCTTCTTGATAGCCACGGCCTGGCTAGTAAGCTGGTCCTTGGCTGAACTGTGGCCGAGTCAACATTCAATTCGTGTCCAGCGTTGTGAGAGTCGTACCAAACAAGACCAAAAGCGCCCATGCCCACGGGCTGCAGGTCGGTGTACCTTGTCGATGTCAGTTATGCCAGAAGACGTAATGTGGGGTATGCCCGCACCTGCTGGTAATCTCGAAAGTGGTGCCGAAAATCTGGGCGCGTACGAATTCCGCCATGATGATTGTTGGAGGTTATGATGCTGCGACAGGCGCGAAAAACGGTCTTGGGCGAAAATTGGGGGTTGTGGTGGTTGTGGTGGTGGAAGAGGGCGAGTAGGACGTCGTGGGGTATTCGCGAATACGTCGGGGCTCTCTAGTCGCACGTTGACGCTGCTAGATCAGGGCAGGTTTTATTGGGCTCGGTGGCTAGATCCGGCAATCAAGGACTTGCGCGACACAGCTCCGAGGGATCTTTCTTGTCGTCTTCAGAATTTGCACCAGGGGTGTCGCGAACGTCGACGGCTGGACACGTTGGGATGCTTTGGCTGCCGCTTTGAATGTTCAACGTTGGCAGTAAGCGGGTCGGCGAGAAGACAATCGAGGCACCGACGGGATGACCTCAGCTATGTGCTACACAAGGATGAGGCTCGAGGGCGTGGCGAGAATGCAGATCAGTGCGGAAAGGAAGAGGTGAAGGTAAGAAGACAATCGAGGGGCAGGCACCAAATGCGATGGAGGGACGCATGCACATGGCCCGGGCACGGAAGTGTCGCTCACACAGGTTTCGGCCTGTTCTGGTGACGTCACGATGGATTTTGAAATTTCCATTACAGCCCGTGCATAACACCCAGCGCAGCCATTTCCTGCGCTTTTACTGGCGGTGCAAAAGGCCGTCACAGCAATGCATCCTGTCCTGTCACTGTACCCCACTGCGACCTCGAAGCTCTTTCCGCATTCACTCGCTGCCTTCCCCTCTATTCACGTGTCTGGTCCGTGCACATCAGTCGCCCACCCCGAACGGTGACTTTGCAGCTGGCATGCAGCCACACTTGCTCTTTTAACGACCAACATGCCTGGGCAGCTTGACTTGCCTTGGTTGTATAACCTGGCCTAGCCTGTCCTTGCGTTGACAACCTTGACTTTGCTGACGGCTCGAATATACCTGCAATATTGACGTATGAAGAAGGTATACCTAGAACACATCCGCATGCCTATATATATGACCTCTAGTACCGCGTTATCTTGTCTGTTGGGCCCGTCTCCCTGATGTTCTGATTTCTCATCACCCTGCTTTCCTACCAATGGATCCGAACTTGTCGTTGTCTTCAAGCCTAGCGGCGAGAATATCAACGACGCGTGAACGGTACCTGACTTCAAGGGCCGATTACCAGCCCTCGTGGCATCCCTGATATGACGTTGCGTAATGCTTCGTTTGCGGCTCGCTCCGAAAGCGTGTGAATGGTATGCTGCGGCTATCACGGAACATGGTAGCGGTCTGAAACACGCACGCGATTGCTGACATGTGGCCCCGTCAACTCTTTTCTGTTGTATCCCACCCGAGCGGATGTCCTGATAATGCACGACATCGACCAACACATGTCCGTAGTCGCCAAAGGTGGGGACTTGGGCCCGACAGATATATTTGGTCAGCCTCCAGCTAGCCTCGCTTGCAGCTAGCCAATATTGATGGAGAGGCAGGGCAGTCTGACGAGAGGCTCGCATTCATCTTCAGTCAGGGGACCAAGAGGCAATTGTATTCGTGCCAGACTTAAATTAGACTCACTTTACATTGAAGAGGGCAGCCCCACGGGCATGGCTACCTCGGAAACGCCGTTGCATGTCAGTCCCGCGCAGTTGCATGGTGTTGGCGCTGGCTGGGCGACGAGGTAAACTCTATCGTGGAGGCGTTCCAGATTGAGACTTGGGGGCTGAGCCGTTCGTCGCGGTCGCATTGTGAAGCCAACACAGAGCAGAGGAGCGAGGCTGCAGACTGCAGACCGCAGGTCCTGTATATAGAAGTCTGGAGGCACAGCTGCAGCGCGTAGTGCAGGGACCGTTGTATCAAGGGGCCGTGGTGGACTGCGTGTTGGAAAGCCGCGGGTGGTAAGCCGAGATAGATGCCTTTCGGATATGACAGCCACGAGCCATGGCAGCCACGGCGTCGTACATGGCCTCGAGTGTCGTTGGGGCACCACCACCTCCCATTGCATTGCATCGCATCTCCACTGCCAGTATCCGCCAGCACTTTGCCCTTCTGCGCTCGCTTCAGCGCGCCTTGTTCCGCAGCTTGGCTCGTGCCATTTACCCTGATCGCTGCTCTAGCATCCACGATTGAATGAGGCTTAGCAGCATTGCGCCTGCCATCATCGCCTTCATCACCCTCTCGTAATCCACGCCTCGCACTGTGAGCAAACGAGCCAGCGCATCTGCCCGACGCACTCGCCCGGCACTCCGCTGCAAACGACGCTTCCTGTGACGACGCCGACGCCGTGAAAGTGGTGATTGCGCCTTCTCCAGATCCCGCGCCTTCCTCATCAACTTACTGGGGAAGGCACCTCCGCACGAGCCACAGGCAGCCCTGGAGTCTCGGATCTAGCTCACCAAGACGACCCTACCGTCCATACAACAACACCACCACCGTCGCATACCAAACCCCCGTCCGTCCCTGTGCTCCAGCCCGACCCCGCTTCCATCGCTGCTGCCATCCACGCTGGCGACCTCGCTGCCGCGCCCGCCCACGTTGCGAGGCCCCCTTTGACGGGAGCTGCGTGTCGGATTAAGCCGACGGAAGCGTCACCACAGCTCCAGCAACGCGCCAACCGTCACGCCGCCATCCGGACCACTCGCTCTTTCGCATCGCCGCCTGTATTCGACGACGACGTTTCTGCGACGCGCTGAGCCTAGTGCTCCATCATTATCCCGCGCCCGACACCCCCCCAGCGCCCGCGGCCGCGAGCCGCACCACACGCCGGCATTATGGGCATCTGCATGAGCACCAACAATGACGATGTCGAGCAGAAGAAGCGCAGCCAGGCCATTGACCGCAAGCTCGAGGAGGACTCGCGACGGTTACGGCGGGAGTGCAAGATCCTGCTGCTGGGTGAGTAGCTCCAGCCTGGCAGCCGCTACATTTGCTAACACGCCCTGCAGGCTCCGGAGAAAGCGGAAAGTCGACCATAGTCAAGCAGATGAAGATCATACATCAAAACGGCTACACGCAGGATGAGCTCGCCATGTACCGCCTGACCATATACAAAAACGTCATCGACTGCGCAAAAGCCCTCATTGGCGCCATGCGACAATTCGACGTTACCCCCGAGAAGCCAGGCAATGCTGAGCTCTGCGACTACCTGCTCGAGTACACAGTCGATCCTGATCCCGAGAAGCCCCTCGATGTACGGGTAGGCCAAGCCATCACATCCATGTGGAGCGATCCCTGTGTCGGCAAGGTCCTCGAGCACTCGAGCGAGTTCTACCTGATGGATTCCGCCCCATAGTAGGTTTGCGCATCCCTTTCCATCAACCACACTGACCCCTTCAGCTTTTTCGATGAGGTAGAACGAATATCCGACCCCAACTATGTGCCCATCGAATCCGACGTCCTACGAGCGCGTACCAAGACCACCGGTATCTACGAGACAAGATTCACCATGGGCCAGCTCAGCATACAGTACGTGCGCCCCTTCAAACCATATTCTGGTGTTCAGGCTAACATGAAACAGCATGTTCGACGTAGGGGGTCAACGGAGTGAGCGCAAGAAATGGATACACTGTTTCGAAAACGTCACATCAATCATCTTCTGCGTGGCATTGAGCGAATACGATCAAGTGCTGTTAGAAGAAAGCTCACAAGTATGTAACCAAGTGGAGTATTTTGCCCATTACTGACTCGCGCCCCTAGAACCGGATGATGGAAAGCTTGGTGCTCTTCGACTCGGTAGTCAATAGCCGGTGGTTCATGAGAACGAGTATCATCCTGTTCCTCAACAAGGTCGATCTGTTCAAGGCAAAACTCGCACGATCACCACTCGGCAATTACTTTCCAGATTACTCTGGCGGCAATGATGTCAATCGTGCGGCCAAATATCTGCTGTGGAGGTTCAACCAAGTCAACCGAGCTCACTTGAACCTATACCCTCAGTAAAAAAAAGCCCTCTCCTCAAGCCAACCCACGCATACTAACCTCGCTAGTCTCACACAAGCCACCGATACGTCCAACATCCGACTCGTCTTCGCCGCCGTCAAGGAAACTATACTGCAAAACGCGCTAAAAGACTCAGGCATACTATGATCGTCCATACAACACTCGCACCCACACTTGACGGCCAGGCATACGACCTACGAGTGCTGCGACATGCTCAGCTTCCTTTCCGCCATACCCATACACTTACATAATACACGAGCCCTTTACGATCATTACTCCCGATCGTGCCACTCATGATGCACATCCTCGGTCACGAAACGGGAACTTTGGGAGATATTATTGCCTCTAGCTATCCATACAAAGAGCGCAGCATTGGTGTTTTTGGCGTTCAAAGATTCCCTGGGACTTGCTCCTTTTCTTCTTGTCTTGGATAATGGGAATGGCTTCATCACAACATTTTTTCTCCCTGTGGGAGTCGGTCGGATTTTCCCATCGAGTGCTGAATTTTGGTTGCCCCTTGTCCCCCAATCTTGCTTCTCCTGTTTCCTGGTTTATCTTCTATGGACTGCTGAGAGAAAGCCAAAGAGGAAAAAGTTGAATGCACACCCTTTCTGAATCCCTTTCTATATAGGCTGGGGTTTCGCCCGCTAGGGAGCGGACTTGTATGCTATATAGCCTCTCCCTTACGATACGTCTTTTTATTTGTGTCTTATTCATCAATTTCATTCCCGCGACACGGTCAAACAACGAGGAGGAACTCTCTAGCTTATCAAACTACTACCACGACCCTTTGCAATGGTTTTTTATGGCCTCGAAGCGTTCGCGTAGATATAATGTACGCCACCATTTTCAAACGCCAATATATCATATTGACTTGCATATACATCTTTTAATTTTGGTATGTAGCTAGACCCTACTCCGATGAACAGTTAGTTGCTGTGGAATATTTGACACGTATACTCCTCACGTGAATCCTTGCTCCATCTATTCCACATTCCGTTCCTACGTTCAAGCCAAGGCTGCGGACACCGAAATCGGAAAACGATATCATCGTGGCTGTGTCACTGTCGTTCCATCCTCGGTGCATACACCTTGTTCATCCAATCTAACCAACAGTGCCGCCACGCCGCAACATCCGTAACCGCGCGTCCTTCGTCTTGCACATCTGCGCATATGCGCAAGACAACGACCGAAGCACCGGGCGGGCGGAGAAATTCGAAGAACGTCATTGTGTTTTTTTTTTTCAGAAACATGTGTTGAAGAGGACATAGCACGTCACCTATGTATCCCACTACGCTGGGACGTGAGAAGAAGAAGATTGAGGCGCTTGGGAGATGCAAGGGATATCGTGGTTTCCGCTGCCCGTTGGCCTTAGATGTAGCGAGAAAATGGTCATTTGCTCCACGACGTGGAATTTCTTTGCCGACTCAAGCACGCAAGATTTGAGGATCTGCTACATAGGGGGTTGAGAGCGGGTAGTGTGCTATGAGGCGTGTTGTTTCAAGTTTTGAGAGTCGCATGTTTCACGAATCAATCATTGTTTTGTCTATCAGCTTAGTTGCCCGCGTGTTTCCCTTGTCAGTTAGGCGACAACAAGTGCTTCATGTAGACCAAAAGTTACATGTCACCGAATACCTATAAGCATGCACAAAGTTAGTTTGTGTTTGCGGGGGAGGAGGAGCGGGGAGAGCACAAGTGCGGTAAGCTCCATGATGCACCTGAGAAGGTTGCCCGCTTGAGGAAAATGGAAGCGAAAGTATGTTTGGGCGGAGAAGAGATCCTATGTTACGAAATACCTTAAGAAGAGAGGAGGGGGAGAAGAAGGCTATTGTTGTTCTTACATGATGAATAGCCAATTGTTTTACTTGAAGAGGCGATTGCGCCTTAGATCTGATCCATATACGAAATTGATGGGGCAGAGCGTACGTTCAGCCTTAAGGTATGCAACTGAGGTTGCAGATTCAATCACTACATAGAGATAAGACTAGGGCAAGTGTGATCTTGTATCAAATTTGCATTCATAATATGCGAGTCCGTGTTTCTGCTGCCTGTTTCCAGCTAGCCGACCCCTCAAGTAAACGCCTGCCCATGCCAGCCCAGTTCGCCAATACCCAATGGCCGTGAGGGTTCTTTTGTGGTAAATCGAATTTTGTATAAGAAAAAGGAAAAGGTATCGTTACATCGTTAACGCCTGATTCCGCTCGCTATCCCATGATGCCGCTCGCACTCAAGGGCGTACAGTGTTTTGTTCCCCGCGACTCCTTCGTTAGCTACACAACTAGCAGCTATTGCGTCGCTCTCAATTCAGAATTTGTTGGACAAGAAAGTGTGCTTCTCGAAGCTCATGCGCCTCTGTCTCTCTACGTTGCTCATCTCCGAAGAAGTGCTCGGTGGAAGCGCGTGCTTTGCATTAACCGCCAGAGGAGCGAAAATCTTCGGACCAAGGATAGGTGAATCGGCAGCCTTGGTGGTGGGAGAAGATGGCGCGCTGATAGTGCTAGCCTCTGAGGGTGGGGCTGCGACACTGGTGATGCTTGAGACTGAGGAAACAGACTGGTGGCGCGTTGGTCGGTTGGATAGAAACCCGTGAGCAGGCATGACGGGCTCGGTGGGAGATTGAACACCGGAACCGGACTGCTTCTTGACGGGAGTGTTGACAGTGAGAAAGTTCTTTGGGAACGGAATGTGGTAGGTTGAGCTAGTGGAAGACATTGCGCCAGGTTGGATGTCGGGTATTGGTATGTGGGTGGTGGAGTTTTGGTTGGAGGTGAGGAATATGGTTAGAAGAAGTTGTTTTGGTAAAGGTAATGTTGGTTTTCTGGAGGACGAGAAGAGGTAATCGGCACTTCTTATATGTGTCCACAAGATTGGTTGTAATTGTGAAAGTATTCAAGTTCGGTGTTGTGCGTGGGTACCACGGATAGCGCTGCCAAGCAAGTTCCGCTGGGGCTCGCGTGTGTCAAGTGACCTCTGTAACTGGCTGGAGCGTTTTGATGATCTACCAAAAGTAAGGTCCGACGCGCTTGAGTCTCCGGTCAATCTGCTTAGTGCGTAATTTGAGCGTGGATAGCTCCGCTTAGCATGAAAGAGCTGGGTCCAAAATCAATATGAAGCTTGGGGTTGCAGCGCGGGATGTCGCAGATGCTTCCGCACGCTGTGTCTTGGCCGTGGAGCTGTAGTTGACCCTGGCGATCGTGCGTCCGGTGCGCTAAGGATGCTCCGCTGTAGATGGCGCAGTTCGTCCGTTGATTGATAAGACCGCAGGTACACTTGTTACGCGTGCGTAAGCGTCTGGCTGCGTGTACGTGTATGATCGACCTGATTTGAGGCTGACTGTGGGTTCAAGTGTACTTGGCAGGTTCTTGTCCGCCAGTAATGGTGCGTTGCTCGTGGATCTGGGGTCGCCGTAGATGGGACGTCTGTGTGTTTTGGTTCCAGAAAGGTTTTGGGAACGACAAGACAGGATAAGTTCGCTTGGCGGCCTCAATACTTTCGACCTCTTGGGCGACTATCAAGGTATCTTGGCAAAAGGTTAAGATGTTTGACGCGGCAGAGTGGGGAATTCAACGATTCGTAGCGGAGGGAGAAACAGATACTGTAGACCAGACTGAAAGCTCCTGGGCTTAAGAAGGGGAAGGTATAGCTTTTCGGCTTGACAACGCGCCTCGGCTCAAGGGCACTCAGCAGGCTGACCAGGTGGATTAGGAATAAGTAATCCGAGATAGAAGCGACGCGAAGAAGCGCGTGAAGCAAGCTCAACCTCTTAGAGGCGTGCATAGCTGTGGAAAACTGGGATACAAAATCTCAGCATGCATACCCGCTCTTTGCGAGCCCATGCGGGTCCTCACCAGTCGGTGCGCAAGCGCTAGATGCTGAGGTGAGTGGACCGACAGCTAGCAGAACCCACCACGTTGGTGTAGCTAGAATGCTCTGTGGTTAGATCTCGTGGGATGTTTCTGGCTCTATGGAGTAAGAGGATGACGCGACCCCCTACACGTCGTGAGGGAAACCTCGCGCCATAGGCCAAGTCTTTTGCGCATGCTGAGTACACAGTTGACCTTGCATAAGGCGACCACGCTCAACGAACGCCAATTTCTGCCATGTGGTACTAATTTGTTTTTCGATGAACGTTCCTGGGGAATCTAGCCAGCCGTGAGGAGCGTGCTTTGCATCATGCGGGGGTGTACAGGCCGCAGGCGGATCCGCGCCCCCTGTGTGTGTTTAGTGAGAGTAAGCCGAAGATAGCCTGGATGCATAGGAACGAAGGAGTCGTTGCAGGCGCCATGGTGTGATGAAGGAAAGATGCGCGGGCAGCTGGCGGAGCTCGAGGTCGAAAATCTTCCGAAGCTTCCTACGGTCTCAGGTGACGCTACCTTATCTCCGTTTTTTCCTAATAAGCGACGATGCATGTAGGCGAGTACGGCGAGTTATTCCATGTCTGCCTATAACACCATCACGCCTCTCAAGCTCAGGCCTTCTCCATACATTATGACGTCTACACGATTCAGGCTCGCGATAACACGACCACGCGTCCTATATTCAACCACTGCTTGCATGTCCTTTTATCCATTAAATCCACCGGCTTTGTGCCGAGACATGCAGCGCCCATGGCTGCATGGTGTGCAGCATTTTCTACAACTTACAATGATCTTCATTCTGCAAGGAATTACGGTGTAACAGCTAGCATGATTACTGGATGAAACACATTTCACGTCCACCTTAGCAGTCAAACGGTCGCCTTATCTCGACTTCTGAACTTCGATTTCATGCAGCGGAGACCAACCGGTGTCCAACGGCAGACACCATATTAGTAAGGGTGGTGTCGTGGATGTGCGCCAGCAGTCATCGAAATCATTCTTAGCCCAGCTACTGCCAGGAGGATGGAGTAGGGTCGGCCTACATGAGATTGCTGTTAGATGTTGATAGACAGTAGGCCGTGGCAATATGGGCCGTATATGCACAGAAAACTACATCAAATCATGAAGAAACATTCAGTCGATTTGTGCCTAGAAGCTCTAGCTATACGAACCATATGCAGATGCCACATGTGCAGTACCAAGACCCATTCTACATGTCAAATTCTCCGTGTTGACTTAACCTGTTCACTTCACCCTCTACGAGTTCTAGCATCCAGAATCTTGCCACATTCCGGTGCGAGTACACCAAGATAGCGGCGGCAGCTGCGGGAGATGCACACTAAGCATCTCGTGTAACAAGCGGTGTGAACAAGATCCCCCTAGGCTTGCAGCTAGTGTGGGGTTAGCAATCCGGTGAACAAAGAAGTAACCAGGTGGGGTAGCCGGTGGGAATAATTCCCTGGCTATACATGCAGAGTAGTCAGTCGTATTTCTGAGAAGTGGTTCATCTCATTATCGATTCAATATATCTCAAACATAGGGCGAAGTAGATCTAGGAAGCCCAAACCGTATATCTCTAACACACACCAAGGCGAGACAACTGTGGTGTTTGAGTACAAAGGTATTGCACGAAAACGTTACTCATGCATCATATCTGTACAAGAGCCCCCCCGCACCCAAAATCTCATGGTATGAGGAGCCGGGCATTCGAAGGAGCGCTCTAGCTGGCATATATTCTCCCAACGTTCCGTTAAGAGTACACCGTATCGTATCACGGGACTCCTGCAGGCTCAAGGCCTGCATCGTTGGTTCTCATACTTTGCAACCTGGCTAGATCGCCAGCTGTCGCGATGTCTTACATCATTCAGACCCGGGCGCTGACAAAGGCTGCCTAGAAGGGGGAGAAATTGGAAAAGAAGAAAGACAGACATAGAGGAACGGGAAAACAGTCAAGCAGTATCAATACTGCCTATGATGTTGTAACTTACTGCATGTGTGGCTTCCAGCCTCACAGGTATCCCTCTTCATCGTAATTCATGCCACATTGTAGGCTTTTGGGTGCCTGACCATAACGCCATACCGCCCATCAAAGCCCCGTGGGCAGTGCCCGTACGCCTTGCTAATCGCATATTCAAATCCTTGAACCATCCTTACCGTGTGTTCCATGGCCATTGCCTTAATCATAGTGAAGAAAAAGCTGGCTCATGCTCTCTCCGTGGTGGTTCCTACGAATCGCCTCTGCCAGAAGATTGTCAATGTTAATGACTACCAGTTTATCGGGGCTCGCCTGTGCAAGCTTGTGTTCGGGGATCGGAAACGCGTTCGTGATGATAATCTTGTCGATGACATCGCAATTGTTCAACTCCTCTAGACAATCACCACCAAAGATACCGTGGGTTGCGAAGCAGTAGACCTTTGTCGCACCGCCACGCTTGACCACAGTCTCAGCGGCTGCAATCCATGACGCAGATTTATCCATCATGTCGTCAACGATGAAGACAGGGCGGTCCTTGACGTTGCCAACAAGGGTAACCATAGTCTCGAGCTCGGGGTTCTTGAGGTCTTCTTCTTCGTCTTCAGAGGATGCAGCGGCATCGTATGTGCCACCGAGGGCATGCGAGTGCTCGGTGTCTCTGTTGCGCGTGGACGAGGTAGTCGACATGAAAGAAGACATCATGTGCGGAGGTATATCGTCATTGTCGCTCTCAGACGGAGGGCGATTGCGCCAAGTACTGTGTGACGTTGCGGACATTGATGGAGAGGGATGTGTATCGTCGACAATGTGACCTTGTACGAGTCTCCCATGAATGACGTTTCTTGCGCGCTGTGCATGTTAGCTTTACCCAGTGGTTCACTCTAGTCTGGACAAACCTCATCAGTGTACTCCTCGGCGCCGCTGTCATCCGCACTCTGCTCTTCGAGCTCTTCCTTGTTATTCTCTACGTCAGTCCGAATAGGTTCCAGTGGTACCTCAGGCTCCACGATGGAGCCTGCGCGCATTGACTTGGACAGTGGATGGCTGGTGGGTGGTTCTGACCACCCGTTGGCTCGCCTTTGTAGGGGATTTGATGGTATGCGCTTGAGACTCGATTTGCTTGGTTCTGCCTTTGGTTCTATGGTCATCTTGCTGATAGGCGTGATGTCCGCGTCGGCATCCAGGGCAGCTTCAACCAGGTCTGGTGTTTCGTATGAGCCATCAAGCCTGAGCTGCTCAAACATGGCGCTCTCGTTCCAATGTACCGCCGTACCTGCCCTCCGCCTGTCGGTTGTAACAATGCCGAAGCTGAGTTTCAAAGCATCCGCCAGCGACGTAACGCGCTTGGTGCCACCAGGGTTCTTGCTGACGACCACGGCTTCCCTCCAGTTGGGCACATTGACACGTATCCAGCGGGCGAGGAGGGGCTCTGCGACGAGATTATCGACGGGGCATTTGAAGAAGCCCTGCATCTGGGAGGCGTGGAGGTCGATGGTCATGACGTGATTGACACCGGCGATATGAAGAAGGTTCGCGACCATACGGGCTGTGATGGCCCCGCGGTGCTGCTTCTTCTTGGACTGGCGCGAGTATGGGAAGTAGGGCATGACGGCTGGTGGTGTCAGTAGCTGGTATTGAGCCCATGCAGAGGCCAAGTACCTGTCACCGACTTGGCTGAGCCGCCTTTGCAGGCAGAGATCATGATCAGCAGCTCCATTATCGAGTCGTTGATTCTGACCCATTAGCCGTTGACGCTTAAGAAGGCTGGGCTACGCACTTCTCGCTTCCACTCTGGACGATGAAGACATCCTTGTTCCGGATTGACGTGTCTGCAGATAGTTAGCACCTGAGGGACGCCAGAGTGGTGGCCAGACATACGA